TGTTATAAGAAATTTGTCCATGCTTTTCTCAACAAAGGTGTGATTAATAGCAATCCAACAGAGAAGGAAGGGTAAGCCTTGCTGGAAGCAGTGAAATATTGTTTCAACATGAGAAGAGAAATTTCATATTTCCAAGCGGCCATGCAATATGTTCCATTTATTTTATACCACTGAAATACTTAACCATTTCACTTATTAAATGAATAATTTTTTTCTGTAAAAGGTGTGTGGTTGTTATATTGTACCATAGCAGTGGTGATCTTTTCACATGCAAAGTAGACTACGTGTAGTCCCCCATTTTTCCTCAGGGATAGTAGAGCGAGCGAAACGCGAGCGCGCGTAAAAATCACCCCACGCGAGAAAAGGCGCGCGTGGGGTGATTTTCACGCCCGCTCGCGTTTCGCTCGCTCTACTATCCCTGAGGAAAAATGGGGGACTACTCGTAGTCTACATGCAAAGATAACTTACTTGTTACTTTGACATGTGAAGATATCATGTTTTCGAACACAAGCTCACCCAATATTTCATTGGCCTTTATAAAAATATGATAAAAAGCATATTTCTTTCATTTTTCTGAATTGGGCCCTTATGGAAGAGATCTATAATCATCCAGCTTCAATTTCTGTCTACATCTGGTTGATGTGTGAAGTGACCAGCACTTATTTATGTAATGTTTTATATAGCTTTTTATCACTTAATGTTTTTTATTAAGTATTTTACAAAACAAATAATAATTCAATATTGCTCAGGTTTAAAACTTCAGCTGTTCAATAACTTCATACATTTTGTATCCATGTTATGTCAGTTTCAATGTTATGCCTACCGCGTACCAGTATGTTTCTTTTAATAATTCTACTCAAGTGTAGCTCATATTATAGTTACCATTAAAGAACGAAGCATATACTTGTGTACTGTCCTCGTTTCTCTGGGCTTTTGCCCCGTTTCATAGCTTTACCGTGCTTGTTTTGACTCGTTGCTTTAAGCGTGCCAGTCCGTCTCGAATAAAGGGCCTGGGGGACTTAGGGTTTAAAGAACGAGTTATGTTAGGTGGGTACCGTGCTTGTTTCGACACGTGGGTTTAAGAACGCGTTATGCCATTCGCGTAGCATGCTCGTTTCGGCTCATTGCTTTAAGAACGAGTTATTATTTTTGTGTAGCGTGCTTGTTTTGACTCATCGCTTTAAGAACGACTTAAGTGTACCGACGTCCGTGCTTGTTTCGACTCATGGCTTTAAGAACGGGTTCTGTTGCCTGTTAGGCTTGCCATTCTCGACTTAGGGCTTAAAGAACGAGTTATATTACACGTTCAGTGTGCTTGTTTTGACTCATGGCACGACTAGACTTCCTGAGATTCCATCGGAATCGATGTGTTTCCAATGGATCCGATGGACTCCATCGGACGACTTTCCAACCCACCTCTAAGTATTGTTTACACTTCCGGTTTCATGTCATGACTAAACTTCCGGTAACTCAAGTGGACTCTACTGAACTTCCGGTTTCATTTTTCGACTAGACTCCGTCGGACTCCAGGTTTTGTCCACTGGAATCTGGTCGAGAGTATTGGACATGTGTGAATAGACCACACGTACCGTACGTCCGCCCCTTCATGTTTGTGGATGTGAAACGTCTTACTTACTAGCTTAAAAGTCCAAGGCATCCATGTTATGATCAATTGACAGCTATCAAAGCTAGGTTATCCGCTGACAAGTGTCACATGACTGGAGCGCCGGCTCAGTTTTACAACTCACTGAGGTGACGTGTTTTATTAAGTTCCCCTCTGAACAGTTATGGTATTCAACTAATCCCAGGCTCGGAAAACTTTACTTCATTAAGACATTAAAAGCTTCACGAGAGCTTTCCTTTTGGCCTTGGCTAAATCTATATATTAAATTGATTCTCTGAACTGTTTATGTCAATGTAGGTGAATTCGGAGGAACTGGTGGATTTGTAATTGATGATGAGACAGCTACCAACTACTAAAATAAAGCGAACGATGAGAACTATGGTGAAAACAAGAACGCTCTTACAGAGGGTGTCAGTCTCGCTTGCTTGGAGATTAGATTGAGAAATGAGGAGGCGATTAATTCCACACGAAACAGGATTTACTCGCTAAAGGTTTTTTGCTTCCAACTTTATCGACGTCGATACCTTTTATTTGTTTCTGAATTGATTTAGTACGCGTGTTAGCGACGACCGCAAATACGTCTGCGGTCGCAGGCTATACGCGTGTATAAATACAGGAAAATTCAGGGGCCTCGATTCCAGAAAAATTACATCGTTGCCAGAGATAAAAAAATTGATTTACATGGCACTTCGATCATTTCAATCATCGTCGAAAATAAGTCGCATGCTAATCACAAGAGCCACTTGCATACAATGAAAGTTTACAACACCCGACCATCGCTGTTTTGCTAATTAAGATTCTTACTTTTTTCGACCACTCAGTTGTGTTCACTTGTTCCAAAGTGATCAAAGCTTTCAAGCGAAAGAATTCGTGGACCGACACGTTTCGGAAAAGCTCTAAATTTAATCTTAAGCTTTCTTCGCAAAATATGCGTGGCTTCGATCACGCAACGGTTCTTTATTGCCAGTTTTCACAGTCTAGATAGATAACCTTAACCCTAAGGACCTTAAGATCCGAGGACGGCGACGGCAGACAAAATGTCGCTGAAAAAGTGAATTTGCGTTCTTTCAATCTTCATCGCGATTACTCCAAGTCACTAACTTTGTCAAAGAATCATGTCCAAGTTCAGAAGGAGAAAGGAAATTTCGTTGTCGCTTGAGTACTTTCTCTGTAAAACGTGAAATTAGGCATTTTCACGTCGTAGTCGTGCAGTGACGGCAAAGAAATGTACAAAAAAGCGTGATGCACGTGTAAAATTGTTGTTTTGCTAATGAAACCTATTGATTTTTGAAGTTCTCGTTGCAGTCACCGTCGTGGTATCTTAAGGTCCCTATAAGTGTGCCACAGTCCACGTTGAGCTTCATGCAGCTTAGAATTGGCAGCTGATGATAGTTGAGTTTATAATGAAAAATTTGGAAGAATACAAACCAAGCACCAACATAAAACTTAGGGAAAGTTCATTTAATATGACAAGGGGGGGGGGGATGAAGATATTGAGGGGGGGCTCCGAAAATTTTTAGACACCCGAAGGGGGGGCTCTGAAAAAATTGTTGCGCTACGAGGGGGGGCTCCGAAAATTTGTATACTTCAAAACCAACACATGACATCATCATACAGATCGGATGGTTTTCAACTCAACGATTTAATGACCTGTGCATCTCAGCTATATCACGTGGTTTACAGATATAACAAATGTAGTCTCAGTAATTATTACACTCTTGTTCATCCCAAAAATGCTTTAGAAAATTGTATCACAACTGTATCTCAAGTTTGTCATAGTATAAACCATTGAAGACAATAACGGTAAATATATTTAATACAGTCTAGCGATCTTTTTTCAGGGGAGCAAAGGAATTGAAGGAGGAGGGGGGGCTCTGAAATTTTTTGGAATACCAAGGAGGGGGCTCCTAAAAAATTGAACCGCTAGCGAGGGGGGCTGCTAAAATTTCAAGCTTCGAGTTTCAATATCTTCCCCCCCCCCTTGTCATATTAAATGAACTTTCCCTTATAATATAATATAAACTTATAGTGACACAAAAGTCAATTCAGAAGTACTCAATTCGTTTTCTGTTTGCTCTAAGAAACAACTAAGGTAATTAATTCCTAGTACGCTTTGATAAGACTCTTGGGTTCATCAGAACCACTCTGTCCAAATTCAGTTGGTACCTCACTACTTCGAAAGGGGTTCTCGTCAAGGTTCACTCGGAAGCATCGCTATCTTCTCCTTTGGGTCTACAGATCAACAGTGTGTGCATTTGGTATGAAAATTTCGCGTATAAGAAATGGCATAATTCATCTTTGCTATCACTGTTTTATACAGCGAACCCCAGAATGTATGTACGAGAAAAGGTTTATCTAGATGAAAGCAACGCACGATGGAGCGCATGTGATTTGCCGGAGACAACTACAACTTGTAGTTCCCAATCCATCTCGAAAAAGGATCGAAGGATCCATGGAGTGACGGGAGCGACTTCGTTATAACTCGCTCATAGCGCTTTGCGCAATCACGAGTTAAAAATGAACCATTATTTTAAAATCCCGTTCTTGTGTGGACAGCGCGAAACGCACAGGTTTATACGTGTAAGAATACATTTAGATGTACATCCGTTTCATACAGAAATTTCGAAAAGGTTGACGGAATAAATGTTCACGCAACAATCCCGAAAGGTAATATGGGATATGATCAATACACTGTTCCTGACACTGTGGCTATCGAACCTACTTTTCTTGCTTTTCTTCAGCACTCGCAAACATACGTCCATGGTCTCTCGTGCCACTCCTTAAAATTCCTTTCAAGATCAGTGAACTCAAAGCTACCCACAATACCTTTCAGGATTGACGCGTGCACTTTTTCCGACAAGCTGTATGTAGATGTAGTCTGCCCTCTAGACGTTAGCGCTCGACGATCTCTAAAGATTAAATAGAGGGACTTCAAAAAGACTAGAGCGGATGCCCGCATTATTTTCCTTTGGTAAAAGGCTCGCTCTATGAATCAGTAAACAAACCACAAGCGTGATTGAAGGAAGTTGTTTATTTAGGATACTGGAATTACACTAACTCATAACAACTTACATTAACAAAGTCTAACGTCCAGACCCAGAAATAATGTTATCGATATACAGAGTTCCCAGCAACTGTTGATTCGTTGAAACAAATGATGTACGCGTGAGCTCAATCAGACTGCGGTATAAACTGTTTCTGTGATGAACGGCTTACATAAGTTATTTTGTTTTACATCCCACAGTAGACACAAAGATGAAAATGATAAATCATTCTCGCTTTTTACTTCAGTCATGCTTCTGGAATTTAAGACAGCGAATCCACCTCTAGTTGTTTGTTCACCATATTTCGTTTGTTAGTTTATAAACTCAGCTGCTTCTTTGAAAAAAGTTGTCAGCTTATTTCTTGTAAACGTAGATTATACCGCAAAACCAGACTGGTTAAAATTTGAATCAACAGGGTATGCCAGCGCGATCGCCAGCACTAATCCATTATTTTGACCGACAGACTAATAAGAAGTGGATTCGAAACTCGTCGGAGTTCTAACGAAGTTTTCCCGAAACCGCCCATTACTTGCTGACTTTTCTCGGTTATAATTAACCCTTCCTCAAATAATTGCTAGCTTCACACGTGACACTGGAATAACACTAAGGAACAAGTTTTCAAATAACTTAATTTCACTAGCGAAACATTTTTGGCGACGGACAGTACAAAAACAGCTAAACAAAAAATGAAATACGCGTGTGAATAAAGCTTGGTGAATTCTGCACTGGATAAAACGGAGGTAAAAACAATTATTCAGTTGGTAAAATGATCGTCCTTCGTGTCCAGCCTCTTCATTACTTTAAAACCCTAAATAATTAACGTACTGACATAATTATGCGCAAAATAAAAAATTCCTTCAGCATTCAGGACTACTGTTTAAGACATGCTTGGCATGAAGAATGAAAATATTTGAGCCTGCCGGCACGCAAGACGCCCTGGTTTAACGACGTTACATTTTAAATCTTCCTCTAATGATTTGTGGACCTATTCACGTATAAATCCACCCTAGATACTTAGCCCTCCACATTAATGGACGGACCGAATAAAACTCACTCGGAAGCGGAAATGTGCTACTACTAACTCTGAAGAGAACAGCTCTTCTTAATAACAGTCCATTTATAACTTCTTGACTTCAGCCGATCTACTGAACGGGAACGTTCATCTACTGCAATGCATCTTTACGTCCTAATCACGGCCGATCTAAGTCTCCTTTGGCAACGGTCACACAACACCCCTGTTAGGGTCGTGAAAATAAGAGAACAGCTGCAAAAGGGGACCTCAGTAAACAACGAACGTTCAAATCTCGGTTTCTTCCGTATTTCCGTTTTCCACTTTTGCCGGTGCGTCATCAGAAAGGAAATTTAGCACACCCTTGTCATTACCAAAGAAATCTTGGAGTAACTTTTCAGTATCCTCTTTGCTAATTTCGTTACCGTCTTGCACATTCGCGTCTTCATCCACGACTTTGTGTTTTTTCTCTTCCACAATGTCGCATTCTTCTGTGACTGGTTCTGGTGAACTTCTTTTCGCTTCACCAAACACCTCGTCTCCGTTCTGAGCCTCCACGCCGGAAATGCGCGGAGAGCCGCCATCTTCGAACATGCAATCCGTTTCGCCAGCGGCATCCAGATACTCTGAAATTCGACGTCGGCCACCACTTGAGCCGTCGGTAGAATCTTTTTCAGGAGTGCTGCTTATATGAAACGTTTCTACGATAATCACAGGATCCTTAGAGTAGCTACTGTACGCAAGCTGTTTGAAGTTTTTGACGATGTCTTCTCGTCCCATGTCACGAAGGGCTTTCTCAAGGGCCGCCATATTGGCTTCGGTATCCTCCTTGTCTCGCCAGGTTTTTAACACGTCAGCAGCACATTCGTTTGCTTCAGCAGAACTAGAGAGAAGAAAAACAGAATAGAGAGACGAATTCATCAGAAAATGCCCCCCAAATGTTAGTTTTTAACTAAGTACTCTTCAAATCATGGGATCACATTGAGGATCCTAAAAGAGACAATGCCTGTACCACAGGAGCTGCCTCGTCCCCAGTCGCTCGCGATCACTTTTTGGGGGATATTGATTTAATTATTAAGGAAAGCGGGGACGAAGGGAGTGATGGGAAGGTAAGAACTTTCTCTTTCCATCACTCCCCGCTTGTTCCCATCATCCGCCTCTCGCCTTTCTCGCTTGTCTCCAGCTCTCGTGTGTTGTCTCTCGCTGCTCCCCACTGAGCCTTGGGAAAGCCTGTGGAGGAGGCAGCCACTGGAGGGTACTGTTCATTGGCTGTCATTTAATACTGGTCCCACCGTAGGATTTCGTCCACAGACACACAAGCTAGAATCACCTTATACAGCATAACACACAGTATTTAAATGGTCACACTTATAAGGATTTAATCTACAGACACATGCTAGAATCACCTGACACAGCATCATACACAGTACCACAGGAAAGTACTACTCAGTAGCTTTCATTTGAATGGTCACACTTATAAGGACTTAATCTACAGACACATATGCTAGAATCACCTGAAACAGCATAATACACGGTACCAAAGGGAAGTACTACTCAGTCTGCTCAGTAGCTTTCATAAGAATGGTGTCACTTATAAGGATTTAATCTACAGCCATACAAGCTAGAATCACCTTAAACAGCATAATACACAGTACCACAGGAAAGTACTGCTCAGTAGCTTTCATTTCAATGGTCACACTTATAAGGATTTAATTTACAGAAATACGAGCTAGAATCACCTTACAAAGCATAATACACACTGTAAAGTACCACAGGAATTTCAGTAGCTTTCATATGACTGGCCACACTCTTTGGATCGCAACTTGTGCAATTTTTGGATCAGAACTTGTTTTTTAATTATCAAGCTCTAAGGATTTACAGAACAATCTTAACGTCCAGTAGCGTTCATTTTACTTTAAAAATTAATGAATTCGAGTAAGGCTGAGTTGTGACTCTGATTTTGTCAGATTTCTTGAAAAATGGGTGGATCTGTTCAATAAACATACAGATCGTGTTTTGTCAGGCCTGATAACACTCGGCGCCTGATCAAATACCCCTGGGTTTTTATATCTAGACTCTACAGTCCAGTTTAACATCATAAACGGCACCATAAAAGATAATCACAAACTAGGCGGCGAGCAAACTCTATGTTTAGGAATCACGAGAGTTCATTGCAGGAAAACATTTCAGTTTTAAAATACTCACTGTCTGTCGGAAATTTCTTGGAGTTCTGAGTCGGTGAACCCAAGCTCCTGACCGAGGCCAACCCATTCGCCACCAACACTTTTTCCAATCAATGTTAACAATTCATCTACAAAGAAACAAGTAACACAACTGTGAATGCAATTCACTACTACGGAAAGTGGTTTTTTTTTCTTCATTTCATTAAAACGGACATCAATCAGTCGCATTGCTCACAGCTCCTCATTTCCTTAACGTAAGCTGAAAGTAGCAGAAAGCGAGTAAAACCGGCGCAGGGGGATGGGGGTACATGGTGGGCACACCCGCTTCCAAGCGCTCCCGCGCTTTTCGGTCGCATCCAGTAAAAAAAAAGACAGTGAGCCTTTCCATGGTCATAACAGCAGCTGGTATTTACCGGGGCAAATTGAATATATAGCTGAGTTTATAAAACGAACCTTTTGAGTTACAGTTTGCGTCCCCCCTAAGTGGAAGAGATCAGATACAGAACCTTTAACCGTCATCATTCCGTTAGATAACTTCCCATCACTTTGGAGTCATTTCATGGCAACCACTTGACTCTGACCAATGGCGAATTTGAAACCTTCTGTTTTCAAACCCAAAAGCCTGCAATTTATTATGCTCAAAATTTCGAGAACGACCATTAAACGCACAGTTGAGACAACCGTCTTAAATAATACGCTCTAAAAAGTGAAGATTTGTCCTTATTTTGGAAGAAAAACGATGTCAAGTTCGTCCCCCACTATACAAACGTCTGGTAGACGGTAAAATTTCGCGACTTTGCTGCGCTATATCTTTGTTAGTTTTCAGCAAATCACTGTCAAACTTGGCAACTGTGATGATTTTCAGGCGCTCTTTTCAGCCGTGTTGACGGATTTTGGCTTACTGGTCCCTGTCAAAAGTCAGTGAAAAAACCGTGGAAGGGGCTATAGAGAGGAGAAGTCGTTACGTCACGTTGCCATAGTAGCAAAATTTTTGGATGACAACAAACCGAAAACGTGACTTAAAAAGTGAATCCGCACCGCTTCAAACTTCATCGATCTTATTCAATTTCATTTAATTTGGCAAATGTCGGCGAAATTTCCTCGGGTTGAATCTAAATGACCGTATCTAAGTTTAGAGTAGGAAAAAGACAACGTTTGTGTTGTGTTCAAGTTTCACGTCGCAAGGGTGCAACGACGGGAAAAAAATGTACAAAATAGCGTCAATAAAAACCTTTTGCTTTGTTGCCGTTCTCCTTCCGTCGCCGTCGTCGATGGTTTTGTTGTCATCCAGAAATAGTGCTACCATGGTGACATGACGTCATGCTTGACGTCATACCTCTATATTGTGCGTGCATTTATGGTCTATTTCAAAATTCGCAGTAAACAGGTGATTTTACGCGGGACGATTTGCAACGACGAAGTGCAACACAGCGTTACAACATTGTTTCGAAAGGCTGCAAAACGTGTTCCAATAACGTGACGTTGCAAAAATTCAAGTTTGTGAAATATGCACCAACAGGCTGATTTTTAGCAAGTAGCCATTTTTCATCTTGTTCTTTCTGGATATGCCAACCTATATCCTAATTTCACAAATTTACTTTTTGTGACGTCATCACTTTTCTTTTCTATATTGGCACCTTGTGTTGCGCTAAAAATCGTCGTTGCGATTTGTCCCGAGTAACTTTACCTCAAGCTGAACATACCTGGAAGTTGAGCTGTCCCATTGCCTTTCCTCAAGTTCTGAGTAAGTAAAAAGAAAGAATGAAAGACATCGTCATAACTCAGCAATTGATTTGAAAGCGCAAAACGCGAAACATTGCATACATTTTAAGCGTCGTCCGCTCTGGTCGATTTTTACACTAGAGATACAATGATAGTGGCAGCACAATATGACCAGTTCTCAAAACTGGACAGCATTCAACCTTTTTACTGCTACTGGCAACGAAAAATACAGTTTAACTTAAACACGAAATTTCATTTGAAGAAATACTTCAAGTTAGAAGCAAATTAAAGTATTATACGAAAGGACTGCAAGAGGTTGTATTTCCCTCATCACTCTGTCATATCATGTAGGAGCTCGTCCATAAACCAAAGGGTTAAAAATCACATTTTCATAGTTCCTAGCCTTCGAACAAGCTCTCCATTTGAGAGAACCGCGAGAAGTCACGCGAGAGCAGCACGCGACCTTTCGCGTGCTGCTCTCGCGTGACACGAGCTATAAAACCAAAAATGGCTAGGCAAACTTCTCGGCTCACCTCCTCAGACAGGTCGATGCTCAAGTTACAAATTGTTCGTACGTTCCCCTGTCGATCTTTACGAGGTTCCTTGAGTAAAGCCAGCCGGCAGGTGGGGGGCTGGGACGGATCAGTTACACACACCGTCACGGACAGTCGGTTTTCGCGGAAAGGATTAAATGTGAACTGCAGTGGCTCACGGTTGACTGGCGTGACATTGCCTAAACACCTAGTGTATACAAACAAAAAAGGATTAAAACTCAGGGCCAATACTTAAAACAGAATTTAGCCCGTGTTCAACAAAGTCGCTGTCAAAGCCAGTCAAAGCGTTGATCAACGTTAGCAAAGACCGAACGATATTAATAAACAGCTAAATGATGAAAGATGGCGCTCAGATCGTCTGGGTGGGCAAGCGCTACTTATGATTGGTTAATGGTTGCCTTGTATACCATTGACCAATCATAATTAACGCTTGTCCATTAAAGCAATCCCAGAGATCACTGCACCCAAAGCTTGTACCCATTCTCCCCAGAGTTTCCGAAGTGGGGAATAGAGAGGTGGGTTTTTGCAATGTAACATCGACCCAGGGAGGAATTTGTGTCCAGCGGTTTTAGTGGAAACAAGGGTTTGTGGGGGTTGCTCAGTCTCGCGGGCTCACAAAACCTCCCTTAGGTCCATCTTATTTTGTATTTACCAGCGAGGTGTCCACAAGGCCGTCAGCCGTTATACAGCGGCCAATCCAACGTTTCAGAAAACAGGTATTGTTTAATTTTCTGAACTCGTGTAATCTGCTGATTTTTAAATGTGTAAGCGATAAATTAAGTGTAAGTTATTTTCACACATACCTGACGTGAACTGGTCTTCCCTCGCAGACTTCAACATCTCGGCTTCGCGCTACTTCTGTGAAGCCTGTCTGCTTTTCGAGCGTCTTGTCGATATTATCATCAGTAATGCAAAAGACTCTTAGTGTAGCCTCGGTTCCATCAGGTGAAACCTTGGCGAACACCACGACCTTGGCCAAGAATGGGACAGCGGTTAACTTACGGAACAGAAGGCGTGCGTCTGACGTCACGTTGTCTGGGTTACGTGTCTCCACAAGCCAGAACCTAAAAGACATTAGACAGTTGCTTCCTCAAATTGAATAACGGCGATTTTTCTTAACAATTTGACACGATTACATGTCAACTCCTCCAAAACAAACGCGACGCAGCACCTTCAAAGGTGAAAAGGAACTTAGGCAGATGTTTCGTGTCTCACCTTGCGGGATAACTGGTCGTGAAAGTTGCGCACGCGTTTACTACGCTCAGCGGTGTTGTATCAGTGATGTCAGTCCAATTGTAGAGAGGGGCATGGGACATAGACTTCCTATTGTCCTGCGGCTGACAGCTGAGTAGTCTCAAAGAGGGCTGGATATCAACCTCTTCTCCACTCGCACTGTACAAAGGGGTGGGAATGGTAATGGATACAGGCTTGGAAAAGACTAATTCCTGTGGTTCTAAAGATACCACAGGGCTCACAGCCACCCATTCCTCATAGTCGTTGAACGATTCATCAGCAGGTTGAACCTGAAAGAACAAGACAATGAAGAAGTTTAATCAGTTCGGATGACTTATTTGTTTGCCAATTTCCTTGTCTCACTCCCCTTAGGAAGACAAAAGACCGATACTCTACAATTTATTCACTTATACAAGGCACCTTTACCCTCTAAGGCAAGATTACCGATAAAAGAGTCACCAAAAATATGCGCGTTGAAAAACCGCGTAGAAATTGACGGTTTTCTGGCTTATTAACGTTTTTGTAGTCTAGCAATAGGGAGCTTAAGCAGCGACGTTTTTGAGCGACGCACGTCAACCGGAAATGGACTTTTTGCACACTTGAGCCGTGATTTTGAACAAATTTTTGGGCAGATCGTCTCTTTAAGAATTAAGACACTTGGCAATATAAATACGGTAGCGTCAAGGCGTACTAGAAGAGAAAACGGCTCACTTCCGGTTGACGTGCGTCGCTCAAAAACGTCGCTGCTTAAGCTCCCTAATTTTGCAGTTACTCTTACGCAGCATTTCTTTGTGTCGCCATTCGCCCCTTTAGAAACGAGACGGAAGCTGGGCTGAGTAAGCTTTCGCGAAGACTTCTGGGACTGTCACGTGGGAGAGGGGGGAAAATTGGCCAATAGCTGACCGGCGCGTCCCCGGTAATGATCCCAGAAGTCTTTGCGAAAGAATAGAAAAAGCGTGGCGAATAGAAGGAGCGTTGCGTGGCAAGACAAAGAGCGGCTATACAGGAGACCAAAATGCAGCTCTCCATTTGGGGGAGTCGCGAGAAGTCACGCGAGAGCAGCACGCGAAAGGAGACGCGAGCTGGCAGGTTACTTTATTTATTTTCTTTACGATTACTTGCAGACAACTAAAACTTTCAACTTCAGAATTCAATTCGCCCATACCCCATTCTACGGGTAAACTCGTATGCTAACGAGCCAAATGTAAGCAATGACGCCAAGATGAATTCGACAATATCAAAACCACCAAAAGCGATGCGAAATAGAAGAGGGCACAAAGTATTAACCTGCAAAATAATTTTCGTTCCACTTGACACAGCTCCTTCAGGAACTTTAACTTGAACTTGAGGAAGCACTGAAGACTTAAGGATATCTCCGCCCGGTCCAACCATGAAATTTTCTTTCTTCAGTCGGGAGATGATAGAGAACTTCTCAGGGAAGTCATGTGTTTCTATTCGAGCGTATCTCTTGCTAGGAAATCCTTGGTGAATGTTCATATCTGAACTGTAACCATCCACCGCTAAAACAAATTAAGAAACAAGAAACGATAAGATATAATTTGGTAATAGATTTTAATTTATTGGGAGGAGGGAGGCGATGCACCAAAACTAACACCGACTCTAACCTATAACACTAACACTTGAACCAAAGTTAATCCCATACACCAACACTAACACCACACTAACAACTGAACCAACACTAACATCAACACTAACAGTTACACCAATACTGACACCAACACTAACAACGACACTAACAATTACACCAATACTAACAACAACACTGACAGTTACACCAACCAATACTAACAACAACACTAACAATTAGCCCTTTGACGGTTTCCATCCACGTGGTACAAAACCGGCATATTGGCACGCAAAAGTCGCATTGAGGTAAGACCAACAAAAGGCACACATAATTCTAAATGGTAATTTCCATTGTTTGTCTTGTCCCAGTGCGAGGTTTGCGTCCCAATATGCCGGTTTTGTACCACGTCAATGGAAACCTGCAAAGGGCCTATTACACTAACACTAACACCAACATTAATGCCCAGCACCAACACTAACACCAACACTTACACCACTAACACCAGCACCTTAACCCCCAACACCAACATTAACATCAATACAACACCATCACTTACACCACAGTAACTCACTACACTACATTACAGTTAGCTATAGAGCGATTTTTGTATGACCTTGAAAAATAGTTTCGGTAAGAGTTCGTTATTTGTTTTATCAGCCAACGGATAAAAAGATCACACAGAGACTCTTCGTTTTCCCGCCAAAACAATCCCTAACATGGAGAAGGCATTGTTCGATTGGTTAATCGTATTGCAGTATGACGTCAAAGCGAAGTATTGATTGATTTCTAGAGAGTTCTCGGGCATGGAGTTTTCTCATCCGAGCGTGCGCTTAACCAACCAAAAGCCACGCGCGTTTGTATCCGTTCGATAAACCAATCAAATCCCTCTATTTCGGTTAGTTTGTTGTTTCTATTTTGTTCGCGCGTTTTCATTTCAAGGTCATACGAAAATCGCTGTATCAGGGATTCTCTGTATTCTCTTAGAATTTGTAAGAACCTTCTATTATAATCACTATTTGTAAATAGGCTTTTCATCATGATAAGTGTAATTTTATTGGTATCAATTTTGTTTTTAGAGGGCCACTAGGGAGGGAGAATACTGGAATTCTTAAGATCTTTTATTATAATTACTATTTGCATAGGCTTTTTATCATGATTGTTGTAATTTATTATTATCAATTTTGTTTTTAGAGGACCACTAGGGAGAAAACTTCATAGTAATTGGTGTCACCCTCTTAAAATAAAGGTTATTAAGATTATTATTAAAACACACGGCCCAGTCTCCTATTCGCTCACCTTTCATGTCTTCGACACAAACTTCCTGCCAGTTCCACCCTCCATCCTGAGTTCGAAGTACAACAAGTTCTCTTTCGCCATCTCTAAGCGCAGAGAAATGCGGCAACTCCAAGTAAACAGGCTGCAGAAATTTGACGCCCGACGGGCTAACATCAAGGACGCGACAGGCAAGAGCCTCGCCTTCATAAAGCGGCGGTAACAGAGATGGTTTGTTCGGCCTTGAAAGAGAAAGATTAAGACCATTAAGACCAAACGCCAGGTTTGGGTATATGCAGTATTTTCCTTTTTTTTTTGCTTGTTAGCCTGTTTGACAAACGTTTCTTAGAAATCAAAAAAGATAAACAGACAGTCAGGACCGTACAAAGGGTCTAAAGGTTCAGTCACTTTTCTGTGGTATTGTTTTTTTTAATGCTGCAAATGGTGATTTTATCTTTTCAGTCTGTGGACTAAGCTCTTAAGTGTGACCAGAAACTCATAAGGGGTTGTTCAACCCCTTATGGGTTTCTGGTGTGACTTAGATGAAAGCTGTTGAAGAGCAGGTTTTAATTCCTGTAGTGCTGTTTATTATGCTGTACGAGGCGGTTCTAACTTTTCAGTCTGTGGCCTACAATTTTAAGTGTGACAATTTAAATGAAAGCTACTAAGCACGACTCTCCTGCGGTACTATTCATTACACTGTACAAGAAAGTTCTAGGTTTTGAATCTGTTGTCGAAATTCTAAAGAGTGAACATTCAAATGAAAGCTACTGAGCAGTACATGTACGTTCCTACCGTATTGTTTATAATGCTGTACAAGGTGGCTTTAACTTTTGCGTCTGCGGATTAAACTCTTAAGTGTGATCATTCAAATAAAAGCTATTGAACAGTTCGTTCCTGTGGTGATGTGTATTATACTTCAGAGGGTGGTTTTAACGTTTGAAAATGAAACCTTTAAGTGTACCATTCAAATGACATATATTAAGCAGTACACAAGGTGGTTTTAAATTTTGCGTCTACAAAATAAACTGTGATTCTTCAAATGAAAACTATCGAACTATACTTTGATGGAAATTTTTACGTGTATGTGTTCAATAACCGTCCATGTATGACTCACCGTATTTGTTTACAAGTAATTCTCGTTGGCATCTGGCAAGATCTTGGCGGCAAGGTAATTCGAAGTCCTGTTTGCGAGCTCTCCATTTTCCCTCCCCGAGCGTCGACCAAAAAACTAACAAGGAAGTCCCCGGAAACGGGCGGCTCGTACTTAGGCACGTTATCCGCTGCCATATCTGCGAGACTCGACGGCAACTCCGATTCTGTTACGATGGTTTCCGAAGTCGTTATGGTCTGTGATACATTGAAATCGGAGAGACGCGATCGGTCCAAGTCGGATGCTCTGGATCCAGTAGGGGTACCCTCAAAGAACCCTCCGGAGAATCGTGAGGAGCTGAAGATGCCCGAGTCTCGGTGTTGGCCGAGAGTCAAGTGGTGTTCTTCATCTACCATCTCCTCCATTGTCATAAAACGGTCGATGGACTCTTCGGGAATTGCTGGTTCTGCAGTAAAAATATCAAGTTCCGGCACGTTGAAAAGGACGTTCTAACTCGGATTTTAATGAAAACGCATACAGGCTTTGCTTCATTACTTTCAACGGTTAAAAAACAATAAAGCAATTGTAAACTTATGATCTATTCAGACCAGAGCTAAGACACGTTTAAACGATGTTAATTTTGACGCGGTTTAAAACTTCTTTATACGCGAAAAGTGCCGGCTGAGTTTTGCATTTTCTCTTAATGGTTTTCAAATTGTTAACCCACATTTACTGAAATTAAAAATGTTTTGTTGGTGTGAATGGAGCAAAAATAAAACTTAATATTACGACTTGAAAGCTCAAGTGGCAATCTGGACCGTCACAGCAGTGACCGCTGTCATCACGAAATCAATGATGAACCTTTTAATCCACTGACATCCTTGCAATCCTACACTTCCTATCCCCACTCCATGTTCTTCCTCGTTTTAAAGCTTTTAAAATGTTTTTGTTATATTTTTAAATATTTATCTTCCTTCACCCTGAAGAGACAGACGTCGTCCGGATTCATTAGCTCACGCTAGTGTTTGTGATGGGTCGCAAAACTTTTGACGCCAGATGTACGCAATCTGATTTATAGTAACCCAGGGATTAAGTTAAGCTTAGGTTTGGAAGGTAGCCAAAGTCTGCACTTATTGGCGTAATTAAAAGGTTTCCATGGGTTGGTGACATGACAGGATTTTACCCGGATTCAAAGCCGATTAGTTTACCCAGAAGTCAAGCGGGTCATGGGAGCTATCACAACGGCGCGACTCAAAGTAAAAGGTACAATGTACTCTCGCAAGCTAAGACGTGAAGATAAAAGTTAGTCGCTTAAGTTTCTTAACGAAGCAAAAGCCAAACAACTGTGATTCTAAGTTTTTGCACCGACTTCAAAACTTCCAGTGAGCTTTGCACAAAATTTTCGGTTGAAAAAACGTGTTGTCACGCTTGGATATGGACGCTGAGAATACAAGCGTAAGGTTCATGCGCAATCGCCGGGTTCTTTGCGTGTCTTTTGAGGTTTTTGTAAGGCTTGTTTTTACTTTTGTTAGGGTAGAGGTAAGATCAGTCAAAAGGAGAGGCACTAATCATTCCCGTTGCACGCTACTCAAAACTGAATTGTACGAGCTTACCTTCCTCGACTTCAGCTAGCTCTAAAGCCTCAAGGACCTCTTCCACTTCTAACTCTTCCGGTGCTGCACTGAACACAATGTCGTCTGAGTCCTGGTCTTCTTCGCCTTCCCCTCCTTCTTTTTTCTAAACAGGTAAACAATACCGTCAAGTCACACAAGCTTAAAGAGACTTTCATGAAAGTCACGCAAGCGTAACGTCACTTAGGTGAGCTGTCACGGGAATTAACTGCAGTTTCAGCAGTGTAGCGGATGACTTCGCAGGCGCTTTCTGTCAAATACGTCCCCTAGGGGTTAGCGAGTCAAGAATGAAAGAAATAGCTTTTCTCAGGGGGGTGTTGAGGCTTAAAATGCAAGGGTTTATCCCAGGTATGATCTCCTGGGTATGACATCCTGTAGCCTCAGGAGGAGTGGGGTCACAGAAGACTCCAAACCCCTTTCCCCTAGGCGAGAGAGCTGGCTTGCGAGGCTGGACATCTCAAGGAAGAGTGTATTAAAAAGTGACACTTTTTAAAAGGAGCGTTCCTAAAAGTGCCCAGTGACCGAGACTACAAAGCTGCCTGTTGATCGAAACACACATGCAAAACGCAGGTAAAGGTTACTCAAAATAACTTAAAAGCTAATCGAGTTAAGAAACAAAAAACTAAGCAAAGACGGTTGGCAAAAAGGCTCGGAAAACAACACAAGAAATACTCATACAAAGGCGATAAGAAATAAATTTACTACAAATAAATATATTAGCAACTCTTTCTTCGCTAATACATACATTATGGTTGGTACTCGATGAAAATTCGGACTGTTAAACTTGGACAAGCGACAGGAATGTCAGACGTCTTTAACTTTAAATTGTAAACTGTATGTATCCTAAGCTAATCTTAAAAATCTGACAGGGCTTATTCAATATAAAGAGTTTCAAAAGCCCATACAATGTTGAGGGTGATATAATAATCTCATTGTAGCGTTAAAACATGCAAGATAATAGGTTGACTTCGATCACGCCTCACAAAATTGTCTAATTTCTAAGATCTCAGATTCGTGCAGCTTATTTGCACTTTGTATCAGAGCATGAATCGACGTTAACAAAGCAATATTGTAACTGTCAGTCCTTGGCATCCACGTTTTCTAATTAACCCAGGACGGTTGATCATTTTACAAGTAGTCGTGGCGAAGATTCTTAACGAACTTCTCTAACCTCACGCTTTAAATTCCTACCCAAACTGCGAACATGCTCCCGATAACTATTAGTTTTTGGACTACAATATATTCGACAATAAATATCAAATACTTATTTTAAGGCCAACACAAAACTTTGATTTTTTTTGTTTATTTTCCATCACAGCCTCCGCCCTCCCTGTATCTGTACTCTTATCTTGAACTTAAAGCAGACAAACGCTCGCATTAGCTTTAGACAAGAAAGAGTTTAAGAAGTATAAATTCTTAATCCTTAGACTTACAAACTGTTAAAATTCTCGCTCCTTCGAATGCAGAAATCAATATCAAGCTTATTGAGGAACGTTGAAACTTCCACGTTCTTCCAAGATCTCAAAAACTTATCGTAAAGTTTATAACTCACCGTCGTATTTTACACGTAAAAGGATCATGTGACGACGAATTTCCCCGTAGCTTCCGAGATTCCGAGCTTCCGAGAACAGGGTTTCCAAACTAACTTCTCTAGGCTCTCGAAGTAGTGATAAGTTCACAACTGATATTGTATACTGAATTGGTTTGAACATTAATAGCTAGGGTCAGCGTCATGGGGAATACTTCATTTTCAGCCAATACCTGCATGTCTAATTCATAAATGGCGTCTAGATCCACATCAAAAAGATACCATCAAATCGGAAATGCCTTGTGGAAAGAGGAATGCATGAGCACAATGATTCTGTACTCGAGTCAACTAAGACGTACTACAAGAAGTTGAAAACTTCGACTCGACTGGTTCAACCTCGTACCCATTTCTACCTGAGCCATTAACATCTAAGCAGTTAGGAGCCTCTCAAAGATCATTCACAACTCGTGTAGCCTGCCACATATTTATGCTAATAAGAACACTTCATTCTTGAACAAAAATCGCCGTAACACCAAGGAAATTACAATACGACGATAACTTGAATCTCCGTCTATAGAAACTGTAGAAAGAAGCCAACTGTATTTCAAAAGCATATGACCCCATCGTTAAACGAAAGCTTAAAAGCCAGCAGAGCTATACCTGCAAGCTCCTGTCGACTTCTGACTCTTACTGGAGTGTTTTCCCCAAATGTATAACATTTATTCAACACTTGTGGTATTTTAACACTGTTCGTATGTCACCTTTTAGTCTGACGATGTACGATATATGTATAAATACCGCAAAATCTAACTTTTACACAAGTCTTGTATTCTGTTGTCTGTATAATGTGAACATTTGACAATACTGGGTTAAACGTTCATCCAAGATCTCCTGAATGATTTGCCTGTACTAGAAGACCCTAATTTCTCAATTCCTCTTAATGATAGTACAGGTTTTACCACATTAGATTATCCAAAATGTTGATAACAATTGACACCGTCCCTTCAACGAACGACTTATTAAAGCTCCAAAAATTACAAACCACATTAAAAGGGAATGTCATTGGCACCACTAGTTGCTTTCCTGTATATTCGCGACTTCGGTGCGCGAAACATAAATTCTTCGTGAAATGTCTTAGCAGAAATTCTTAGAATTTGGTCATTTCAGGTTGTGTTTTTTTTTTTTCAAACAGCAACGAAATGCACCGAGAATTATAGCACACATGCAGAGCCATGACAACCTTTTGTTTGAGAGACGTCTTGAGGACTTACGAGAAAATGTAAAGGATTGCTTTTTTAGGTCTAACGATCAGACCAGTAGTTGTATTTTTATGTCTGATCTGCACCAAAAACGTTTCTCCAGAGAAAGATTCTTGACTTGAGAAATACAGTAGAACTTCGATATAACGAACCTCTATGTAAGGAAGTTCTCGGTACACCGAACAACATTCTTCGCCCTGGTAATAGTAAGATATATGGAAAATAACCTCGATATACAGCGAACATACTTCGCTTGGCCCTTAGATATATCGATTCCACTGTATTCGAAATAATGACCCTTGGACTTCAGCGCGATTAAACCGGTCAGGCCATAATGATTTCGTTAAGTGGGATTTCAGTGGGAACTACAAGGTTGAAACATGGTCAAGGACGTATAAAAGAGGAAGATCACCTTTCTCAATATAATGAGGTTTTTTTCCTTAAAAACGTTTCCCACCTGAATAAAACAATGTTGACAAATGGCGCCGACTGTAATAACAGGTTCACAAATTTTCAAACACTTAGAACTTTTTTTAGTGGAATATCAAATAGTTTGGTGAACTAACAGCGAATTGGTAATGTTCAAAACTTTGAACGAGATGTTGCAAAAGGGTTGTACAATATTTCGTCGCTGTAGTACTTAAATTAAGTGGGTAAGTCATGGTGAGTTCCATATTTTTTGGGTCAAGCCTGAGAAGTATTCTCAGACATGTGTTCACATTGGAACTCTAAAAGAAAGATATCATACTATTCTGTCACAGGGAAAACAATACATGGTTAGTCGACAACACAAGAGTTTAATTTGAAAACCTTGACCCAGTTTTTTGAAGTTGCAATCTGTTCCCACTCTGGCCATCAAAATCAATGCCTTACAATTAAAGTTTAGGAATTCATAGGATGAGAATAATTTTGAATAAAACTGAACCATTATTTCAGGGTTTCTTTGGTTCCAATGTGATTAGGGGGCTTTGAGCTACTTCCAATATTTCACAACCTAGCTCCTTTCACTTGCATCGAACTTACCGCTTTTCTCTTCAGCGTTATATGAGTCACTGTTACTTTGGTGAGTGTTTCGGTGATAGTTGTATTCAAGTTCACCCTCTGTGAGATGTACAAGGCAGTGTAGCCCTCCTAAAACACAAAAGGATAAAGCAATGCCATTTAAAATGCTGAGTCTAAATGCTCTAAAACAATGAAATCGTTTTTATTAAAATTAGTTAGGCTCTACAATGAACTGACAGTCTTGAAAGGTGGACCAATCCTTCTGGGTGGACATTGGAGGCTCAAAGAAAAAAGACAGCTTAGGACTACCTATTTTGAAATTAAGTGCTACACTTGTTTAAAATATACAACCTCATAAGGTAACTGGTTCTCAACAAACTTCACATATAAATCTGAACACTAACTCTCTAACAGTTAAAAAGCTCTCTGATGTGAAAAGTGAACTTCAGAAAAATGTTGGGCAGAGCGTGTTTTCATTTGCTTGCCAGTAACAAACTTTTGGTAGTGTTATCGATGGTTGATCAGCCCCGGACAAATTTTAGTAGCTTTGGCAACCACAAAACCGGAACATCGACTGAAATCGACAAAAACCGCGAAACCGCAATAAAAACTGACGGAAACAAAAAACCGGAGACTTCAACGATTAACTGAGAGGACAAATCCTAGTAACTCATTTAAAACTTGAAGAAACAGCGTCTTCTAACAAATGGATCAACACACACTGAGCAAAACTAGAAACCGAAGCAATTATGAAAACCCCAAAAACCGTTTTTCGTTTTGAAAAAACGCATAATCGAATGGTCACAAACAGAAACATTTTCACTGTACTTACTTTTTTTTACCAAGTTTCCAAAAAGATTGCTACGGACTTATTGCAACTACTTGAACAAATCCATGAGTAACATAGTTTTATACTTCACCCTAAGTTAATCAAGGTCATAACTTTTGGCACCCTTAATAAAAACTACGTGCAAGGAGTTTCCTGTATAAATATTATCAATATTATTTTAGACGATAAAACATGTTGCTATATTTATTTTAGTTAATACAAGAGGTTATTATGAGTCAAGTCAAATTCCTAAAATGTTCCACACGCAATTTTCGACTGTACGGGAATAATCATTCGCCTTAGGGTTAACACAGGGGCGGAAGCATCAACTCCAACGAGACGAAGAGACGCAGACGCAGACACAGGAACTTCTTTTTAAAAGGAAGTTTCTGTTTAAATACTGGCAAGTAAAGTAAGTTTTCTTGGTTGCGTAATTCAGGAATTTCTCATAACTAGTTTTCAGTTGAGTGCTGAAAGTTACTTTGAAATATATTGCGTACATTGCTACGTTGCGTGACAGGCTAAAAAAAAAAGCGGGACACTTCTCAGCCAATAAAAAATGACTTGCTCGCACGTGCTTCCCGCGCTTGGAGCCATAAGCCATCTAAGCGTTTTGATTGGATCTATGTAATGTCTGCGCCTGTTGCAATAGGCCAAAACAATTACGTGATCATTGGAGTTGTGATACACTGTTCAAACACTGTGTACGTTTTGACTCCGAAAGAAACCCAGCCTGTTGACGAAACGACGTGTTATACATGTTTCGACCAAACACGGCACAGTTTTTTAATGGGATTCAAATGACTTCCACATAGTTAGACTGTAGACATGCCTTCATTACACAAATTTTCTCCGTCCTGGCAGAAAGCGTGAACGTTTAACCTGCTTACAGTTAAACTATAAAGGCACCATAAAAAATTTAAACGAACGATGGAAGAAGATTATAGGCAGGAGCCACGCAAAATACTTTAGGCTTGATAATATGGCATTCAGTTGTGTCGCCGTGACTGACTAATCTACGGAAACTTTCAATTTTTTTAAACAAACTTTTCAAAATTTTTGTGAATCCTGTTACGAGGCATTTTTTTGTTCACGTGGAGTTCTCTCCAAAAACTAACAATTTTCGTTGATATGTGAAGGAATCTTATGACTGCTTGAAATCTTGACGAGTCTTTTCCAGAACCCTATCTAAATAAGTACAAATGGTATTAACACGGTTCAGCGGTAATCTCTGTATCGACAATTCTTAACAGTAGCTGACGTATTTACAGGCTATGGGACAGGTCTGCGCGCAGCCTGGGATATTTTCAAGTCGATCCGAAAGAGTTTTAAGGTTTGGATAATAAAAAACTCTTGATCGTCCTTTGAAAATACAGCGTTCTGTAACAGCCTTAAATAACGACAAAACACCATAACAGATAAAAACACTTCAGGCACGATCATTTGGTTATTTCAACAAAGTAAGCCGATTTAAAAAACCTTGATATATAACATGTGGCCCGCCACCTGTGTTAACCTCTAGTTTGTTGGGTCAATATTTGGTCAAGGTTAGTGAAATAGAAGTAGCAGATTACTGAGTTTCGTTTCGGAAGTCGGGTATTAAGCTAAACTATGATAAATGCATGAAAAATGAGGTCGGTGTTACGCGTAGAGCGACCGCGGGTTTTTAAGCCTCGCACTAACAAAAATCAAATAACTAAGGCAATAAAGTCTAAGGAATGGTGACTACCACATTACTGAAACAGTCCCATTTCTATTTCATGGTTTACGTAAAAACAGTACATTCCTAGAGTTTGCCAATTTGCTGGAGAAACTCAACTTGTTATTTAATTGTCACTTTGATTAGAAATGAGTGTCAGAACACAAAGAACGTTGGAATTTTTCTGAGGCTGCTTAAAACAAACTTTCAACAATTGCTTTTACTTCCGCCAGGTTTCTGATGAAAATTTTATTCTTTTTCAAATTTATTTTCGGTACACGAACAATGCATGCAACTAAGACGAATTCAGATTCCTTACGTCAACTTATTCTCCACAACGCTAGTTTGTCAGGACTACCGCTCGAACCGTAAGTTTTGGAGTGGAAAATTCAAGTTATAATAGAGACCTTTAGCTTCTAAGATAAGGACGAGATTTTCTCAATACTAAGCAATGCGCGCGCGTGAACCAGCGTCATTTTGGCGGGAAAACGTGATAGCCGTCGTCATTCTGTTACGGATTTTAGCGAGAATGTCGAAGTGACGGAAATACTGAAGTTTTCAACTGTAGAGGACTTAACTTTACAGTGAAAAAAAACAAAAACAGCGTAAACATTTCTGGTGAAAAAAGCTCAAATTAATCTTTCCGGGGTGTCTATTTTTGGAGAATAAGAGGAAAAACTTTAAATTCAAATCTCTTCCTTGTGGTGGTCATCATTTGTCTACACATTTGAAGCTCGCTTTACGAAAAGCCTCTTATCAAGAACCCGGCCGGGTTTCAAGCAGACTCCATCTCCCGCAAAACGGTCAACGCATCACTTTAACATGAACTTAATGAATCCAACTAACAGACTTAACAATTGTAAGTCCGTCTCATTTGATTATGTTCCAAGTTTTCGTCTTAAAGACTTAATAGCCGAAGCGAACCGAATGTCTTACAATCAACTTTAAAAGACTTTATTTTAACACAATACAAACTGAATTTAGGATGTCACTTAGGCGCATATCTACACGTTGTCTTGTGTAACAAGAAAAAAGATAAAAAATTTGGACCAATTTTAAACGTGTTCTTTGCGGACTAAAGACTGTACAGATATAAGGCACTGTCAACTTGCCAAAAAACTATAATTGACGTACGTGACACTTTCCTTAATTAACCCACAGAGTGAAGCATAATGCGTCTGAGAAGATTGTAACTGAAGTGTCATAATAAACGGCGTAGCACCTCATATCTTTGGTCTTAAAAATCTTTGGTCCAATACTAAGTAGTGCGCGCGCGTAAACCTGCGTCATTTTGGCGGGAAAACGCGATAGCCGTCGTCATCCTTCTACGAGTTTTAGCGAGAATGCTGAAGTGACGGAAAATAACTATCAAAAGTTAGAAATTTTTAAAAAATCATTTTGCGATCAGAACAGGGCTTAACTTCCTTCAATAACAACCAAAACCAAAGAAAACACATCTGGTGAAAAAAAGTCAAATTAACTTTCCGGGTCTCTATTTCTGGAGACCTCGCCCTCGTCTCGAATCCAAAGATCTCTCATGAATGCGTCATTCACTGTACTTCTCCACAGACTCAGCCGTACTGAGCCGTGTTTCCGTCAATATTTGTTTACTCATTTGAAAGCCTCTTATCACGAACCTGGGTTACGAGAAGTCTCCATCCCCCGCAAAACGGTCAACGCATCACTTTAACACGAACTTAAACGAATCCAATAAACAGACTTAACAATCGTGAGTGCGTCTCACTTGAACATGTTCCAAGCTTTTGTCTTTAAGACTTAACAGCCGAGGCGAAAGGAATCTTTAAAATCAACTAAGAAACCCTTTACTTTAACACAATGCCAACTGCGTTTTGGATGTCACTTATGCAGATATATTAAATTGTCTTAAGTAACAAGAAAAATGATTAAAACTTTGGACCAATTTTGTGCGTGTTCTTTGCAGACTTAAGGTTGTACAGATATAAGGCGCTGTCAACTTGCCAAAAAACTATAATTGATATATGTGACAATTTTCTTAATTAACCCACGCAGTAAAGCATAATGCGTCTGAGAAGATTGTAACAAGTGTCAAGACCAACGTGGTAACAAGAATTATCTTTGGTCCAAGGTTTAAGCCCATAGTTGAGAGAGTAAAATAGTTATGAAGCCCATATTACCTTTGAAGCTTGCAGTCATTCACAACCAGTCTCCTCGTCTAACTAAAGTAGAACTCCGATAACTTGAACTCGGATAACTCGAACTAAGTTCTTAATTTTCCTTCGATTTCACCCCACTTTTCAGTCCGATTTTTACTAGGTTAACTCGAACTCGGATAACTTGAATTCCTCACTAACTCAAACTAAATTTCCTTTCCCTTGATCAAAATTTCACTGAATTTTACCCCGATGACTTTAATTCTGGTTCTTGTAACTCCACTCAGATACCATTTCATTATGTCTTCTTGATGTCTAATCGGTAAAACCACTAAAACTAACACTACAGCAATTTGACTTTGATTGGTGCAACTAACAGATCACGTTTTATCATAAGAAGCATATTCATGTTACCGTCTCCGATGAAATAAGTTAAATTTGCGCTGCACTATACTCTGAAGAGCTGAAAAATCAGTAACTATCAATTATTAAGACGGCAAATTTCACATTCAATCGACCCCGATAACTCGAACCCCGCTAACTCGAACTGTTTTTCGTTTCCCTTCAGAGTTCGAGTTAACGGGGTTCTACTGTATTATTAGCCTTAATGCTGGTTTGCATCCGACGCAAGCAGGCTCATTAGCAGTTATTCCACAAGTGCGCGCTGGACATGAGAAGGAAGGTAGCCAACGAAGCGCGTAGCGCCGAGTTGGCAATAATCATCTCATATCCAACAAGCGCGAGTGGAATAATTGTTTTATTAAAAACGCAACCAAAATATCGAGAGTTCTCCCCGACTTTATTTTTTAAAACAATCGATTTTCAGCTTGTTTTTAATTTTGAGCAGACGCGTACAGTTACCATATTTGGAGAGCGTGGTATAATGGCTTATATACCACGATGGCTAAGCCAATCAGAGTTCTAGAATTGCATTATCAAATGATTCAGTTTTAAATAACAAGTATTATAACCAACCATTCCACTGATTAAGAAAATATGCAAACGAGTATAATGGTTTAAAACACACAGCGTGCAAAGGAAGGCGTGTCCGATAGCCCAAGGCTAGTGGATTTTGCTATGGGGCTAGTGAATTCGCTTCTGAACTTGCCCGACGTGCGAGTGAAGTTTTTTTCGGAGAATTTTATAAAATTACAGAAGAACGGTAATCAATCCTGCTAATCAAAGAATTTTTTCGGGCAAGTTAAGATGACTCTTGGTCTAGCTATTCTAGTACAATGTGGACAGACCCTTTCGCTGTATTTCGCTAAATTTTTACCTCGTCGATTTTCATCCATAGACTCAACGCTACAACAGGAAGAAAACTAGCCTGCGAGCGAGCTCTCCACTTGGGAAAGTCGCGAGTGGTCACGCGAAGGCAGCACGTGAAAGGAGACGCGTTCTCTCGCAACTCGCTTCGCTCAAAATGGAGAGCATGCTAGCAGGCTAAAAGAAAACTAAAAGCAGTTACTCACATTGGTCAGGGCATCTGGAGGGGCTCCGTATTCCAACAGCAGGTCAATTATCCACTGATGTCCATACTGTGCGGCAAGATGAAGTGCCATGTAACCATTCTTCGTCTTGGCCTGGATGTCAGCACCGGCCTCAAGTAGTAATCTGGCCAGCTCAAAGTGACCGTATACGCAAGCAATGTGTAAAGGAGTGAAGCCACTCTGAGTGAGGACAAATACATGAAACAGATCAGTTTATTGAGCATACATTTTCTCCCCACTACTTCCTATGCAATTCATATGGAACTTGTGAAGAGAGTTTGGATCAAAATCAGGGTGTTTTATCTAAGGTGATCATATACTGTATTCTCATGATGTTATAGTGAAAGAGGTGATAGCTCAAGAGTGAATGATGCTAAACATTGTTACAGAGTCCAAAGGAGTTTCGTGTGAATAAATGAATAATTTATTTAAAGTCTCACCTTGAAAAATGTCTATACCTGTCGCTTAGCACGATTAATTAGCACAATAGGATCTTTATGAATCTACTGTAAACAATTTCTTCGCTTCTTATCTGACCCAGATCGACTTTTTTGTTCGCCATTTTGAAACTTCATAACCGCAAGCCATATCCTCGCTGGCGCACGGCACGTCGCCCGAAGGGCGACCGAGGCACGAAGTGCCGAGTAAAAAAAAAGTATTTTATACTGTAAACCGATCTTGTGAGCCCTCAGTCTCTTGGTTTGCGGTCTATAGAACGTGTTACGAAACTGTAACGCGATCAAAATAACCCATTTTTTCAGAGGTTTTCGACGGGTTTTGATGTTCTAACGACAAACACATCTCCTCTGGACTCTGTGACATTGTTAGGGTTTAAAAGGGCCAGCAGCCACGAAAGTGACGTAAGCGAGAATGACAAAAATCAATGCAACGAGTTAGAATCCCCTTTACAGCAAACGGTGAACGTTATTTTATACCATGCGATCAAGCTTTCCCTTAACTTTCCGTTAACTGTTAATTATAAGAAATATCACTCTTTACAAACATCATTTTTGTTACTAAAATTTGTAAAGATTGAAATAATAGAATCTTTTGTTTCAAGAACTAATGCGCTTCTGGTTTGGCACATTAATATCAATAGGTAACGTCAGCATGAGCATCCGTATATTTACGCAAAAATAAGTGGTTTCATGTCAGTCTGTGTTACACGACGCAAACTTAACAATTGGAGACAACTGCAAAACTGCCAATCGTGTTTTGGCAATTATGCTTACAGCAGACTCTTTCAGCCTTTTTTAAACTGTTTGACATGACGAACCAGTTAGTAAAATCCGTCAACACCACCGGAGAGAAAGCCATAAAATCAGTAACATTCATGCTAAGTTTGAGAGTCAGTGATATGTCAAAAATTAACGAAAAGATGACATCCGCAAAGCCAAGAAATTGAGCAGCAATTTGTAAGACGAGGGCCGGTTTATGACCCCGTCGAATAAACGACTATAGTATTTCACGACTTTGCGGAACTAAAGCTGTTTTAGTTTCTGACAAATCAAGTTTACAATTGGTAAGTTTCCTAGTTTAAAGGCGATCTTTTCAGCAGTGTCGATGGATGTTCGGTGACTGTTAAAAGTTACAAAAACCGTGGATCTATTCCGGTCATTTAAATCAACCAATCAGAAGTCAAAACAGACACTACAGCGCGGGAAAACGCACGTAACCTTTGGTTTTAGCCTTACTTCTGATTGGTTGAAAAAAAGCCAAGGTAACTAAACCAGCCAATGACAACAGAAGTTCGAGAACCTGAACCAAATACCTGAAGCCAGAGCCAGGCGGTTGAAATATGTGTGTGAGCAAGTCACGTATGGTTTTGATATGACTCTAAAGCTGTGCTTTAAGACAAGTGCACTGAACCTGTTAAGTCCAGGGCGTCCAGAATATGATTTCTATGCAAAAACTGAGATTTCCTAGTCGCCCAAAAGCAAAATTAAGGAGACTCCGGGCGCTGCTAGAGCACAGCCCTGGACTCCTCATTGGTTGAGAATGAGGCGCGAGCTATTAAAAGGCCGGTAACAACGTACGATTTGTCGGCCCACGTTTATCCTTTAAATGAAGACCGGCCCGATGAACCTTGGCGTATAAATTGGCAGCCAACAGATAGCACCGACAAATCCTACAGTGTAAACAGGCCTTCCTTCAACAGGGAGAACCAAAGTAACTGCTAAATTACCTTCGACCCTCAATCGAAAGCAACTCCAACTCAATGTACAAATAAATTACATACCACAGTCTGGGCATTGATAGGGGCATTGTGCTTGAGAAGAAGTTTAGCCACATCAATTCTGTTTTCTCTAGCTGTCAGATGCAATGGCGTTAATCCGTTCTATAACAAAAAACATACAATTTTCTTAAATAAGAAATCTAAGCATGTATTTTTAGCTTAACGACACATATTCCCGTCAGATAAAAGCCGATGATATTAACAGAGCAATCGCGTCAAATCAGTGTCAAATCCTGAGACTGATTCCAGAATAATCCGGATTGCCTTCATTCTTGCGATACCATTCCTTTGACATGAATTCTAAAGTAACCTGTTTTTGATGTACTTTAAACACAGCAAGAACAGTTAATTGGTACAGTATAGTTGATTTGTACAGTTAATTAAAGTTCATCAAAGAAATGGAAATTTCATCTTTTCCTAACGACCTGAAATCAAGACATCCGCCAGCCTCCGAAATACAGGCGAACAGCCAACTCCTGACGCTACAGGCTTCTATCTTTACTGACCCTGGCTGATTGAAATAAACCAGATTTCAGTGAGAAATAAACTAGCCTGCAGTGCAGGCGTCTTCCATTTAAAATCAAAGATGGGACCACTATGTGAACACGACCAAGGTTTGTTTCTAAAATACGCCTTGTTTTGTTTTTGTTTTGTTTTGTATTTGTTGTTGTTGGTATTTTATTGCAATATTATTGTTTATATCATTATTTACATTGGTGGTGACGCCTGGGAGAGCTCCATTTTCCACGAGGTGTTCACAAAGCTCCACGTGACCTTCTTTAGCTGCCAAGTGTAGAGGGCTGATGCCAGTCTGAACAGAGAAAGCAAAACAGGCTTAGCTTGACAAGGAACTGCCTAAACAACGGGAAGATCCAAGCTCGATTAACGGCCGCTGTTCGGGAAATGAGACCGCTCTTCTTTCCGGGTCTTGTTCCTCCCGAGATGAGTCTTTTCTGGGGCCCGTTTCTCGAAAGCCCCGGGAACTTTTCGGGCCAGAAGGCAAATTTTAGAATCAAAACCTTTGAATAGTAACACAGTCACTAGTTCACAAAACAGTCAGTTTTGCTTCCTTAACTGATAGTTTTATTGCATCGTTTTCAAAATTATTGACACTTTGATCTTGAATGCCAACACGGCAAACATTTCCGGGCCCGAAAAGTCACTGGGACTTTCCAGGAAAGGGCCCCAATACCCGAGAGAGCGGCGGAAGTTGAACCTAAAATTTCCCGAAGATTTCCCGTCTGTGCAAATATCACTAATTAGAGTAGCGCGAAGCAGTTTAGATAGACATGAGCCCGCTGATCTGTGAAAAAGGCTGACAACTGAATTAACCGGGCTTTAAGTCCCAATAACGATCAACACTGATTTTTTTCTAACAATATCATTACATAATCAATACAAATGTTTATGAGAGTTCATAGAATCATCGACCAAGGAAAAAATCTTTGATCTTTTATCAAATTCTCTCAACTAATTCTTTAAGGAAATGTATGGAGATCAGTTTGGAGAATTTGTATGTGGATATTGGGGCTAAAAAGGTTAAGAAGGAATCCAGCAGCACATAGAGTAATTTTGATTTTCAGTGGACAAAACTCTTGTACCAGAATTATTTAAAGCATATTGCATTCTTTGCTACATTTTTCAAGGGCTAAAGATGTAATAAATCATCTGTAGTAACACCAAAAAAAATTTCTTTTTGGAGCCTGAGAAAACGAATGTCAAATTTCCCAAAATTACATCTTACACATGAAATTTTCCGAATTTTTCTGTTTTTCCACAATTCTTGTGAAATTTGACATTCATTTTCTGGGACTCCCATGAGAAATGTTCCTTGGTGTTATTACAGAAGACAAATTACATCTTTAGCCCTTGAAAAATGTAAAAAAGAATGCAATATTCTTTAAATTATTCTGGTACAAGGTTTTTGTTCACCGAAAATTAAAATTACTCAGTTTTCTGGTGGATTCCGCCTTAATCAATAAAAACAGACAGTACCTGAGTTGTGATATCAGGGTCCATCCCTCGCCTCAGCAGCATGAGTACAATGTCTATTCTGTTTTTCTTGGCTCCAATGTGCAGAGGCGTGAATCCATTCTACAAAATCAATCGTAAAATACGAGTTCAAGTCACGTCGAACACAATGATTGTATTTTATCGGTGTGAGTAACAGAGCTTTTGAAATACAGTGGAACCTCGTTAATGCGACCACCGTTAGGCCATAAAATCCTGGTCGTAATAACGAGGTGCCGGTGGGGGTCTTAAAAATAATAAAATAACTCAGTGATTCTTACGTTTGGGTCGAAAGAGTATGGTCGTTATAACGAGGTGGTCGTAAGGCGGGGTTCCGCTGTAGTCAAGCGCGGATCCACACCGGTTTCCACCGTTTTACGGAGATCAGTCAGATTTTTCATAATAAACATATTTTTGATAAAGATAATAATAGAACTTTCCACGTCGAAATCTGGAAAACGGTCGGGACAAATGTTTTCTTTTTCCAATTTCGGGGCATTAGACAGAAACCCGGAAAAGGAAACTTTAGGGAAATTACAAAGTTTAAGGGCGATTCGTTAAAAGCGGGCGATAATATTGCTCCACAAAGTCACGAAATTTTACAGACGTTTGTATTGTGGGAAGGGAGGCGCAAACTTGCCCCCGATCATAAAAACGTCTGTAAAATTCCGCGACTTTGCGGAGCTATTCAACACACCACGTTCAAAATTTGCATCTTTAATAATTTCAAGCCATTCTTTCTAGCTGTGTTGACGGATTTTCGCTCACTGGTCCACGTCCAAAGTTGAAAAGACCATGGAAGCCTGTCTATCAACCCTTTAAAACCTAATATCAAAATTGAGATCTTCTCTTTTACTGTCCCTATACTTTTTCTATAGACGTAGTGGGCAGAATTTGTTGAAATATCAATTAGACTCATCTTCCCTGATCATGTGCTCAATTCTCATGACCACTCTGTTTTCTTAAGCATTGATGTAAATAAGGAGAAGTTTCATGCTGATCACTCTTAGGGCTTAGAACGTTAATAGTGTTTATACCATAAATTAAAATGACTTTAGAGGGGTACCTTTGCTTGCGCATTAGGGTTAGCATTGTTGTCCAGCAGGAAAGTGGCTACTTTGTCACTGTTGTAGTGTGTTGCAACATGCAGAGGTGTAAGACCATGCTACAAGACAAAGAACACTAACATAAATCAAACAATAGATTTAAAAAAACCCTCTTATTCAAATGATCACCGTAATATTCATGCCGTAGCCTTAGAGTGTACATTCACGTTAGTTTACCGTATTTCCTCGAATAATAGCCGTCCCTCGAGTAATCGCCCCCCTTTGATGGAAATGTTAAAAATAATCGCCTCCCTCGAATAAACGGTTGAAGAGAAAAAAGAGTGTTTCTCTACATCCCCGCCTGACAAAGAGCTTGCTCGCAGGCATCAAACTGGCTTGCCGATTCTTAACAATGTCGTGCGATTTCCTGGGCTCCACTAGCCTTTGGGCTATAAATATTGCCAAGAGCCAAAAAAAGATCAGTGAATTTGCGCCATTTAATACTCTCTGGCTATTTTTTTACCGATCTGCAGGAGCAAAATAATTCGCTGAGACTTGATAAATTTATGTTTGTGCCACCGCATTTAAGTATACAAAACGCTACATAAAAAAAACATAGCATCGGAACGAAGTTTAAAATTTTGTGGACGAAGCGTTTACTCCGATACCACGTGCTACAAAACAACGAAATGAACCTATCAAATAATTATGAATGCGGGAAAAGAGACGACATAAGTAGTATAAAAATGTTTGATTGTGCATCTATACAAACATGTCCGTCTTTCTCCTTTTCAACGCGTTAATAAAAATATCAGAGAGATAGTTGACTAACCTTTCCTTCTGGGTCTGGACTGTCATACCACTTGAGTAAGATCTCCACTATTCTAACATGGCCTTGTCTAGCCGCTTCATGAAGAGGTGTAAACCCTTTCTGTGAAAGAATGTATAAAATGTTTTGGTGAAACAAAACTAAAGCATGTAAATTAATGGCTGCACAATGGTCAGAAGCGTTGCTGCTGATGTGTGAGTGAAGTGTACATGAATACAGTTACGTCAGGTCAAACGTACCCCTGGTGTTATCATAATCAATTTTTGACTACAATTAAAATTTTTTCAGCATGTCGCGGACAGATTGAAAGATCTTTGAATGGTTTTGAACAGACAAAATTGCCAGGAAGATATACCTTTATATCAAATTTAAGAAAACTGAACGTGCGTGCGAATTCACTGATCATTACGCATTCAGGAATGCAGAGATGGAAACAACTGGAATCGACCATAAAATAATCAATTCATCAACGGAATCTTGGGGGAATAACAACTATTGACCTGACCGGACTGTAATATGTTACCTTCGATAGCGCCGTGACAGAAGCACCGTGCTCCAGTAGAATTTCCACAAGCTCTTCATCACCGTCTCTAGCGGCAACGTGCAAAGGTGTGCATTTGTTCTGATGAAAAGAAATTTATAAGATACTGTTAATCATACTGTTCACGGGTTAAATGTAAACAATCCAGGATGTATATCTTTTGAAGACTATGTTTCAAGCAAAGATGACTCTTAACCAGACGATACTTAATTTAATTCCCACTCTACTGACATCTGTCAGGTGTCTGGCATGCTTTGGCTATATTGTAGAAAAAAAATTACCACAAAGATTGGAGTATTTAGTCATTTGACCAGTTATAAAAGCCGAGCTTAGTGGATGTTTAAAAAAGCCATGTTCTAAGCCATTTTGACATTAACTGGGCATAACTGATCTAAGCATTGTTTAAGCAAGGACGAAAAGGGATGAAACAAAGACTAGGAAAAAAAAGTTATCTACTATGATCTAAGTTGTACGTCATTTTAGAAAGTGGTCCTTTGTGTCTTGGCATCGTAGAGGAAGAGGAATCACCTTTAAGGATACAATACGTCTTTCTCCAAACAACAAAGCCTACAGTGGCTAGATGCTATGCAATACCTCTTCCGAAGTGCTAATGACGATAACGATGATAACAATCAAGGTGATGATGATGGGGAAGACGATAAAGATGATACTAATAAAAATAATGAATTATCGCAAAGGTTGATGATGAATGATAAAGTTGTTTTCGCTTCCATCACCTTGACAACAACGATAGTGAAGACAAAGATTGTGACGATGACAACGATCATAAAGAATGGTAATAACAATCAATGTCCTGTTAATTGTGATCACAATAATGTTACAACTGTTATTTTGCACTTTTGTGACAGTTCCAAAAAAACACAGATTTATAGACCTTATCAATAGCATCTGGAGAAGCACCATGATCCAATAGGAGGTTGACCATCTCAGTATTTTTGGTCCTAACAGCAATGTGCAGTGGAGTCTCGCGATCCTGAAAGGTAAAGAAACAGGAAGGAGACATTCACAGTCAGTAGCTTTCCTGATCATGGGTAGGGGAGGGGACGTTTGCTTCCCCACATTACCTTCACTGGTGCGTGGCAACCAACAGAAGTGTGGTTTTGGAACACTTGATTTGGAATAGGGTATTTGTATTTGAGACATCAATATTAGCAGAGAAGAAAACGTCTTGAATGGGTGTTCAAAATTGGAAAAATTATTTCTAGAGTGGGGCATCATTTCCAATGCAAAATCCTTATAACAAAAAATGGAGCAAAATTTTTTAGGCTAGGTCACAACTACCCATCCAAACCTAAGTAGAAGCCTAAGAACCCCAAAATAACTGGTTACTTTAACTCTATCTGGCTCTAATAATTTATGGCTCTCATATGCTGGCCAGTCGGTTAAGACAGGGATGGCTTCTGTTGCCGATGACTTCTTGTTCCTCATATGAGAGCAAGGCTTAACACTCTCCACCCACTCCTCTCCTTCAAATCTAGGAATTTTCCACTCTTCCTTCACTAATGTGAAATGATATTTAATGAGTGTTTGGAAATCAGATGGAGAACCCCTTATTTTTGCATCCTTAATTGCTCCTCCTAAAATCATTTTATTTGAGAAGAAACATCAAGCATTCAACACAGCATTTAATCTCAATATCAGACACTTCAAAGCTCGTCAAAAATGGTTCAATGTGTATCATTTTTCAACTCTCTTCTTAGTATTTGATTTTGAGATGAAACACTCTGTCTCTGTTTGATACCTACAGTTCCCGGTTTAAATGGACACTACCTTTTAAAAAGAAGCTTTAACCATTCACTAAACCATCACAAGCAAATTGTTTATTTCTACCTGTGTTTTTGCATCCACTGCTGCTCCATTCCTAAGAAGCAGTCGCACAATTGTTATATGACGTCGACGGCAGGCAATATGGAGGGCTGTTTCACCTCTCTGGAAAAAAACGTACACAACATTTAAAATAAGTGGGTGGGTCTCTTTTACAATAATAAATAATAAAACTGTGAAAGGTTTGAACACAAGGGTCACTCGTAAGTAGCCTGAGTATGATCGTGCGGGTGAACGTAGTCCTGAATAGGAGTTGTTGGCAGTGACTGACGTTTCGACAACCTCAACAGCTGAGTGGTGGTCATATTCAGAGTCAAACGGCGCTTTCCATTCAACAAGACTGAATTCCGGTTGGAAATTTCGGAAATTCTATGTGCCCAATGGAACGGCACATTCCGGTTGCACACACCCGACCGAACCCTCAGCGTGTTTGTTTATTGTTCTTGTAAGCAGGAGGGAACAACAATTGGGACATTTCGGTCCGACCGACCAAAATGACCAGGTTTGTCAAAATGGACCACCCTCAAAGCTGGTCCCGAACATTCCGGTCGGACCAAACCTGATTGGTCAATCAAGTCGCGATGTTGTTGGTCATCAGTCAGTTAAGCCGTGATGTTAATCTAGTACCCAGATCTCTTGTTGACGAACCCAATCAAGAGATCTGGGTACAAGATTACCGTTATGTTATTGGTTTTGAAGACTCGTGGTGCCATTGGTGCGTTTTGATCCGTCTATTATCACAGTTTAATAGTCGTTTATTGTTAGGTTGTCCAGTCATTCTCTCGTAGTTAGTTTTGCACGACAGTGACACCCAAGTGAAATATACAGCCAAACACACAAAATACAGTGGACGGTAAAGAGGATAAGGGATAACATCTCACCAAGTGGTGTGAATAGTGCTAGTAAAACACAAGCAAATCCAGAATTCGCACTTCTTATGATTTTTTTACATTTCTATGCCGCGGGCGTTCACTGCACGACTTCAACTTCAGGAGACAAAGTAACCGAGTGTGAATAATCACGAGAAACGGCGCGAATTCACGTTTGCATCACCATAGCCGTTGAGGTATCTTAACTTCCTACTTGAGTCCCTATTGTTGTCGCATATACATTCTCTGGCCACGGAATTTACAATAATTTACCAATAATGTCTTCTTTTTAATAATTGTTAATTTTCCTTAATAAATATCTGTTCTCTTGCGCCCATCTTGACTAGTTTAAGCTAATAATGGGCATCAGGTGTTGTCTTGTATAATTATTGAAAGTTTGTGACAAGGTGGTTGTTGTTGTTAAATTACAGAACAATAGTCCCATAATATTTTCCCCAGAGACCACAAAATTTGTTTAAATCGTTAAATTTGATCACTTCACTACCACAATAATTTTCTAGTACGTGTAAGCTGATACGATAAATTTAGCAACCTACTAAAACATGAAGATAAAATTAATAATTAGCAAAGAAAAATCCTGACATAAGTTTTCCTTTCTACTCAGTTATCAAGAACAATATTATCATGAGGTGATGACAAGCTTGTTATCGGAAAAAGGGATCCTTTTGATTGATTTTGTCAGAAAGAAAACTTCCGGTCAGCTACTGAAACTCATTTGCATAATTATGAGATTATGCAAATCAACATGCAAAATGGTTGTACAGTTTGCCATGTGTTTTACTGTGTCACAGAGCACAAAGACCTTAATTGAACTCACAGGGTTTAAAGCTGACCTAATGTACAATTGGATTTAAAATCTTCCATTGCGTTCACGAAATCAGTGAAGAGGAAGTCCTCAAAAGGTTTCACTTTATTGAAGGATAAGTTAGAATTAGGCCTGTGAATAAAGTCCTCGGCAATTCACCTAGTTTGCATACATGCATGTGCCTACCAAACCAGTAGCATAAATGACTGGACAAAGAAAATGACTACAGTAATTTTAGAATAGAATAAAAAGAGTGCTTACCACGTTAGTGAAATCAGGTGAGCCACCATGCTGAAGAAGAATAAGGACTAACGTCACGTTTCCATAATATGTTGCCACATGCATTGGGGTTTGGCCACCCTGAAAGAAAAAGAAACCAATAAAATAATTTCAACAATGACATACTCTACAATATTCTCATCAAAATGTGAGACTTCACAGAAGGATTGTGGAATTGTTTACTGACAGAGACAGCTAACCTCATTAGCAGAATGAACATTTGCACCATATTTTAGTAGCAGCTGAATAACTTGTTCTCTGTTCTTTTTACAGGCAACATGAAGAGGAGTAAATCCATTCTAGAAACAAACACAGAAGCAACAGAGCAAAGTTATCTCTCTAACTTACAAAATTATACAATTACAATGTTTAAAGTAGTTGCAGTATCCACGAACACCAAAAATAAGCAAGAAGAATCAATCCAATGGCATTAGTTCTAAAGGAAATTCACCTTGATTTGCCGTTCCTTCTAAAGTCAAAAACCCCTGCTCTCCTAAAATTTCCTAGTTATGTATATATTTCGGGTATCGGGTTTTTCCTATCAGTAACCGCTTATTATCCAGCTATCTTTTCAAGGCAAGTAGTCAATGAATTATTTCACCTTGACATCGACGTTCAACACTTAAAGACTGGTAACTAAATTTGTTGGGCAAGAGAGCCAGTTAAATACAGTTTTTTGCAGCTTGAGACTGCATTAATTGTACTTGAAACAATGTCTTAGGCTTTTGAAACTAACAAAGGGCTGAAGGCATAGCCATCATGTCCACTACAGGTTGTTTTCCTTCTGGTAAAGACATGTTCAGGGGTTTCAATAAAAATTGAAGTAGCCAGCATGTTTGAATTGAGTAACCGACTGTTTCAACCAGAGGCCGTTAGTCCCCTATTTCTAAGGGGGAGGGGGTCTGGGGGCGTGCTTCCCAAGAAAATTTTGAAATTTTAAAGGCCTAAAATGCGATTCCCAGCATTCTGGGAAATAAATTCAGGACAAAAGAGCGTGGTTCTTTCCTTCATTGAAGAAAATGTAGCTTTCATTCAACTTTTAATCTATCAGCCAGACAATCAATTATTCCTACAACCAATGAACAAGTGATGAAATCTAAATTACGCTCTTTTGCACGTAAACAAACTTGTGAAAAATTGACTGAACCATAGCGTTCACATGACTTGAGTAAAAAACCAGTGGGCCTTTATGAAAACACATAATTACGTTTTCATTCAGATTGTATGATGCATTTTTGGTTACGACGTTATTCAAACTATTTGCTTCTTCTTTCTAGAAAAAAGTAGCCGACTTCTCTGAGCAAAGAAGCAGGCGCACGTTTCGTCGGCCGTTGGTGCGTATTGAAACCCCTGCGTGTTAAACAGAAAATTCAACAAAAAATGGAATAATTATATTTGCCCTTTTATTCTTCTTCCACATGGTTCTTTTCGGCTTTCCAACATTTTATAACCATGGAAGCTGAAATTTTCTTGAATTTCTCATTTTTGACGCTACTGGGGGAATAAAAGGGTGTTTTTTTACCACATCTTTCCTTGAATATTTTTTGTATACTCTCGGGTTCTGATGTTTTCATTGAAGGCCACATCTAATGAACAAGACTGACTTACCCTGGCTCTTGCATCTGTGTCAGCTCCACGTTTTAGCAACAATTCAGCAATATCTACGTGACCATAATGTGCTGCTATGTGAAGAGGTGTAAGACCATTCTTTACAAAAAAAAAAGGAAATAAAAAATCACCATTAAGAGACGACTTCCCACAAGTTTGTTTTGAAACAAATCAAAAGTACATGGAAAGCTCCAACAAAAATTCAAACAAACCATTAAACACATGGTGAGAAAATAAAGACCAGGTCATTAACAGTTTGTAGAAAATAATAATAAAAAAATCAGAAAATCAGTGCCTAGCAGACTAAAATTAATCAATGTTCTATGTGTACTTCAGTGAGAAGAGTGAATGTGAGTCTATGAGGATGTATAATAACCTTGTGGACGTTTTGACAGCAATTTTCAAAACCATATCACGTTCCAAAAGTGAGGAAAACAAAGATGTTGAATTTCATTAACTGTTTAATCAACAACAATGAAAGAAATTTAGAAGGCCAGAAAAAAGAAGGAAATAAATCCAGCACAACTGCAAGTATATAATCTGCTAACTTTTTCCAAATCATGAAAGTGAGATGTTTTTCTAGGGGTGCCTAGATTTCAGATGAAAACTAAATAATATCTAAAGATACTAGCTCTTTCCGAAATTCTGCCTTCAAAATGCACATTTCAAAACAAACATGTTCTCAAATTTCAATAGAGTCATTACACTGTCATGATATGTCTGTCTGTCTACCTGTCATGAGTTAAAACCATTTTTTATTACAGGCCACATGATGTTTATATTTTGTTACAGATCATGTGTTCTTACTGTAGCCACAGCATTAACTGGAGCCTTGTTGTCAATAAGGAGGACAGATGTGCTGGAATGGTTCCCTTGGCAGGACATGTGCAAAGGTGTAAGACCATGCTGGAAAAAAAAAGCAGTCATGTAGATGAGATCAAAATTCATTTTCTCCTCTAAGGTAATGCAGAATTAAGAGTATTGGTGAAGAGATGTTGGGAAGATGATCTCAAAAAAAATTCAGACCTCTTTATCTTCTAGTTGAGAAACATAATGAAAACTTGACAGACAAATTATTTTTCTGTTGACCTTAAACCTTTTCCTAAGCAATTTCACCATGCATTATCAAAAGTGAGGAGATGATCCTCAATATGTCAGCTAATTAAATGTACTTGTCCCTCTCAAAACGTCCCTTAAGTTGAATTGGCTGGAAGCACTTTCCAGCATTTTTGCAAGGTTTAAAATAAATTTCAGGAGAGGGTACAGAGATACATTAACACTATTTGAAACATTAAGGTGGCTCTGAGCAAGGTTTTTAACTTGCCAAAAGGTTGCATTTCATCATGCTTATCATTGTTGGAAATATTAGAAACTGGGGGTTGCCAAAACTCATTGAAAGTGTAAGTCCATAAAGCTGAACTTGAGGTTGTTTTTGACAAGCAAGTTAATATATCATGGTTGCTATAGTAACCTGTAATATCAAGAAAATGACCACACCAGGCTAACAAATGAGGAGTGAGGTATATCAAACCAAGAACCCTCTGTAGGGGTACACGTAAAAATGGGAATTTTCAAGAACAACACAATGGCTACAAATTCATGAAGAAAGCCACTGGGGTTCACATTTAGTAAAAGGTCCATGTCATTTTTTTATTTCTGATGACAACCTACTGTATGAGCACCCTATTAAAATAAAAAGTACTAAGGACATAATAAAAATTCTACAAACCTTAGTTCTTGCAATTATGGAGGCCTTCTTATTTACAAGATATTCTACGACTGTGTCATGTCCATCTCTTGAGGCACAGTGAAGAGGTGTTAGACCATCCTGGAAAAAATAAAGGCAAAGAAAAAACAATATTAAAAATTGAGGTGATCAAGATATCTGTGAATTGCAACATAAAGACTTGGCACATGGTCCAACCTTTTGAAAATGTAAAACTTGGATATTTTCTAATCAGTGATGAATCCCATGAGCACCAAAGGAGCAAGCCGCTAGCGGGGATTGAGGGCCTGCTCCCCCAGACAGTTTTGAAATCTTGATGCTCTGAAGAGGACAATTTCTGTCTTAAATGTTTGCTAAATCAATTGTCATTTTTAAGTTTACCAGTATATTAATATGCATGGCTTCTTGTGCAAGTACTTGATTTTATTTTGTATTTCATGCAATAAGTTTTCTGGATATCTGAGATTCAGTCAAGTTTACTCTTTTAGGTGTTCTTGTATAAGAATCATAAGAATTCATTTGAAAATACCAGAACAGCTAATCAAAACACAGGTAACCCAGGCTCTGTGATAGTACCACAGTACGGTTCCAGTAAAATTACAGTGTTTGTATGGGGTAAAAATATCATCCTAACATTTCTAGGAAATACTAAACAAAGATCAATGAAACTTACTCTGCAGTTAAAGGCCCATGTTCACCCTAGATGCATTGCGCGCCCTGTACTCCAGAAAAAACATTTCGCGTAGTTGAAAATCGCTGCCTTTAGTGTGTAAGGTCAATCTTTGTTAATCTTCTACAGTTCGCTAAATCTGGTTTAACAGAAAGTCTCAACAAGTTCTTTTGGTATTTTTCTTTACATCTTCTTGGATATTTTGGAATGATATCGAGCCTTTTTGTTTCTGTGAGAGTTTGTTTCACTGCAGCACTTTCGATGGCGGCTCCATCGAAACAAACGGTTGGAAGCATGGTTGGAAGACCGCGTCGACGGGGGTCGCCGAAGTACATTAGTCTCCGTGAATCCGTTTTTTTAATCCCTGGAGAGATGGGAAAGAAACTCTTGGCTGTAAATTCTACAGACAGCGTGTTTGCCGAGTTCCTTCTACATCGAATGTTCAATTGTAAACAAAGGTCCCGTTGAAATCAGTTGAAAGCAAAACAAGCGAGTCAATCTAACATGAACAATGCTTTATTTAATTTAACCTATGAAGCGAGTGATATCCTTAACGTAAACTTATCGTCTGGCATATCACGATTAAATCTGGCCCTAAAGTAGCGAGAACTCTTATTAGCAAACCAATCCTTAGCAAAACCTAAAGAAAGTGTAATACAGCGATTACAGCGACAAGACCGTACGCAGTGCCGATTCGACGCTTTGCAAACACAACTTCTCGCTTATTCTTTCGAGCACACATACCTAAGCTTCCTAAGAATTAACACAAAATAATAGATTGAGGAATCAAAACATTTCACAGTCGAATCGGGCTTCAGGAAAACCTCACCTGGTGCTTATTAGACGTTTCGTAATTTATGACCTTCATTGTGTTCATTGGACTCAACAAAGCATCCAGATGCATTCACTACCAGTTTAAATTTTGAACTGCTTTCTGCGGTGACATTTAACCCCGGGCATTTAACAAAGTCGGCGATATATCTTCCTCCATTTGAAAAAGAATTAAAAGTCTTACTGGCCTCTCTGATAAAAAGCTGCAATTGTAGTCTCCCTCGCAGTCGTTTTTAGTATCGTCACGCAACGCTCCTCACAGTGGAAGCCAATCAAAACACTGCATTTGACAAAAGAATCGTTTCAAAACAAAAACACAAGCGCGCAAAGCCGTTTGGGTGAACATGGGCCTTTAATTGTTGTTGTCCTTATTGCTCCTACTAAGTTTCGTGATAATTTGCAGTAATTTGTTCAAATTCACTCTGTCTACAATAATAATATACAAGGTAGGAAACACGAGGTGCCATTTTCGCCGACATGCTCTCATTCAACACAACTATTTCCACGAAATTCGAACTCCAACGGAAAATAAACATGCCAGAATCGTAGAAATAGGATAGCAGCAGATATAGAAACCAATGAAGCTTTCCCAGATAGAGAAACGAATCCCACAGACTTTGGCAAACTCGAAGAATATAATCCAAACAGACCGAGAATACGCTCGCCGAAGCAGCCGGGCCAGATCAACACGCGGCCAAGAAAATGAGGCCTGGGCACTGTACAAAAAAAATTCCATCCCGGGGGTCCTGGGGTGACCTTTCTAGGGACCGATACATCATTATTTTGCCCAAAGCCACCCTCCCCTACTGGAAAAATACTTGATAGAAGGCAACTGTTCTTCCTAGCCGTACCACCCTGGCCTGTTATAAAGAGATTATGTCCCTCTCGAACTACATTCAGCGCCTGGCGCTGGTCCTCAGAAAGTTTATCAAAAATCAATAGGGCAAGGTTATAAGCAGTATAAGGGCAAAGGAAAGAACAACGAAGGAGGATTTACAAAACTCAAAACGAGCAAAAGATATGAGTGAATTTTGGCTCTTACCGAGGCATTTGTACAACAGGACCAAATTCAAAGAGAGGTGTATCACGATGATTCATATATTTAACCGATAGAGCGTTCACCTGTATTGATAAGAAGTCGGCGTGTTACTGCCGCATTAATCGCTAAATATGTTAATCGCGCTAGTTCTTTGTTTACTGGTGCACGTGCCTTTCACATCCGTCTCAGTTATCGCAATTCATATTCTGTCGCAATTTTCAGTATAATTTTTGACATTAGTTTGTAAGCTTCACTGTTTATTTACAATAGTTTCGCTCGAGAGTTCACAGCAACAGTATCTTAGTCATCATCTACCTTTTGTTCAACCTTGTTTTTAGCCCGCCTTGTAAGTATTTCGCATTGTTATTTCATTAGTTTCATTACTGTTATTTGCATTCCTTAGTAAAAGAAATGGGGCGTCTTGTAACTCCCCAGACTCTCCTAATTATATATATATATATTTTTTTGCCATTTAAATTTAGGCGCGTGTGCGGGGTTTGCTCTGGCAAATAGTGATTGGCTAGGAAGAACAGTTGCCTTCTATCAAGTGTTTTTCCAGTAGGGGAGGGTGGCTTTGGGCAAATGATGTATCGGTCCCTAGAAAGGTCACCCCAGGACCCCCGGGATGGAATTTTTTTGTACAGTGCCCAGGCCTCATTTTCTTGGCCGCGTGTTGATCTGGCCCGGCTGCTTCGGCGAGCGTATTCTCGGTCTGTTTGGATTATATTCTTCGAGTTTGCCAAAGTCTGTGGGATTCGTTTCTCTATCTGGGAAAGTTTCATTGGTTTCTATATCTGCTGCTATCCTATTTCTACGATCCTGGCATGTTTATTTTCCGTTGGAGTTCGAATTTCGTGAAAATAGTTGTGTTGAATGAGAGCATGTCGGCAAAAATGGCACCTCGTGTTTCCTACCTTGTATATTATTATTGTAGATAGAGTGAATTTAAACAAATTACTGCAAACTATCACAAAACTTTGTTGGAGCAATAAGGACAACAACAATTAACTGCAGAGTAAGTTTTATTGATCTTTATTTAGTATTTCCTAGAAATTTTAGGACAATATTTTTACCCCATGTAAACACTGTAATTTTACTAGAACCGTACTGTGGTACTATCACAGAGCCTGGGTTACCTGTGATCAAAATTGGGATTTTTCCTACCCCAATCACACATTGATCATGATCCAGGTTTTCATGCAAAATCAGGAGAATCCCAACAAGATCAGGATGGTTGGACAGTCTGCCTTTGGGGGCACCCTAACTTACGCACATAGTCATTTCTGCCTCCCATTTATAATCTCACCTTGTTGGGTATATCAACTTTTGAACCTTTTTCTACCAACAGAGTCACAATATTAAGGTTGCCATATTTAGCTGCTACATGAAGTGGAGCAATAACATAATTCTACAGAGAAAAATGAGAGAACGTTTAGTTAGCAAACCAGCAAAAAATAGAGTAATAAAATGTTAATATTATTTCATTAGTATGGTGGACCTACATTTCATTTTTATCTACTCTTTACCAATATATACATTTTTGATGTTTCATCTGGAATGAGATCAAGTCATGTTCAGCAGGGCTAAATAAAAGCTGGCAGGGCTTATGTGTGAAGGTTTTTAGTTTCTGGATTTATACTAATTATTGAAAAATAAATTTACATCAAAGAATTATAGCAAATTGAAACTCTGGCAAGACTGTTAAGTCAATGTTTCAACAACCTCTCAACATCTTTTTCAAGATGCAGTTGATGTTAAGCCATGTGACCACTTAAGTCACCTGACAGGAGACTCAGCAATGTGGGCAGGACCTCATTGCCCCGGTCATGGCTGAGAGCAGGAAGCCTACAGTGAGTCTGGAGAGCTTTTTTAATCTAATTTTAAACTCAGAACTCACTATCTATTTGCTTATTAATAAAGTTTTGAGTTATGTCACGCTATAATATTAAGTGTACACGTCTTTGACAATGTCTTCTGGAAATATCGATAATATTTAATTAGAGTTTGCTGAGAGGAAATCATTCTGCATGCAGACATGTTTCTCTGATGTGAGTACCTTAGTTTTGTAGTCAACATTTGCACCATGTTGAATTAGTACTCCTGCAACATTGAGGTTTCCATATTTTGCTGCAATGTGAAGTGGAGTGAAGCCATTCTGTAAAAAAAAATGTGCAAGTGGTATTTTAACATAGTTGTCAAACCCCAGAGATTACCCACCCACCCTAGCTCTTTCCCTGCTGTCCCTTTCTAATCCACCATTTTTTACACATGCCAGTAGGAACTGTGATGGAAATGCATCAGTCACAAGCAACTACAAAGCTACTATTAGTCTCACACAGCAAATCAAAACCATGACCAGATGAAGACCAGCAGTGAGGGAATGATACAACAAAATCTGACAATGAAAACATACTACACAAGCAACAAACAAATTAACCATGACCATCTCTATAACATGCAAAAATAGTCCTATGAGAGGACATGAGCTTGCTGGCCATTCAGTAAATAGTCCGCACAAAAATCACGTGCTTGCAAAACAAAACTGTTCTTCAAGGCAGTGATGTTGTGTAGCAACTTCTAATCGGCATACGCACTGTTTGTCACTGTTTGTTCCATGTTATAAGTGCTTTAAAGCATTGGGACAATTGTGATTTCTTGCCAAGATTAAGCGCGCAAAATAATGTCATAACGAAATTACCATAAGATGAAATTTTAAAAACACCAGTTGTTTTAAAATTATGCAAATTTGTGACATTTTAAATGAATGTTTAAATAGTAAAAGTGACAAATTGGTGTTTGCATTTTCCCACACCGTGATTTTCAGTGTTTAATACTACTAACAACAAACAAATATTCATTACTTAACCAGTAAAACTCAATCAACACATAAAGCAATTACAAATGGATAAAAATAAATGTAGCAAAGAAATTAATGTGACTAAAGCAATTTGAAAATTATCATATGTCAAAACAGCACACTTTTCCTGTAAATATGATAATTATATGACCATTCCTCATGAATGCAAACACTTATGTTTTTAAAATTCATGAAATGGACCATAATAATTTCTTATTTGAACTTTTTAAAAAGCCCTAAGAACAATCAGTATCAAATTCCTCTTTGTCATAATAACGCTTTAATATAAACGTGTTACTGCATGTACGAGAACAATAAGCCTACCATCATTTATTCATTCATTCTTATGCAAACAATAGCTTAAAGGCAGCCTTACTGGCTATAATCGGAGCCAGTAAGCTCAAAAAAATAAATTTGAATCAACTTACAGGTGCCTCAACATCAGGTTTGTGATCTTTTTGCAGTAACAGCTTGGCTGCCTTGGCAAAGTCTTTTCTGGCAGCAGTGTGGAGAGAACGGTAGCCTTTCTGTAATTCAAAATAAACACAAATGAGAACAACATTAAACTGCATCACCTCTTGTAAACATGAATGGCTGTCTGTTCATGCTCTTTTGTTGACAGAGTAGCGTTATTATTTCTAAATAAGGAGTAGCAAGAAGAGGAGGGAAGCTGCAAAGAACAGCTAAGTGACTTACCCTGGAGTCATGATGAAGCAGAGCAGCAACAACTTTCTCATGCCCTTGTTGGACAGCAACATCAATAGGTGTAAAACCATCCTGGAAAAAAGTACACAGAATATTAGCCTGTTGATTTTAACCTACAACATTAACATTGATGAAATCAGCTGATCAGTTATCTATGTATACTGTGTAGTTTTGCTGCAACTTAACAATCACTTGACATCGTGATTTAAAACATGGTAAATACCACAAGACACCGGAGGAAAAAAAAACGCATGTAATAATAATGAGAAAAAAAGAGGACCTTCAGCTGTTTATTTTATGGGTTTACTGTACTATGAAGTGACTATTATTTTACATAATAAACTTCTTAGACAGTATTTTCGTGTGGAATGAATTATGTCATTGTTTTCCACAATCGTGCACAGTGAACTCTACTATACATGTATATTTTGCCAATTGACCAAACCTAGTGGATCAAACTGGGTTGGATCAATTCTGTAACCTTATCCCTAAGTTTTTACCAATTATTTTCTAAACTTATTCAGAATACTTCATTAAACAGTGCTGTCATTAAGGGCTGGGGGCCTATGGGATTTCCCCTGGCTACATGTACATGGAATGTAACCCCCAGCTACTTTCATAGGAGAATAGAAGATAAATAAAACTAAATAAAATCTCAAATCCCTAGCAATTTGATTCCCCATCTACTTGTTGCATCACCCAGCAACTTGAAATTTTTGTGACAGCAGCCCTGTTTAGAGTACTAATATCTGAATATATAGACTAACCTCTGTTGTAACTTGCTGGTTTGCTCCTCTACTTAGAAGTGTTCTCACTACATCCACATGACCTTCCTGTGCTGCCATGTACAGGGGAGTGAAACCATTCTGTAATACAAAATAATGAATCATGCAAGTTAACGCACTGTACCTGGGTGCATATTGCATGCCAAAAAATCTACTCCAGATGCATGGATCATTCAAGATACAACACCCTATTTATGACAAATTCTGCCCCTTTTTCTAAGCCATATCAAAGATTAGACTGACTCATCACAGTGGCACAATATCACACTAAAGTAACCTGCCCACAGGACTACAAGTATTTCAGAAATGCCAACCTCCGGAGGTCTTAAGTCTGAAGACTCTCTCTTTTGCACTACCCCCCCCGAAAGTCAACACCCCCCTGCCCCCAGATTGACCTAGCCACCAAATTATGACATAGGAATAGCTTAGGACATTATATGAGGTCTTACATGAAGTACCTACTATCATGACAAAACTAATCTTTGTCAGTTATTAAATATGTGCAAAAATGTCCCAGAAACCATACAATGAAAGAAATTTGAGGGAAAAAATGGGCTAAATTTCAAACTAAAGCACAGAAAAGCTCCAAAAAGTCCATTCCGGAAGATTTGGTGACCCCATACGGGAGAGACTCCTGGATAATCCAGGATGGTTGGCATTAATTATATGCTATTCTATGCTAATTGAAAATTCTCTACGACACAGCTGGAGTCCCATGAACAGTTTATATCAAAGCAGGAACTCTCACTTAAGGAACTGATGCCTAGGACAGGATTTGGTGAGGTGGGTGTGCTACCGATAAGTTTTAAACAGGATCTACATGTAAGCTGCTGTAAACACATCCCAATGGTTGCCTAATGTACACAAAATGTACAGGGCTTTCATTCAGGGGCCACGAGTTATAACACCAGATGAAGCACTTCAAAGAAAAACTTGAATTACAGTTTTGGACAAGTCATTTTTACAATTTCCTGTGGTCATCGATTTTGATTTTGTTGGAAGCTAGTGACCTCCTTGGCCTTTCCCTTTTAGGCAAGTTGACAGGAAATGCTACTTGCTCAGCAGGAAAATCGTAGTTGTCTTAGAAGAATGGACAGGGCTATTTTCAAGATCAGTAACCCCTTTATGATGGCAATAATCAGAACTGTGGAAACTTAATATAACAAACTGCTGTATAATAAAAACCTCCTACATGTATCAAGGCTGTGCTCTAAAAAAATTGAAGGGAGCCCAGTGCTCTGAACTTGTGAAATCCAAGGTGCCCAGCATACATGTATGATTTGTATGAAAAAAGTAAGATTTTCTAGTAGTCTGGGAGCAAAAGTTACGAACCACAGGCCACTGGGCACTGCTAGAACAATGCTCTTCTTGCTATGATGATTGATACTATCTCTTAATTGACCTATTAATATTAAAATATATGAAAAAGAACCTTGCTAAAATAAAACCTTGTTATAGCAAACATATTTCACCAGTCCCTTGGCCCTTTATAACCAGGTTCCAATGTAATTTGACATAGACAGAGCAAGATTTTTCATGAAGAAGATAGCTGCACTGTTAAAAAAGAGGTACTTTTCTTGTATGTGCAGGTCCATTTAGCAGGTCATCCATTAACCCAAGGGTCATACACAGGGACAAAAGTCAGAAGTTCTCATAGAAGTGACCAGTCATAGTGTTTTAATTATATGTAGTTAGTGTTTATACTCTGTCAGAAAAATTCTTCATAAAACATACCTGTGCCCTTGAATTGACAGATGCACCATTTGCTAACAAAACTTCAACAGCATGTTTCTGACCAGCAAGTGAAGCAATGTGCAGCGCTGTGTTTCCTTTCTTGGTGGTAAAGTTCACTCCTGCTCCACGCCTTAAAAGTTCTTGTACAACCTCCACGTGGCCCTCTTTAGATGCCAAATGCAGCGCATTGAGACCATTCTGAAAATTGTCATGAAACATATAATGTTCATCATGGCTAATGTGTATAAAGGGTTTTGTTTATTGCTTGTTTAATTTATTGATTTGTTTCAACCACATACTGTAGGTCTTGATCAGGTGATAGTTTTGGTTTACTGAGTTTAAGGACTATTTGTACATGTGTACCACCATGGTTGTTAGTGATTGGTGTACACTGTATCACAAACCTCACTTATAGTTAGATTACATTCTGGAAAATTTATGAAATCATGACTGTATTTGCTCTTCTAACTTTGAAGTCTTTAAAGGAAGTCAGGACTGAAATGTGAATTTTAAATACAGGTTGTACAGCTGTATGTGGAATACCGTATTTCCTTAATGCCTGGGCGCTTATTCAAAATTACAAAAGGAGGAGGCCAAGGCGCTTATTGGAAGAGGGGTGCTGTTTTCCTTTCAATAAATTAGTGTAATTTTGTTTCACAATGGCTAAATCTTTAGTAGAAACATGAAGTTAATACTAATAGTCTTTTTTGTTAAAACAGTAGTTGGTAATCAAGCATGCACTACAGTAGCCCCATTAAACACTTAGCACAGATATGTATCAGTATTGGTTAATGCTTGTTTATAGAATATTGATTATCTTATCACCCCTGCGAACATCCTCATCAGTGATATACACAGATCTTCACATTCCTCTTGTATACCAACTATTATTTTAAGAAAGTGAGGGGAGGATAAGGGGGACGCTTATTTTAAGAGGCAGACCTGCCAACTCTCACGGTTCTGCTGTGAGTCTCACGATTTTTTGTCATTTCTCATGGTCTCACGACAAGGCTCCTCAATCTCACAGGTTTTGGGAAAAATCATTCTGATTCGTTGAATCAGAATAAAAATGAGAAATTAACGAGGAATGCTTGTGCCATAAAGTGAAAAACTAATAAAGAAGAACACTGTTCTTACTTTTTTGTACCCAGCTGTGATTTTCGCTTGTGTTCAATAAACTTAATCGTTTTTTTTCGTGTCTGTCCGCCATTTTGAAAGGGGAGTAGGCCCTGGGAACAAGGTCTAATTCCCAGGCGTCTCCCATGTTGACTTTCCCAGTAGTCTTTGTAAACTGTTAATGACTTTCCTCGATGGAAAAGGGGTTTGTTTAATCTTGATCGGGAAAAAAATAAAATCTCACTATTTTTTATAGAATCTCCAGATTTTTTTCATGGGTCTCCAGATTTTCCTTTATCAGGGGTTGGCAGGTCTGAAGAGGGGCGCTTGTTTGGTATTATGGCCTAGGGGGGTGGGTGCTTATTTGGGGGAGGGCACTTATTCGAGGAAATACAGTTTACATTTTAGGTGAAGTCACACTCCAGAAAATATAAAAATTCAATGTGAGGTCTCTGTAGGTTTCCTCTTTGCCCTTCCATCAAGGTCTGGCCATAATTGGCTTCCCATATACAGTATGTTGCTAATGTTTTCACTATAAGCTAGCAGCTTTACCCTCCCTCAGGAGAACACGTGGCCAGTACAGTTGAACCTCAATCTGTGACCACCACTTGTAAGCAACCACCAATCCAAAACAACAAACTTTTGCTACTCAAAGTCCTTTGATTAGCATCTCTTGTCAACGATCACCCTTCATAAGCGACCACAACCACTTTTAGTGCTAAGGGTTTTATAATTTTCCTTTGTTTTTAACCTCTTGTAGGCGACCACTTGACTCATGGTCTAATCTCTTCTTTCAACGTATAATGTACTACACCACTCATAGTATATGAAGAACTTTCAGTGACGACATGCAACCACACATATTGTAACTGCATTATTATATATGTTGTGAAAGGTTGTCATCAAAAGTGCACGCAACAATCCTGAAAGGTATTGTGGGTGTTTGTTGTCGTTGCTTAAGGTCCCTTGTGATGATGACATGATAGGGTTTAATGATTCCATTTCCTTTACACAAATGTGGACATAACACCCCCAATCAATGCCCCTCCCCTCCCACTCTGAAAAAATTTGAAGAATTACTAAAAAGAGAAATCCCCAAAGACAGAGTATTTGACAGAAACCTTGCTTTGTTTATCTTCGCGTTTTGTTATTACCATTTATTGTTTTGTTGCAAAATAAACATACTACACGTGTTGAAAATGGTGAAAATTTAATAAGCACCCAGCCTCGAATAAGCGCCCACTCTCAAGGTCCAAACATTTAATAAGCACCCAGCTAGGCAGTTAATCGAGTACATACGGTATAATAATAATATCAGGCTACTTACAGCATTGCAGGTATGGATATCCCCTTCATCGTTGAGAAAATTCCGCACCTTTTCAAGATTCCCAGCTCTCGCAGCCCTCAAAAATGCAACATCAACCTAATGACGATTAAAATGATCATAAGAAATTGGTAACAAAGAACCTAAGTGGCAGCAGGATCTTTTGAAAAGTCAAAATACCAACAGGCAGCTCTTTCTGACTACAATGGGAACACTCTCATCAGGATACATGCCAAAAGGTGACCTTCGCTGCTTGAAAGAGGTGGATGCTTGAAAGAGGTTCAATTTACAATATTCTTTCGTATAATTTTGGGACTTTTGACTTGCTAACCCCCAAAAGGCAAAAAATGTGAGATTCTGAACCTAGAGCTGGAAAAAGTAGTAAGAAATGGGTAAAAAGTAGTGAGATGTCCCACATTTCCAAGTGGAAGGACATCCAGTGGGTTTCATGGGTATTGGAAGTCACATTATGATATTATTGTAAAGCTGGAGCTGTAAACATCACAATCAATTTTACGATTTTGCTTGCAGCCATCTTGAAACATGAGAAACATGCGCATTTGGTGGCAGCTGCCAGTTGCTGTAGGCTAAGAGAATGTAATCAAACCGCTAAAGGTTTTCATTGAATTTGGCTGGCTTTCTTTCAATATCCAGCTTGAAAACAAACCCTAGAGCTCCAAAATGTTTTTGGGAGTTTGAATTTTTGAGAAAGCATGAGAAATCAGTTGCCAACTCCTGAGAACGTGAGATAGGTCATGAAATCATAGGACTCATGACAAAGTTGTGAAAAATCTGACTTGGATTACCAGCCACTTAATAATAATAATAATAATAATAATAATAATAATAATAATAACAGGGCCATGGCCAGACTTCAGAACAAGACGAGGCAAGTTTTCGTGACATTTTTCTTCAGAAAAGTCAATCTTGGGCAAGTGTAGAAGTTCACTTTTTTATTGCCTAACGATACTGGTGCCAAGTTAATGACCATCTGCATTTTAAAGCATTCAAATGTTGTAACATGTATTATAACAATAAAATGAATCCACAAGGGTAGCCAACGTTTATGGATTTTATACGGTAGATAAGGAGAAGTCTTAGGTAACACTTTTTTTGAAGTTAGTTCTTAGATGATATACAGAATCACGCTCACTTATCAATTATCTGTTTCAATACACTCTTGCTTATGTTCTTCAACTTTGAGACAGCAATGTCATAATATTGCCATGTCTTGTACTTGTAGGACTAAGAAGTCACTAACTTTCACGATTAAGAGTAGTAAACTCCTCCCTTAACAGTTAGAAAAGTGAAAGTTTTTTGCCCGTCGTTTATTCGTTGCCAAAAGCCAAGGCAATCCGTCCGTGGCCAGATCGAGAGGCATCCCATCTCTTTTAAACAGAACTGCTGTCAATTTCCATTGGTTTATGAATGTATGCTAAAGCGAGCCTGTTCATGCTTGTTCGGGACCATGTTTTAAGCCTTCTCAGTGAGCTGAAGTTTCTTCAGAAAAAAAAAGGCCAAAATCAAGACGAGGCAGGCTCATGTTAGCTACAGCCCTGAATAATAATAATAATAATAATAATAATCTTTATTATGCTTTTGTCTATGCACGTGGTTAATATTACACTCTAAGAAATTCAATTACAGTACAAGATATATTAAAAATGTAACAAGAATAATGTGCAAGCTAGGAAGCTAAATGAGCCAGTTGGTTTTCTTGTTAGCTCCCTGAACATTTTATGTTCTAGGTAGCAGGTAAAATCAAAGGAAATACAATGAGAGAAAAAACAAAAAAACAAAAAAAACAAAAAAAACAAAGTAGGAAGAACTTATATTTACATTGAATCTAATTCATTCAGTTGGTTAGATAGTTCTTCCAACTTTGCATTTACAGGAGCAAGCTTTTGCTTTTAAAGATTTTTTTACCTGCTCGAAAGTGATACTAAATCACAAGTCAATCTGCAAGTCTTGCAGTCATTGTGAGCAACAATTTTAGTGTCAATGGTCGGGCGGCTGGAAAATGTGGCCGTCCACCATGACGACATAGGTGCTTAATGGAGGTTCAACCGCATCGTGCTACACAAAGTAGTTCTAATTTTTTACTCTGGATGAATTCCTTACAAGTAAGTGTGAGATCCCATGCAGATGAGAGCTACTCAGAATTACTCTCCTTCAGTACCGTTAAATATGCTGCACAAGGTGATAAATTAGCTCTTTGATCAAGAAAATTAATTATATCACTTACAGACTTGAAAACAAACGTACAAACTAGAATTAATTTCCACAATATTACCCTTTAAAAGAGAAAAATCAGAGGATAAAAATATAACTAGTAAAAAATAAGCGAGGAATTGTAATTATTTTTATTGATATATTTTATTCAGAAAGCTAAGGAAGCTCTCTTCTTTTCATTTTGTAATCTCTAAAAAATTATTAATTTTCACAATTTACATATTACACTAAAAGCAAATGACAACACCAAAACACTACAACTTACCAAAAATTATGTAATAAAAAAACTCACACCCAGTACAGTGTATGTACTGCTATTTTAAAACTCAACTTATGCTCTGGTTAAGAAGAAAAATAACCTTACACCAAAACTGCTGGAAATTTTGTTTGACTAGTCAAATAATTACAAGGGATGTTTATGTAAGGGACAATTATTGTCAAAAACTCAAGTTTTTAAAAAAGGTTATGATTGGCTGCTGATTGCCTTTGAAGAAAAACAAACAAAGACCTTTGGACTCCCTATTTCTATCTCAACATATGTTTTTCCTCTCAAGCAAGTACATTGAACAAGTTAAACAGCAATTTGAACTTGAATTTAATTGTAAATGTTTTCTTGAAGTTCAGATGAAACAACATTCATTATTCAAAATTTGGAAAAGAGACTCACTTTCTTCCCTGACTACATTCTATAACCCACAGGCTTTATAATTATGTGCAAAGGAGATTACTAATGTTTCACAACCATTAACAAATTAATGCTAATGTTCTGAAACACATTCAAACTGAATTTGCTAAATTATGAATTTATAACAAGTCTGCCACCTGAAGAATTAACTAGAGAATGTTAAAAGAGAGTTGAACACAAAGAAGGTTCTTCAAATATTTTTGAAGATTCACATTCTGTCTATAGCTAGTCTATGTGGAGTGCTAAAAATCATAAGCCACAAACTGTATACCATTGGCTATCGTTATAGTTTCTGAAAAGCAAGAGATTTGTTTAAAAATTAGAGAAGACAGAAGACTGAAGAGAAAATAAACAAGTTGGAGAAAAGACTGAGAAGACACAGTAATGCACATAACGACGAATCGAAATCATTATAGCGTGACAGGCAAAGGTCTTGGAATGTTCGAGGTCGATTTTACACCTCCAAACGATTTTGTGTAGGTTGAAGGAAGTACACCGGCGAAAAACCAAATTCGTAGAGGTGAATAAGCGGCTTTATTTAAACTGATTATTAAATTCAAGGTTGGTGGTAATGAGCATAATCAATATAAGTTTACTAGATTGAGTAGCCAAGCGTATTAATCTGCGTCAACCGTTAGTTTCGATCAACTATTCGAACTTCCTACTCCACACGTGAAATTAACAACCAGTTTTCCAACCTGCACAGTCGGAGAGCAAAAGCACATGGTCCAAGAAAACTTCTTGAATTGACATGTGATTAGTTCTTTTAACACTGGAAAGCTTTTCACTAGAGGCTTATTCAAGTGTAATACATGTCGTGTAACACATTATACCACCGATTAAATGATGGCGTCCTCGATAAGACTTGTCATTTTCATAGTTCTCGTAAAGCATTTATGCTTACTAATGACTTCCAAAACGTATGTGCACTTCGACATCGTGGAAATCAACAGAGAAAGGATCGAGAATTGTTGCTGAAAGGAGCAAAGCCTTAAATAAAACGTTTGCATAGCACAAAAGGTGTGGTAGATTCACACCTAAATCGCACGCCCCCACTCAGATCCCAAAGGCCTAAACGGACTCGAGGAGTGTTGTTTTCTTTTTATTGTTATTAATCATATGCGCATTTTGAAAGTCCGAACACGATCAAAAGGTAACGAGACTTGACTGGTAAATGATGAGATTTTGACAGAAAACCGTTGACCTGAAGTTTGGATTGCAATACCATTGCCCATGATGAATAGAATTGTAGTCTGCGAATTTGTCACAGTACATTGGGAAGTACATACGGCGCTACTGCAAATCTTACAAATATGCAAACACAAGACTGAATTATAGCACTGAAATAAAGAAGGCAAACCACGAGCGTTTGCAAAGAATAATTCTAAAAGTATACTTTCACGCGAATGAGATAGGACAGGGAAAACAATTCAAAAGATCGCGAGCGATTCATCACCGCACAAAAGAAGTCCAGAAACTACGAACAAAACGCCAAAAATAAATTTCGCAAAACAACTACGGAAACTTTAAATGGTCGCAGTAAGGAAAGAGGTTGATTGGCATTTTAATTTGGAGGCTATCCTGGCAAGACAAGGGAACTCAATACCTGTATAAAAGTAAGTAATATTTAGGACAAGCAAGGAAGAGAGCAGCTATAAATGAAGTTTAAACTCGACTACCTGTGCGTGACACGGCAATACGATTTTAGAAGAAATAACAACACTCCGACAGAACATTCCAGTTTATGAAAACAACAAAAAAAGTTTTTCCTCACTTCGAAATTAAGTAAGTGAAGTGGAATACACGTCAGTGTAGCTCAGAAAAATAAAAACGACGAAAGAACAGAGCAACGAATATTCAAGCGAACGAGCCGCTTGATGCTGATCAAAAACAAGAGTACGCGCCATTAGTTTACCTGATTTAAGGTTCCTGTTTTGTCTCGCTCCTTCATTTTTTGGGACTAAGCCAAATGGGAAGTCTTTCCCAACAAAGTGCAGAACTTCAGGCGATTGCAGCTCTATGCCAAGGCGCAATCGAGTTGTGAAAAAACTTTCTGTGTGGTGGCCTTGAATGCAACACAGCCACAACGCCTCGATGAATCGAGACAAAAACCACGCATGCCCCAATATCGTGAGTAAACACGCGCGACACGCGCGAGATTTTTACGACGTCACACAAACTCCAAGTGAAATCCGCCGTGTTTTTTTTTTTTTTTGATTTACATTTGTAAATCAGATTGAACTATGTGCATTTCAGAGACAATACACAAGCTAAAGGTTTCATTGTCTATTTTAACCTCACCGATGGAATATGACAACAAAAATAAAACGAATAAAAATTTTGGCCGCAAGTTTTTATACGGACGGTCGAGGAACCTCCAAAGGGGCACAAAAGCTCTATATAAACATTTGCAGTAACAAAAACTTTAAAAATACATTGTTAAACAGGTAATTAGTCCTGGCAATTATACATGGTTGGCTTTGTAAAAGATAAGGTTGACACAGTTTGTACCTCTGTGTGCATGGCTAAAACGTCTAAAACATCGGAAAAACCCAAGTAGCTTTTCTCTTTATCGCTAATCAAACGTAGCTTTATCCTACTTTTCTACCACTCCCTCAAACATATGGATGAAGAGGACCGCATGCCCCGGTAAAGCTTTTAGGATATAAATCGAAAAACAACCATTGTATTTTGCCGATTACTAGTAATCGGCTCCGGCCTTGGAAGTCCCAACCGTGGGGTGGGCGGGGGGGAGGCATGGGCCACAGGGTAAGGGTTTTGAGCCTCTTCGTTATGCGTGACGAGACAAAAACGGCTGTGAGGGAGACTAGGAAGAATGCGGCACCCCAACCAATAATATGCGAAAGTAACCCCCCCACCCCGTGCTTGGGCTGTTCCCAGGAGCACTGTTATCTTGTAATTTCCGTCATATAAATGAAAACGTCAAGTGCCTTTGCGAAGATAAAAGCAATAAAAAGTTACAGTCACATTATTTGTTCAAATCTCCGTAAAGAAAAGGCCGTTTAATCGTAGTATGAGGTCGATCATGTTCTGTTAGCATTTTGGCTTTAAGTTTATCATTTTGACTGGTCCAGGCCGGTTTTTGTCTGACCGTCAAGTATATTTTGAAACTCAAATCTAGCAACATTGCCTAGTTAAAACCTAGTTGTCACGGGGCTTTCCACACAACTGCGACGAAGATGTGAATGAATCAGGTTAAAGAGAATGTCTTAAAGCATGTAAGAGTTCATATTAGCACCTCTCATCATATCGCCTCTTGGCTATTTTTGCTCTTGGTGTAAAGTGCGAACGGAATAATCTAAGGCTGGAGATTAAGCTCAAGACTATACGCTCATAAACTTATAGATACACATACCGTTATATCCTTCATGATGTTGATCAATAACCACGAATGGAACCACGTACGAGCTGCCTCACAAAATTCCTTTCATCTCTGAAATTCATAAGATCATAAGATGTGGACACCCCGATTCTCCGCGAAACATGCGATCTGTAAAGCTCTAAGAAAAACGGCGAATTTTCAAAGAACTGTCGACATTTCTAGAACCCAGAGCTGTACATGAGGTACAATAGCACTGTGGTATAAATAAAATATTAGGACAGAATGTTTTTTGAAGGCGAAATTTGTTAGTGACCGATGGCGTGTATCGCCAGGCCAAAGCTGTATGTAATATGACGAGCCCATATTCCTTTAACGAATTAATGATTTACTACATGCATGGTCCATACAAGCTTCTGACGTATTACTAAATGACGGCTGGAAGGAGATATTAAATCGACCAGGCACTAACAAAACAAATACACGAGAATTACGTATTTGTTTTTTTTTTACGTGAATATCATAACTCTGAACCGAAAAAGTTTTCGTTTTATGGATTGCTTATGCATAGTCTGTTCCAGGGGTTCTAACTTATGCAAGGTTCAGTCTTTGAATAAATTTATCGAAAAAACTGAACAAGGATGCCTATTTCACACAAGCATTATATATGCCTCTCAGCCATGACATTTTCTTTCTAATATTGTCTTACCTTTCCAAATGGGGGCGAAACATTGACCGATAAGCGACCACAAACAAGTTGTAATTGTGCAGTCAAGTAAGTAGCGAAATGTAACAGAGATAAACAGAAACCACTGAATTTAGCTTTTTAACATACAACGCTCGAACCTCTACGAGTTACGGATAAAGAGGACCAATCTGATTCGAGCATTTAATTCTCTTTGATCTCAAATTAAACTGTCTGTTTATTTTGGCCGACCACTGTCTTTTGCGATATATATAACCCGATAACTTCTCAGACGATCCGAGCGTCTCTTTATAGTAACCTGTTCTCACCTCCCCAGAAGCTCCGGCTGGTTTTTCAATAATAATAAAAAAAACAGTAGCAATATAAAACAAAAGTAAGCGCGCGGTGGACAATGGGAAGAGAGAGAGAGAGAAAAAAAAGCAAAACAAAACAAAACAGAATGCAGGGCTGGCACTACGGCAAAGTGCTTATTTATTATAGGCCAATATTTTGGCTAACAAAATCAGCCTTCCTCAGGGCCACAGCTATACCGAGAGAAAATGTCTTTTAACGGCTCCTAAAATTTGAATTTAAAATTCACATAAGTGGTTAAAAATTAACAACAATTATTAATACTAGATAGGATAATATACAATGAGGAACAATGAGGTCTTCTTCTCGTACCTCATAGCTAGAGGCAAAACCCTGTCACGAGACGGTCTGAACAGAAGGAAAGAATATTGAACTCTTTCTATTTCTATTTTTATTGTATAATCTTTAACCTGTATATTATTCTATCTAGTTTTAATAATTGTAGTTAATCATGCGTTAAAACTAAAATTCCTTAAATGAAAGTCCTTCTTCACTTTACGGTAAAAATCAGTGAATTGGCCCTGAAAATGAGTCGAGAAAGCATTCCATAAAATTACGCCTTTATAGCTAATAGAGGGCGCGATCCATTCAACCAAAATTTCCGGAAATTTCGGTCCAAAACTCAATGGATCGGTTCGGTCCAACGGGAAAAGTTTCGAAAAAACTGGTCCACCTTTTGAGGTGGTCCTCTTTTCCCGGTCGGACCGGTCTGAATTTTGGCTGAATGGATCGCGCCCAGAGTTTTTGAGAATGTACGAGTTAAAGCGAGGGACGGTTATGTTATTACGCTTTGTGAAGTTGTACGCCTTGCAAGGTTTATTTGTCAGGTATGATAGAGCCGCAGAATTTGCTTCACCTATAAAAACGCTATGGAGCATTTTAATTAATCGAAGTTTATATGAGTAGAAGGTTGAAGTATGCAATTTCGAACGTCGGTATACTTCACCAGTAGGCATGTCGCGCGCGGGGCAAGTTGTATATTACTCTGGCTACCCTACGGTGGAGTATTTCCAGAGAATTTAGTAGGTCCACATTAAGGGAGCCGCCCCAAACGACATGCAGTCCATATAAAACTGAAGGCAAGATTATCATGAATTATAAGTTCAGTAGGACATTTCTGCTCAGAAACGAACTCCTTTTTAAGAGGTCCAGTTTGTTAACAAACTTCTTTTCTTCTTCTGTAAGATGATGTGACCAGGAAAACCTATCATCGATAGTAAAGCCCAAAAGACGAATGTGTTTCACCCATTCGATCCGATCCTCTCCAATAGTCACAGAAAATAGCGGCCCGATGTGCGATTTTCTGGTCAGTAGCTAGCGTAGCTTCGCACTCTGCCGAGTGAGGGGTTAAGGAGTTCTCTAGGCACCAACTGTTCAATTCCGATAAAGCTCTATTTCAAGAAGTGACAGTGTTATCAACAGGGTCCCCAATGCAATAAACGGTGGTGTCATCCGCTTACTAAAGTACGAAAGCCGAGGAGGGTCTTCCGACTTCGGACTTCCGACTTCCAACTTCAGACTTCCGACTTCCAGCTTCCGACTTCCGACTTCCGACTTCCGACTTCCGACTTCCAACTTCAGACTTCGGACTTCAGACTTGACAAAGTGCGAACGCTGGGTTTCTGATTTCTGACCGTTCAGACTCAAAGCTGAATGGCTAGACCTTCAAACCTCCCACTTCCCACTTCCCACTTCCCACAGTTCTCACTTCCGACTTCCGACTTCTGACTTCCCATTTCCGACTTCTGATTTCCCACTTCCCACTTCCCACTTCCCACTTCCCACTTCCGATTTCCCACTTCTGATTTCCAACTTCCGACTTCTGACTTCCAACTTCCGAGTTCTAACTTCCGACTTCTGACTTGACTCTTCTGTTAGGTTCGATTGCCGCTCGATCCACCACGCAGGTATTAATGCTCAAAGTCAAAGCTCAGTGGAAAGGACGGCTGTACAGTTCTCGACACAAAAGCAGACAACTAAACCTGCATGCTCTTGAAAAAGAAACTAATCACAAAGCCAACCCGGCAACTGATGAGGTTCACTTGGAGAACCGAAACCATGGCCTTCTCTGATCACAAAGTGGCAATAACAAAACAGTCCAAACACTAGCTGTTAATCTTATTCTAGCCTGCATAACGGGCGCCATATGAGTTAAGGGAGGAGAACGCGGCATTTTGCGCGGAGCGCGAAACAAGTGTGAAGCGCTTCACTCGTAAAGCGCCTGTTATGCAGGCTAAACTTTTTCAAAAAACTATTACCAAGGAAGGAAATACCCGCTCCAGTCACTGCCGTTGCCTTTGTCGTCGGCTTAGGGTTAATTATAAAGGCTGATTTAGCAACAGAACGAGAACGTCATTTGACGACGGGAAAGCGCGCGAAAAGGACTAAACTCGACTTCGGTTCCCAATTTCTCGCTCTGCCATTGGTCAACCCAGTTGTTTGATTTGCGCGCACCGTCGTCAAATGACATTCCTGTTCTGTTGCTAAATCAGCCTACTATGACTCAGGCCACGCCTTTATGGAGAAATGTTGTCCAAGGAAACGTTGACCCCTTATGGCCTAGCCAAGAGCGCTTGCGCATACTCTTATTGTCTCGCCTTGACTGAGCTTACCCGGCAGGGGGAGCCAAACTGGAAATAGGGAAAAGTTGGCCTAGCTAGGAGGGTACCCTACCATCAAAAAAGGGTAACCGCGTGCGAACTTTTTGTTTCTTATGTAAACGGTTTGCCAATTTTTGCAAGGAAATATAGATCGTTTTCAGTCACGTGGTCAGCAGCTTTGCAAATTGCTTGGAGTAAAAGAAAGTTTAACATGTGAAAAGAGTTCAATTCCCACAGGATTTTTATGGCCGCCGGTACATTGTTTTGCACACAAATATGGCCGCCGTGACGTCATGTGAAAACGATCTATAGGAAGAGTTAGCTCGCCCAGGGTAGCTTGGGTAGGCGGGTGACTCTTCTATTTCTCCATAAACTCTTATAAACGAGCCTCGAAAATGACCGCGGGAATCCTATGTTGCTTTTTCGCTTGAAAATGGTTTCAGCACTAGAAACAAGCTGAACAACAAACAACAAACCAGTTAAAAATTATTTTATATTCTGAATTTGCGACGGTGTACACCTTGTAATAAAAAAAAAATTCCATCAAAACTAATTTTAAATACCACCACACAAGATCGACCAAGCACGATAGAAAATTACAGTTCAGCAAACACGACAATCACATGAACACATCATTTCACCATAGTTAAACAGCAATATTGCAAGCTCTTTGGGTTACGGTCAAAAATGGTAATACTGAAATGCACTTCTTTTTTACACGGCCATAAGGCTTTCTTTAATTCTTGACAAGATTCTCACCACATTATTTAGTACGAGTGCTGCGATTGGATGAATAGTCCTTGACGGCATTTACAATACTACTTGCATTCTGATTGGTCAAAAACTACAGCTGTCGTCTTCAGGCGAAGGTATGATTTGTATTTTAGTTTGAGGGTGTGGAAACTAAATGAAAATAGCCAAAAGTAAAATACTCTATCAAGTAAAAAACTGCAATGCATTCCACTATTACAGTAGTAAATATAAATAACAGCATTTTTTTCAGGTAAGGATTGGCTCTATTCCAGGTGATAAGACTTTGGGGAGCAGTAAAACCTAACACAAAAACTTAAAATAAGGCAGGAGGATGACCAAGAGGGAACTGGGGAGAGAAATACCTCTTATCTCCCACGTCTTTTATCCATTATTTACCCCATTCAGAAATAGTCTATTGCAAATCACTATTGCGATAGACTACTTCTGAATCATCTTAAGCCTCTTTTTCAAAGTGACTTTTGGTGTGTACAGTTGACTCTCTCTTAACGCAAACCTCAGCCGACACCTAGAGTTGGTCACCGTTTTTCTTTCCCGCCTTTATTTGACTCTCTATAAGACGGACATCCTCTGTAAAACGGACACCTAGAGTTGGTCCCCGCCTTTCTTTACTGCCTTTATTTGACTCTCTATAAGACGGACACCTCTGTAAAACAGACACCTAGAGTTGGTCCCTGCCTTTCTTTACTCCCTTTATTTGACTCTCTACAAGACAGACATCACTCTTAGAAGGACACTGAACGCCGGTCCCAAAAGTGTCCGTCTTAGAAAGAGTTGACTGTATCGTTTTATTTGCCAGCCAATTTAACTCAACTCATTTTCATAAGGATTACTGTACAACATACCTCGCTTTCATAAAGAAGCTTTAAAAGCAATTTGTTACAGACTACTTTCTTCACCTAGCTCCACGCTACCTCAGCACCCGGATAACCTAAGTAGACTGCACTTATAACAGTAATATTTTATTCAACACAGCAGGCAACAGTAGGCAAGCCTTGACAATTCCACCACACTTTTTGCGAAATTCCAATACTTCCACGAAAACACGTAAATTACAAAAGTCTGATAGTTCAATATTTGCCAAAAAGGGAGCATAAAGAGACAACGGCAAAATATCAGGAAAGCTATTTGCAAGTTTCTTCAGAAACCTGGCAAGGGAAACAGGAAATCCAGGTTACTTATTGCCTACCTTCAAGGAAGCATGATAGCATCATGTTGACACAATATCAAGGCCAGATGGAAGCCAACAACTGAAAAATTTATTTGGCCAATATTATATTATAGATCTGACTGAGTTACACTGTTTCGTCTCATTGAGGCTTCAGCTTTTTTTATCTAAGGAAGGCATAGCATCAACTTTAGCATTTCATATGCTAACCAAGTTAAGATCTTGCACTTATTTATATTTGGGTGCTTATAGACAAGGAGCCACTACTATTCTGAAATCTAAAAAGTATTGGCTAGAACATGTTAGTTTAGGTTAAAACATTCTGGTTTTTCTAAATAGTAATGGCCACTTTAAAGTAAAAGGAAGCTGTATACACAAACAGGGTTGGTGTAAACATCTTATCCTTCTAAGTACCCTGCCAGCTTGCTTCCAGGCTAACTTGTAAGAGTTGTTTTAAGCTCTCTACTTTCATAACTTACTCTACTAATGTAATCATAGCTAAAACAAAAAATATTCATTCTGGTAACTTAGCTGGAACGAGAGTTGTACATGTATAAGAACGCTTAGTGAGCAACTCCAAAGGTGCGGCTACTTCAACAAAGCCAATGATCATGCACAAGAACATTTACCCAAGAATTGCTTGAAAGGAAAGGATGATAACCTCACAAAAAATTATAATCTTCATGATAAACAGGTTAAAATAATAATAGTGATCTTATTGATAAAGCCTTGTCAATGAAGTCCTTGGTCCATAGGTTCCTGTTGCTGTTATGTTGTGTATGTTGGAGATTGTTAGACCTGATCCTTTCTTCAGGATGATGGAGGTGGCGGTGGACCGGGTGGGGGAGGGGGCGGAGGAGGAGGCGGTGCACCCATAAGGGGAGGTGGACCCTGGAATATATAAAAAAATTGGCACATATTACTAAAAAGAGTTGTTGTATGGATAAATAAACTGGCTAATTTACACTTAACCTGCATAGCAGGCGTTTGGAAGTAGTGGGTGCAAGAAAGAACGGACGTGTCTCCCTCTCGCACGCCCGTTCTTTCTTGTGCCCACTACTTCCAAGCGCCTGCTACACAGGCTAATTTACAGTGAAACACAGTTAAGTGTCCCTGGGAAGAATAAACTTTGAACTTGATTACTTCAATGTTTAGTTCATAAAGGACCTTTTTTTCCGATACAGGGGCCATATTGCATTTATTAGATTAAAGGAGTATTATGGGATGCCCAGGGGGGCACTTGGGAAAAAGGTGATCAATATTACATCCAAACAAGGCACAACAATTTTTTTTTTCTCATTACAATCTTTTTCTAGGAAGGCTTAAAGAAAAATTGGCCAGAAGGGGCGCCTAAATACTGGGCCAGTATATCAGATCGTGCTCATGCCCTCTGGGCACCCAATAATACTCCTTAAATCTAATTAACTCAATATGGCCGCTGTATCGGTAAAAACTTCTGTTGGTTTCAGAATCCCATTATTCGGTTGAAGACTTGAAAACTCAGAACAACACTTGATTCAAAATTGTAGTTGTCATTGGATTAGTGCAGCCACTTTAGCCATTAGTGCTCCCAGCCCTCCCTTCGCTCGGGATATCTGTTGGTAGGTATCTGCGATACTCTCCACTGAAGTTCTCAGTGTGACAGCAGTGTTCTTACCGGGATTTTGTACACTAACAATGGGGTCCACAGAACCCATAGAGAAGCTAAAAGGGGGCCATAAGGGAGAAAAGCCGGTCACAATTTTTAGACACAGCTAACTCAACATTTTCACTGCATATAACCTAATTTTATAGTACTTTTTAATCTTAGTTAGGACATATCTGTAAACCACAGTAATGCAATGAAAGTTTCCTAATAAAAGATTATTATCCATTAAAATTTCACAGGTCTGAGTTAGAGTAAATACCTCGTACTTTCTTGAATAATGATGGGTGCTTTCTAAAGATGCCATAACCAATTAAATTTTGGCTTATATAATAAAGAAATGTACGTAGGTGTACATAGGTTGACATATGTGGAAGGTAATAGTTTGTTCTCCCTTCTATCCACCCTTGGGACCCCTTGATCTAATTACAGTGTGGAATTTCCCAAAAAAGTCCGGCAATGTCGCAATGCCATGGTCTGGTAAGAACAGTGATAGTGCCTGGTCGTTGCTGCTCACAGGGTTGTCATGGTTACTTTTTGCACTCCCTTAAGCCTCCCTCAGTTTGACCAAGCACCCTTCCCACACCTTACTATTGGCAATGGGTTTAATCAACAATTTGAAGGCAAACTTAACATTTCGAGGGTGAAGTTGAGAGCGAGAGTTTTAAGGTGATTGTTTTCATAAAACATTGCCAATATTCTGTTGTAAAAATAATACAGGAGCACTTTTTGGTGATTCTTATCAGACAGATGCAATACCTGATTTTTCTCGACTGTATAGCAATGTGCTGATATATATAGGTATCAAATATGTCAGTCAATCAGGATGCTGAATTTACAATATAAGCATTTTGCTATAACTTATTGTTGTGGAGGTTATGGATGTACACGTACCAACAACATTTCTGAGACTTACAACTAACCAATAAAGAAAACCAATAAAGAAAAGAGCAGGTCAGAGCTAAGAGATTGACTTACCCAATGGTTATCTGAAGGCGGTGGCAGGGGTGGGCCATGGAATGGAGGGTATCCTGGGGGAGGGGGTGCGCCATATCCTGGTGCCTGGCTTTGCCACGGAGGGAGTGGAGCAGGACCAGCTACAAAACAAGTCATGTACAAAGATAAATCCTCATTCAAAATCTTTTCTGTTTGTTTGCTTTTATGCATACCCTAATTCATTCATTAAGCCCCTACAGGGGGCTTATTTATTCCAAGCATCTTTAAGAGGGGACTTAATAGAGATGAGCGCTTATTTAATTTAGCAAAGATGATAACAGAGTGTTCATTAGGCATCAGAGATCGGAGAATTCTCCGGCAAATGTTCAATAGCCTATGACTATCTTTTATTCAGACATGGAGCCTCTTTCAAAATATTCTCCTGTGACAATACACCTTTCTCCCGCTACTAGAATTCTTAGTGAAAACCCTCTGATGGTATCAGTTCTCCATAAGGGACTAGAAGGCAAAGTGGGAAAGCTCAAGTGCAAAACGTTGGAGGTCATGAAAAATGAAAAACAAATCTGAAATTCCATCATGTGAATAAACCACACAAGACCAGTCTACATGAAGTATTGCAGTCATGATACAGTCTATCATTTACTAATGAACAATAATAAGGGAGGAGGGGAGGGTGGCTGAGAAGAAAGGGGCTCCTTAGAGAGGGGGGCTTTTAAGCTAAAAAAAAAAACACAGCAAGAGGCAAGAATCTCATTGGAGATTTTTGGGACAAACTTCATTACTCACCTTGCCATGGTGGGGGTGGAGGGGCAGCTGAAGACGGTGGGGGGGGGGGTGGGGGTGGTGGTCCATGTCCTCCAGACACCTGGGGAGGGTATGGTCCAGGACCACCTGGAGGGGGTGGGGGTGGAGGACCACCAGGCTGATGATGAGGAGGCATACCTTTAAATGAACAGATGAAAAGATCGTAAATCACATAACCAACCCCTCCTTTCGTAAAGAGCATTATTACATTTAATCCATCTTTTACCACACAGACACTAAAGTGGCAATTTGCATAAAAGTGTCTGGCTTTAAACGATGTTTCGGATTACATGCGACCAGCGTTGTCAAAAATGTTTCAGGATTTTGGGTTTTTCTTCCATGTCAATCAAACTGCTACCACAGCAACCAATCCTTGTTTGTCAAATAACGGTGAAATAACGAGCAGAAGCTACAAAATCAAATGTTGGCGGAAATGTACCGATTCGTTTTCACTGTGTTTCTTCTAAAGGAACAATTTCACCTTGGGAATCTAAACTTCAGTAAGAAGGCAAAAAAACTCGAGAGCTAAAACATGAAAAGTTTACATCACACAACAGAACATCAAAGTACAAATCTCCCTGATCGACAAGGCAGAGAGCAGGAAAACTTACTGCGCTTTTCAAAAACTCTGAAATTCAAAAGCAACAAACACACAAAACAGATCGAAATCAACCAATCACAAATCACAAACCATGACCTTTTAAACCTGTTGAAGTAACTTTCTGTTTCCTAAGAGGTCCACTAGAAAGCGCCATGTCCTCAGATTTTGATTGACGTTGCAGAAAACCCAAAATCCCAAGATGTTTTTGACATCTCAGGTCACGTGTTATCCAAAACAGCTGTAATAATTTCCAGCAACAATTCCAACAGATAACTGTGCAGGTTTTTGGCTTCAGGAAAATATCACCAAAATTTTTTATCAGTTCAGTTCACATCCATAAGCAGGTTACATCAGAATTGCTTTGTGATGGTCTGAGACCACTAGATCACTGTGTTGGCCAAGGACTAGCACTCCAACCCTCAGCTTCCCTATCTCCCTAGGGTGGCCAACCTGCCTTATCAATTCAGTTGATAAAACCAAATCTTTGTACTTTGGGAGGATGTGTCTGCCAGCAATAGTTTGAAAACAGCAAAAAGACAAAGACAAAAACAAAATCTTACCCATCATTGGTCCCCCTGGAGGAGGCAGCAGTCCTTGTTTTGCCCATGGTGGTGCAGATGAGTTATTAGGGGGTGGGGGAGGAGGCCCTCCCCCAGGGATGGGTACAGGTGTGCTCATCAGAGGCTTGGGTCCAGGCGGGGCTGCCCAGGGGGGAGGACCAGAGGATGGGGCTGGACCTGGAGGTGGCGGCGGCCGATCATGATTTGTGTTCTTTCATGCAACAAGAAAGTAAAATAATTATTATTTTATGTGAGATGATTAGAAACCAAATAAAAATGAGCATAGTGGGTTATTACGACACACAAACAGACACTGTAGGAAAGTAAGCCCAATATTTTCTCTAGTCTTCTTTAATTCTTTGAATCTTAGGGTGCATTTCCTATGGGATGATTCAGATCAGGATCAGCGAATGTGATCCGAGATCACTCAGATCATGGCACATCAAATGAACTGATGAATCCTTGTCCAGAGTGGATTCATCGTTTGATGCAACAAGATTCAAGTGATCTTGGATCACTGATTCTGATCCAGATCATCCCAGTGAAACGCACCCCTAGTGTCATTTATGAAAAAATGAAATGAAATGCTGTGCTGTAAAAACTCATCTAAATAAAATCTCAATAGCGGTACACACTTTCAAAAGGGGTTTACTGGTATACAGCTCTACATTTAAACTTTTGAGTCCATGTATGAAATAGAAAAGAGAATAGTTGATAATTTACAAACCTGAATGGGTGGAGGAGGGAGAGAACTGGGAGGATGTCGGGGTGGGGGTCGGTCTTGACTACTCATCATGGGTGGCGGTACTGTTTGGTTCATCTTTGGTTCTGGTGGTGGGCCCTCCCCAAGTTCTGCCATAAGTGATAAGTACTGCAAGGGATACAAAAGGTCTTTTCATTAGCAAGGAAAATTAGCAATCTTTGTATACCATATAGAATAGGATCACTATTTTATCTTACTGTTCTTTGATTATCATTTTGGATATTGTGGCACTGTCATGACCTAACCAGTGCCATATACAAAAACACATGGTGAATTCACCCAACCAAAGTGGCTTTTTAGCAAAATTTACATTTTTAAGACCATCAACAAGAAAGCTGCAGGATGTGACAGGACTAAAAAGGAAACAAAAGGCAAAAGAGACAACTAGAGGACTTGATGAGTAATGGTCCAAAACTTATTATTACAAGTGAAAAAAAGCAATGATGGTTTAAATGCATATCCTACAAAAATCATATGAATCATTTTGCACATGCATCAAGAATGCGATAGGTTTAAATAAGCAAAACAACTAAATTGCACATGCATCATCCTTTTTTGTACATATTTTCTTTTCTGTCGTTGCACGACTATGATGTGAAACTTCCTAGTTTCACATTTTATGGAGAATGTGGACAGAAGACAACGATTTTCTTTTCCTTTTTCTGAACTTAGATACAGTGCTTTATAATCAACTCCAGAAGAATTCCTCAACATTAAATAAACTATATGAAATGGAACATGACTAATATATTTTGGAACAGGGCGAACTCACTTTCCAAGTGACATTTTTGCTGCCGCTGCCATCTTGGTTGCTTAAACTCCTTACACAGACACCTCCAAGAGACATGTAAATCTTGCCACATGGTGTTCAACAAAAATCATTAAATATTTCTATAATACCTCACTGTCCATTTTTGCTTTGTCCACAGGAACATCAGGGATTGGAGGAAGGCTGTAAGAAAAAGTAAAATATAAATCATTAATTTAACTTGTAAGAATTGTTTTCAGAAAAGGAGAAATAGGAAGATAGGAAATTCTAATGTAAATGACAGCTAAAAAAATGTAAGCTAAAACAGTGAGCATTATACATGTATTATATGTGAAGCTGTTCCCAAGGAAATTTTAACACTGGCTTTTAAAACTCACTACAATTTGCTAAAATACTCTCTTTCCCCCTATGAAATGTTGTATTATTTCAGTGACAGACCTCTGGCCCACAGAAAAAACCAACAACAACATCAACATAGCCTGCTTCACAGACGTTATCTATCCCTAGTTAGTAACGTCTGTATAACGTGTGGCAGCGCCAATGTTCTGGGTCCCCAACAGACTCAACAAACTACTAGAAACGCATTTCAAATTTCCACTCAATTTGACTGGAAAATCGACAATGGCTTTTTTGACCAACAGGCCATTCATGGCGCATAATCAAATCCTGGAAGACAGGTGGGGGGAGGAACAAGGATTTCAGCACTGTTTCGCAGACGGAATTAACAAAAAAATTTAGTTTCATTAGTGGTGCAGGCTACAGCGGCATTGTAAAGATGGGCATGAAAAGAATGGGAAGTGGGAGAGAAATCAGACTCTGCTAGACGAAAATGTGGGTGTAAATAACAAGTCAATGAGTTCCCACAAGTGTACATCCCTACCATTACACTACATGTATGACTCACCCTGTCTGTATGCAGTCTGTAGCCAGATGGCCCGCAGCACCGCACTTTGTGCACAAAACATTGTTAGTCACATTTTTCTGTTCAGGACACTCCCAATGACGATGTTCTACTGATCCACAGTTCCGACATCTATAACAAAAAGAAGGTTAGAGCAACTATTAGAGTAAACGTTTTTTAGAAACATTCAAGAACAGATTCATTGGAACACTGATTATAATATCTGAGACAGACACACAGCTAGTGAACTTTTTTTTCACCTGAGAATTTCATCATCTCGAAGAGTGCCATTCAGTGCAGCTAATTCTCGAAGTTGCATTCTTTTCAAGTCATTCTGACCTTCAGGGGCCTCAATACCTTGTCGCAGTATATCACGAATCTGTAAGAAAGAAGAAGCTATTTGAACTACAATCCTAGACAATAATCTTGGAACAGTCACTCCCAAAAACACCCTCTTTTCAATAATTTTAAAAGGATAGGTACAGACTGTATTCAAAGAAAATGGAAATGTGAAAGTGTTCCAAATATTTTGACATGATTAAAGGTTTGACATCAAAGATGAATAAAAAACTGCATACAGTGGAAGTTCTCCTAACGGACACTCTCGTAAGCCGACAGCTCTTCTTTCGGCCGCCTTCACAAAACCCTGTTTTACTCAACTCCCATACAAACTCTGTATTTTTTCATTCTCATAAGCGGCCAGCTCCAGTAACGAACACCTTTTTCACCTCCTTAGGGTGTCTGCTTACGAGAACTTCCACTGGAGATCAGGTATGTCCCTTATGGCCGGCTCCCGGCTAATTTCACCCGCTGAAAAAGACCTTAATTACCACCAGCTCATATTGCTCTGGAAAACAAAAAAAATGGGGAAATTTTACAGGTGCAGTTAAGTGAAAAAGCCAGCTTGACTAATAAAAGAAGCCTGCTTAGCCTTTCCTTAGCTACATCCCTGACAGCGAAAACATAAAACAACCACAATAGAAGGAGGTCGCCACAATTCAATTCAATTCAATTCAATGCTTTATTTCACACTATATAAGATATCTACATAAGCGTACATAGGTAGGAAAATAAAGTAGCTGACAAATAACAATTAACTAAAAGACATTAAGTTCATTTGTGTACAGTGTCCAAAGTAGCAAGAGCTTTCTTGTTGGACACCGTCATGTTGAAATAATCGCCAGCGGTAAAGAGAGGAATGAAATCTTAGATAATATCAGTGATAGAACATATAAGCAAGGTCAGATTTGGTTGTTTAGTCTTCTCTTTAAAATTAGGTCAAACAAACCTACCATAGCTACAGCCTTCTGAACTGATTCATTTGTTGGCCCAGTAACCAGAGCATGCAGAGGTTCATCTTCCCCAGAATTGATTTGTCCACCCTTTCCTCCCTGTTAAAAAACATAATAAGTGGTAAAAAAATCATTGTCAAGTACAGTAGACTTATCTTTTCAAGTTGTTCCTTGTTGTGGACATTACTGATTTAACCCTTTAAGCCCTAAGAGTGATCAGCATCAAATTTCTCCTTGTAATATCAATGCTTTGTAAAACAGAGTGGTCATGAGAATTACAGACATCATCACACAAGATAAATTTGATTGATATTTTATCAACTTCTCCCCACTACTTCCGTAGGAAATGAATAGGGGCAACAAAATGAGAATTAAAATTCTGATCTTAGGGTTTAAAGAGTTAAAATAAGCATGGTTTGTTGGTGCTCTGCAAGTTCACATTCTGTATTTTTTGTAAGCTTGAAGAAAATATTGGGTGAAATTGAAGCCCCACACATATTAGTAATGCCAGAAATGATTTGGCCAAAAAGTCAAATTGGTATGATAGAGTCACTTTAAGTCAGAATACAAATCAAAGAGTTACCAGTCTACAGGGTACGTAAGGGATCCAAAAACTGTTTAGCTTTAAACTGAGTTTTACAGCTGAACCGCTCCACAGCGGCCACCTTAGGTACAGAAGAAACTGGCCATTGTAAAGAGGTTTAAACAAGAGTCAATCTATGGACTGTCCGCAAAAAAGTAGCTGTTGTAAAGAGGTGGCCATTGTAAAGAGGTGGCCGTTGTGGGGAGGTGACCGTTGTAGAGAAGTGAAGTGAAGTGGAGTGGATAGGTGGCCATTGTGGAGAGGTGGCTGTTACGGCGAGGTGGCCATTGTAAAAGGGTGGCCGTTGTAGAGAAGTGGCCCTTGTAGAGAGGTGGCTGTTTAGTTGAGGTTCGATTGTACTTATAGTCAAACTATAGTTTTATTTTTGTCCATACGATGGACCTGGAAGTGAATAGGATAAAACTGTACTTAAGAGCCATACGTTATGTATTTTTCCCTCTTTTATAGATCCTTTCCCTCTGATCATGATTTTTTAGTTGAGGTTTAGAAACAAAATTAATCAGTCACAAATGAATCGTCATTAATTTACAACAATTTATAGTCAAACTATAGTTTTGATTTTGTCCAAAAATCTAAAAAAGATGGAATAAACTTGAAATTTAATGTTGTGTAAGTGACATTTTAAACAAGTTAATCAATGAAAAACTTTTAAAAGGTTCTCTTTAATCAAAGAAAGACAACAGTTCTCTTCATTGTGGAACGATGGAACGAAAATAAAGTTATTATTTTTCCTCTTTTATAGATCCTTTTCCTCTGATCATGATTTTAGCAATTCTCTCGAATAGCGTGGTATTTTCTTGCGTAGTGGGGAAATCAGCGTTGAAGTGATCGGTCGTGAAGCGGCACTCTGAAAATTCCGAAGGTTTAAAAACAAAAATATTGTATAAGAACTAGAAACAAAATTAATCAGTGCAAACAAATGAATACTGAAAGCAATGATCAAAGACGGGTTTCAATATGTTTAATCTTTATCTACAACAATTAATATCATATTATAAAGCCAATGTAGATCACATTGTACCTCTTTTTCCATTTTCTTTAATGTATTGCCACTATAAATAAAACAACAAAAGATATATCAATAAAAGAATGAATACATAAACAAGCCCTAGGATTTCATGATAACAATAATATTGTTTCCAATACTGCACATGTGTTGTTACTGTGGTCTTACAATAACGGAATGGAAAAATAGTTTCCCAGTGATATTTTCAGCTTTGGGGATCAATTTTCAGAAATTCACAATTTTTCCACTGAGATTCTTAACTTCATGTAGTAGAGTAATTCTTTGAACTAACTTTCAATCTCTGAATGGCTTTTACCTAAGGCAAATTGTGTGTGTGTGTGGGGGGGGGGGGCGTGACCGAAAATGCCTACCACAAAAACAACAACAATAACAATACAAATAGAGCTCACCGTGGGCCAATCAGCAGTCCAATAAAGTTCACTTCAGGGTGATTATCCTGAGGAATCATCACTTTATCCTGAATTTTAATAAGAGGTGGCCTGTCAAAGAGAACACAATAATATTGTAATTTTGTTCAATAACATTTTACAAATTGCATGAAGATATTCCATAGGAATCAAACTAAAGGTCAAACGTGGGTCAACATCTACCTTAGGGGCAATAAGTAAACCATGCAATGAGACCCATATTCTAGTCTCAGTAGTACAAAGCACATTATACCAAGGTTATTACAACTCCCCTCTGGACTAGATGTTACTCAACTCAGGGCTATCACTAAGATTTCCAGTTTCTGGGTATATGCATTAAGTAGGCAGGGAATTGAGGAGCTAGGAAGTTCTTTTGGCTCTATTTTACAGGGTTCGAAATTGCAACCTATTAATTTTTTCCATTTGCCACTGGAACATCGAGAGGAGTCACAAATTTGCAACTAGTTTTCACTTTTGCTATTATGAAATAAAAGGGCTAGCAGTTAACACTTCACCTCACTTTTTGCTAAAATAGAAAAGAAGTGGAAAAATATTTTGTTCATATGTCTTAATTTTTAATGAAATCCTAGGATATGGGGGAAACTATACCATTTTTCTTACAATGTTATGTTCACAATGATATTCCCTCTACAGCGGTTTCTTAGAAATACTCAGATTATTAACTTCATGTACCAGAGCAATTCTGCTTACACATGAAAGTAAAATGTTGTTTGGCGTCTTTAAGTTTTCTATTGTCCGCCATCTTGAATGGTTCCCAAAGTGCATCACACGTTACTTGTTTATGGCTTCTTGTCCCAAGACAAAAATATGACTTTGAAAAATTGAAAACATCTAGGATAGGGGTTCCCATGAATTTTCATGGAATCAAAAAATTGTTACAGATGGTTTTCCATGATCTCTAGGCACAGAACCGAAAAATTGTTTTCCATGGGATTTGAAACCCTAGGGCTTGTAGGTTACTCAACACTAACATGCTGACTTACTTGTAATCAGAAGGAGGTTTGTAATCTTCATTTAAACTCAGAGCCTCTTGTATAAGGACGTGTCGCTCTTCCTCCAATTTCTTTCTGACTCTGAACTCACGAGTGTTCAATCTTTTACCTTCTGAATTGTAAATTGGTTCTGGAGAAGGGGATCTGATTTGCAAAGGAAAAAAACTATATGTTATGAAACTATTTTGCTTAGTTGTAATCCAATATTACATTGTACTAACCCTCTCCCAAAACGTGCATCTAAGTGATGTAGTAACAAGAAGACACAAGGATTATGATGTTCCATTTTGAGATAATTTTCTTGCATCCTTCTGGTGTTCAACCTTGGGATATTTCACAGTAATTTACAATCCTGAAGTGGGGGAAATTGTTGTACATTTGACTGGAATGATTTGCCTGTAGCAGGAAATTTGATAGCAAATTTTTGAAGTGTCAATTCCCCACCCCATGCCCTGCCAACCCTACTGGCTTCATATTGTTTGGTGCATCCCACTTAACCCTTCAGCTCAAATATCCACATACAAATTCTCTGTGCTGACCTCCACACATTTCTTTAAGGAGTTCCTGAGGGAATTTGATAGAAGATCAAAGCATTTTCCTTCAGATGATCACTTTGTAAATTCTCATACCCTTTTCTCTTGATTAAGTGTTGATATTGTTGGGAGAATTTTCATGTTGATCACTCTCCAGATTTAAAGTGTTAAAATGGAATCTCATTGTCAAAACATTTCAAATAGTTTCATTACTTGGAAGTTAAGAATGACAAGAGGTTCACAAACCTTTCATCTGGATTGTCTGGTATTCCTAACTCTCCTGTCCGCAGCATTCTACTGATTTCTTCAATCTTCAGTTGAGCTGAGAAACATTTTAAATACATTAAATTGAAAACACACACTTGCCCTTAACAGTAAATTATTGCTGGGGAAATTACATGTAAAACTAAAGTGAAAGAGTTTTACCCCTGTTTTATGAGGAATACAGATTGTCTCTCATAAAAATACAGTCAAACTATGAGGAATGTAAACACCAAGAATATTGCTCAAAATGTGCAACGCCCAAAAAGCAAGCTGTAAGACTAACTCTCTTTACACAGTGGTTTGCCAACTTATTTTCATGATTTGATTGCCATTCATACACTAAAAAGGCAACTCAGAAACAATAAAATAAAGCTTGGAGTTTTCAGCATGACTTCCTTACCTATGTAAGCTTGCTGTTGTTCTGGAGAAAGGTTTGGCGGCATGGTGGTAGGCATACCAGGTATAAATGTCCTCTTTTCCTCTGTACCCCATCGACTTTTCTTCTTTTTCTTCCGTTCTGATCCTTAAACAGAAAAGAAAAAAGAAAACACCTCACCTCTCACTACTTTTAATAAGTATCATAGGTAAACTGTGCCGCAAGCAATCTGGTGAAATTACCCCAACCAGAGTTGTAAAACTAGTAATAAAAAAAAGGTTAGGGAGTGCCGGCGACAACGATCGGAAATCCAAATCCTTTTGCTCCATTGCTGTATTTTGCGTAAGTTTCTCGTGACAGATAGTCAAACCACGCGTGATCAGATAACGAGAGGTAGAAGGTCCAAACGTGTGTGATCAAATTGCGTTCTGTGCATTACATTCATTCTTAGTGGAAGTCCAGATGAATGCTGGCTACATACATGCAACGCATGCATAATAACAACCTGGAGATTAGTATTGTGGGCTCCTCCTGTTGCCCGCAATAACCCTGAAAAGCCCTGAGTGGAGTGGATAATAAGATATTCACAATTTATAAGGAAAGATTACAGTTATGTATCCTAATATGATATTATAGCCCTTGTACCACGACCTGTAGTGTATCATGGAATTTATGTATTGCTGCAGCTCTTCCTATAGAGATAATAACTAAATACCAAATACTTCTACACACTATCTAAATACTACTTAATGCTTGGTTAAAAGTTTCTATTAGTTTTCAATCTACTGGGTACCATCTGAAGACATCATGAGTACAACAGAGCTGTAAGTCTTTACAAAAAACTTTTAAAGTTTTGTAATGATTTACAGTCCTACTGCAATCATTTTAAACACCAAATATTTTTACAAATGTAATGCAATAGTGATCAAAATGTACAAGCAACAAAAATTCAAATTAAGACCCACCTAATGTTGAGTAATATCAACAACATATACATGTAAGTGGAGTTATACACACAGCTGAATTAAAAACAAAAGACTAAAAATACATACAACTATTATGGGTGTTCTTATTTGCTACATAACAGCTCCAATGGATTTGAACTTTACAAAGTTAACATTTTCTTATAATAAATTTTACTTTATAATTCCTTGAGGTCAGTTGACATTAGCAACCTCTCTATTCGGACTTACAAGGTTGAGTTCAAGTACAACTTTGGAATCTCAAGGGAGTTATTGAAACACTTGAAGGAGACCGCTATGAGGGAAATATGCTCACTTTAATAAATCAAGAATCCTTACCTATAGCCTACAGTACTTAAATATTTACATGTCATTGCCACATTATGTAATACTAATCTTCAGAACAAAGAGCCATTTACACTTGGGCTCGTCACAGTTATGACCTCAGAAAGTTCTCCCTTTGCTGCTGCTAAACAGTGCATAAAGAGACATGAGGGGTGAGATTGTTGTGAGACTCGATTTTCTATAGCCTGCGAGCGGCAGACGTTTCTCCTCGCTCATCGCCGGAGAGGGACGTTTAGCCAGGAGGAACGTCTGCGACTCATCGACAGAAATTCCATACTGATGACGCAAAATCTGTCCGGAATCCAGTCAGAAACGTTAATTGGTTGACGGAATAATTTCATTGTTTTAGCCATTGTTTACGAATGACAGACAAAAGACAACAGGCCACAAAGGTCAAATGTAAACGCGATGAATCTCTGACAAAACAGCCAATATTTGTGGAATATAGTCTTCTCTTGAAGAAGCATTTGAGTTTAGGTGGAGCTCATTCGCAGATGATCACTTACCAAAATCGACAAGGAGAAATGTAAAATTGAACAAATTTACATTTGAAACCTCACGACTACCAGATTATTAGGTAAACATTGATTTACGTCATCAGTATGGAATTTCTGTCGCTGAGTTGTAGACGTTCCTCCTTGCGAAACGTTCGTCAGCGGCGACGAGCGAGGAGAAACGTCTGCGGTTCACAGGCTAGATTTTCTAAAGCACATAAAGTGGGTTTGAAAACTTGTACTCGCACTTAATCTCATACTCCTTATCAAATCTTAATATCCCTATTGCCAAAGACATATCCAGACCTCTCCACATAATTGCCCTGCACCAATGCCAATTTCACCACCATCCCTCATTTGTAGGCAAAACTCTTTGCATTTGCACTCTTTGTGCGTGGGTATTCTTTTCAACCGTAATGCCTTGGGAATTCATTCATGCAAAACTTCATAACTTTACAATTTCAAAACAAAGCTTGGAGGTGAAATGTGCTCATCTGACATAAACACGCATAAGGGCTATTGAGATTTGTTACGACATTTATTTTATCGTTCTTTGTCCTATTCCAGGGTTATCTGCTCTGTGTGTTATGGTTTTTGAAGTCTGTAATGATGTATTTTTGTAAATTATTGCATCAGATTAGCCGATTTCCCAAATCCCCAGTTTTTCAAACTGATTTACCCCATTGAAACAGTAGTGTATTTTTACCCTAAATATTTTGAAGCTCCCAGCAATCTGAATTCCACATAATCTACTTTTCTCTAGGAGATTAAAAAAGATGAGGATGTGACTATAGTTTGTGAACTATCTCAGCGAGTGTGGCATTGGGCATCTTTACTCCTCATCTGTTATGGTAATTTAAGAATTATTTGCCTGGTCCCAGCATTCACATCTCTCCAATGTCATTTAACAATACGCTGAATTCATGGAACATGGACCATGCACTATTGTTAGCAGAACATTTCACTTTGTTGACAATTTCATATTTACAACCACACGGCTGAAGTCTTGTATACCAGTTTAATTCAAAACATCAAATCTGAGTGAAGAAACTGAATGAATGACAGCATATTCTGAAGTTGCTCCTGATTTGTAAACTATTGTTATTTGGCATTCAATAACGAGTTGTAGTAATAATACATGTGCGTAATCTCTCGACATAAACATTAAAAAGTTAATCAACTTGACATCCAAGCAGATGATGAACTCCTAAATAACGTTCAAATGTAAAGAGTTATCGATGATTAGGTGACATTTACGTGCGATCTTTCGGATTCAATTAGTGGAATTCGAAGCTGATCATGAAGTCTAGTGTTTTCCGGAACATGGTAATCAAGTTGGCAGACGTTTCACTAATGCCAGATTCTCAATAAACACTACTTTTCTAACCGCAGCACACATAAAATTAAATTTGTAACAATTCATGGTAGTCTCTTAAGTAAAACTAACCTCCTGAATCAAAATTACCGGCCTCTCTTTTCGCGCCAGGACTGGAAGAGCCTTGTTGCTTCGCCGCTAATATGGGGTGAAGACGGCCTAATGGAGTGGTATTTGCCCCAGTTAAAGACATTTCCTGATTCCTTTTGCTCTATCAAACGATTACACGGCAATGATGAAACATTAAGAAAACGTTTTAGGCTTAAAACAGCCAAGAATTCCGGACAAACATTGCTCCTTGCCAGAAAATATCGCAAAGACCACGATTGTCTGAAAGAGAGAAAACGCATTATGGGTAAAACACGTAACGGACACGCGTGGTCACTGTATACGTCAAATAAAACACACGAATTGGCCTCTAGAATTCCTCAGCTTGCTCTGATGTCACAGGGCGCAGAGGAGTTATTTGTGACCCTGGCTTATTGCAGGTACATTTTACAGCCGATAGTAAGAGTCGCCTTTGTTTACTGGTTTTTTGTAGAATCGAATGTGAATTGATCAAACCGTCATGCTATAAAACCTGGTATTACAATCCTCAATCCTAAATTATACCCACCAATCACTAACGCTTGTGCTGCACAGAAAACAGCATCAGGTAATGTTTTTTGCACTGACTTGCAGTGAGGAATTTTACCCGTTTTAATTTCCCACGAAGAAGGTCTCAACTCAAGTATAAGCACAAGCTTCCTCATCTTACGCTTATAGTTGCGGTTGCGCTATTCCTCCCCCCCACCCCCGCGGGACCGGGGAGGAACTCTGTCCCATACGGGGAGGCTCCGCCCGAAAGTGGTACCTTTTTCAGACTTCAGATAAATAATAGCGTACGGATTTCACTAGTTGAAGTATATGAAAGGAGAGGAAAATCTGTCTATTCAGTCCGGAAAAGGACTTAAGAGGGCTGACAAACGCCTTTTATGGGGTAAAAAAAGTCATGAGAACTTCCTACTTTCATGGTTTTTTTCATATTAAAAAGACATTGCATTTAATATAGCAGTTAAAAGGAATGCAGCGTTCTAAGCCGTTCGGTAGCCTTTGGCATACTTTGGCATAGTATGCCAAAGGGCAACCGAACGTTTTCAGTTGTAACCAGGAGCCCTCAGGTTGTAACAAAGGTTGTAACCTAAACGAACCAACCCACTCAGTTCACTAGACTGTTTAGTTGAGAGGATCGCACCCTTGTTTACCTTTTATTCCACGACAGGGGCGTAGCTAAAAAATTTAACATCTTTTCGGAAGCATTTACGGCAAAAACGAAATAACTTTTTTATAACATAGCTAGAAAATTTCCAAATCCAGCGTGCTTCATATTCCTATCCCTGATGCGTCCCGAACCGTTTTTCGCGTCTCCGCGTGACTTAGACCATGTGTTTTGTAAATTAAGAGGAAACGTTTTTTTTAATCAGTTTTGTGTGGTAATCATCTTTTGGTTTAGTTGTTTTCTCTCAATAACATTTACGGTTTTCGGCGTAAATATGGCAATCATTTTAAAAAGTTTCAGGATAAAAACATAAATTAACTGTTTTGAAAACAAGATTCACGTAAACATTTTGCTTTCGCCCTTCAATAATAAAATTTTCAGTTAACCCATTGATGCTTTGACGACTATATTGACTGGATTATCTCGTGAACACGTGAAGCAGCGGCTGCTCCACAAACGTTGGCGTTATATGATAATAGGGAGCTTAAGCAACGACGACGGCGACGGCAACGAGAACGGCAAAAAAAGCAGTAGGTTTCAGCTTGGCAAAAAAAACAACTTTGCACGTGCATCACGCTTTTTTGTACATTTCTTTGCCGTGATTTCACCCCTTGTGGAAGACATGAACACAAGACAACGACCCTCTTTTTTTTTTCTGATCTTTGATGCAGTCCTTTAGAGTTCAACTCCAAAAAAGTCGCCAACATTTGACGAATTGAACGAGATGGAATACGCGCGATTAAGTTTGAGGCCGCGCGAACACTTTTTAACTGAAGTTTTCGTAGCCGTAGCAGTCGTTATTACTTAAGTTCCCGAATTTTCGATACTAAAGAACTTCGAGGTTGAGATAACCAAAATTTTGAGACAGGCACACCAATGACATACGCTGGCTTTAGAAAGTCTTTATTTTGACAAAGTGTGTGTATAAGTACGGGCACAATAACATGTAAAAATTACAGTTTCAAGTTTTCTGACTGCACATTTTGTTCATTATAGTACACTTCTGTTTGTTTTTTGTCTTAATCACAGCCAGCTTGATTTGAGCTTGGTCGGTGGTTCGAAGTGGTCTGAATCTATGATCTTTTGCACAGCAGACCAGCTAACTGTGTGGCGGTTTCTTATTGCTATTGGCAATGGTTCTTAAAATGGTGAAACAACTACTATCGAACAAAATTCCCGGATAATTATCTTATTATACAGAGAGCAAAAAGACGCAACATTTATGCTGGTATTAAAGTGTGACTGGAGGTGTTTTGCACGTTCTGGATGCCACGCTTAACCCACGTAGTAGTTGTTTTAGCCACATAATATATCTTACAATAACCGACCTCCATTCAATGTCCTTTCAAATGGTTTAAAATAGACCGTGTTCTTTTTTCTATAGCAACATCCAGCCATCATTTGGCCTTGTGCTTAACAATTAAAAAAACATGCATTTACAATACCTCGCCTAGTCCCTGCACAGCGTTTTCCCAGGCCTTCTCGGTCAATTCGCTACGATGACGTATCAGAGGCGAACGGGCGGGAAAGGCCCTCACATCTTCGCTTGGACCACGTGACCCAAAATGCTTTGGCCGCGCGGAATAATGAGGCCTAGGGACTAGGCAATACAATACCTACATTTTGCAAGCAAACTTTATCGAGAAAGCGCTGTGAGGAAAGTTACGGTTTAAAACCAAAGCAAAAACCCTACAATCAATTTTGCTCTACGTGGAATCGAACAATTATTAAAATTGGTAAAAATAAAATGATTATCAAAAAGACTATGGTGGGGACTGATTGAACAACGTCATAAGACTTGAGTTACGATAACAGTTTTCACGTTGTTTGATCAGTCCCTAAAAGGGCCCCAAACTTCGTATGCACTTGTGTTTTCATTGTAGCTACGTAGATGGTCCACTTTGGTCTACGAAGTTGTATGATCCCGTCATGCACTGCTCCTCGTCCTGTTCATCGTCTTGGGTGAAAAGGGAGGCGAGGTCACCCAGCGTTAAGTTGGAGTTCTCGCTGTCACGTGCTCCCGGTCTGATGATAGAGAAAACGTTACGCATTAGGCCTGATTTCCATATGATATAATCACTACGATGGCTTCAGTCGCTACGACCTAGCCTCAAAACAGGCGTCATTTTTTTCACGATTTTCGGGCGAAGGACGAACGAAGCCCCCGCTGTGAATATCTCTTTCTCCTCGCCCGCTTCGCTTGCCTTCGCTCGCCTAAAAAAAAAACACGAAAAAATAACGCCTGTTCTGCAGGCTACTGCGACCTGAATATTTGGAATTTGCGCGAGAAACTGGGTTCGTGTTGTGTCGAATTGCACTATGGGAATGTTCTGGGACCCAGTTTCCTACGCAACCTTGTAAAAGCCAGTAAGAGAAGAGATACAGTCCCATAGAGCATTGCCATGCACATGATCCAGTCCCAAGAACAACCTGAAAATGGCCAATATAATAATATATACAGAATTCAAGTCTATCTCAGCGATTTTAGTCAAAACAGTGGCTACGTATACGATCGTAGAAGAGTTGTTCTATACAATTGCTGCGATAGCTGAACTTTTTTTGTTGCGGACCTAGGTCTTGTGGAAATCAGCCTTGATGATCAAAGAAGTATAGAATGACAAATTAACCAATTATATGCAAAATTTAACCAGGAAAATTCAATCATGGAGTGGTGGAATATTCTAAGGGACGGACCATTGCCAGTTATGGAGTGAGTAGCAGGAATTTTTTTTTTTCGTTATCAAATTCCTTGTAGATTTTTTAAGGGCATGATTATTTCTTAGGGTGGACTGCAAATACAAATTAAATTTAGGTCATGCGAATTTTTTTGGTCACGCGCCCCCCCCATAAGTTTTCTAATGGTCCGTCCCTAAAGGCAAAGTATAAATGGACTTAATACAAACAATTTAAGACACACCCACTTGTCACGCAACACGATTACGTTACAAGGTGAGATTGTTGCACCTATTACCACCTACAAGCACAACTAACATTTGTTTCGGCAGAATGCAGATCTAAGTTCTTCTTTTTCGGAGTTTCAGAAGTAATGATACTTCTTTTTTATACGATCGAAAGCTTATTTTGTCTTCTTTTTAAATATTTAAAGGGGAGTATGAACAGGAATATAAAGTGGACAAGTTACCTCACTGAGCCAGTTGGCTTTGACTGAAGCAAGGAGTACATCCGAGATTCAACAGTTCCACGTATAATAAAACGATATACATGGGTAGGCCTGCGGAGAGAGTAGAAGCGTTTCAATAGGTAAACAAGGGAATTCTGCAGTCGAGTTATTTTGGGCAAATGTCATGAATTCCAAAGATATACATACAAACTCAGCCGTCAATAGGAAGCTTAAACAACTACGCGACGACGACAACGACGACAACAACAACGTCAAAAAACAATTGGCTTAATGAGCAAAACAACAGCTCTGCACGTGCATCACGCTGTATAGTACATTTCTTTGACGTACACTGCACGACTACGACATGAAACCTCCCAATGCGACGTTTTATGGAGGACATGGACATACTACGACACATCTTTCTTTCTCTATTTGAATATAGATAAAACCCTCAAGAATTCAGCTCCAGGAAAAGTCGCCCGGCTACATTTGACGAATTGAGCGGGTCCAAATAGACGCGATAAAGTTTGAAAGGACGCAAATTCATTTTTTAGTGATGTTTTCACTGCCGCTGCCGTCGTTGTTGCTTAAGCTCCCTAATAAACTGTGATGTCACCCACGTTAATGAATTTTGCACAAAAGGTCCAAAAATTCCTATTATAAAAGGTCCAAAACATTCGGCTATTATAAGAACTCAAGCAGTTTGTAATTCACTGTGAAAACAGTAGTTGACACAATCAATCATCCACTGTGTAAAAAAGCGAAAACAATGGGAACTCGAAACAAATGCAAATAGGGGATAAAGTCACTAAAGGGGTTTTACTGAACGCAGGATTGGCTTGGCTTGATCGGGAAAAGGGAGTAAATGGTTTCAATCAAAATCGGAAATAATTTGCGTCTTCCGCTGACTGCGAGGAAGCACTTTCGGGGAAATTGTTTCTCTTGAGCTTGCTTTTGCATCACTGTCATGGTACCGCAGTTACACAGTGGCGAAACATTCTCGCTCAATAGAAACATCCATATGTGATTTGTTCAGACTTGTTTTTTGTGTCTAGCACTGCTCACAGAAATTTTTTTTACTCAACGTAGTAGTTCAAGTTCTGCTTGGTTTCTCGGTTACTGATTGGGCAGGGTGAATATATCCTGATTTGGAATTCCAATATTCAATCAGATCTCGCTCTACACAATAAGCCTTACTTGGTTTGACCAATCCGATGCACGCGGCCTACAGCCTGCAGTTCATGGGCAGGGTTTAAAGCGGGTTCTACTAACAGCACATGCGTTGCCTCTATGATGTTCAGTCCATTAGAGCCTGTCTGGAGCGGCAAGAGGAGTACACCAACCATAGCATCTTGCTTGAACGTCTGTAGGTTTGTCTGGGAATTAACGAGATGTCAAGATGGATACAAATGAAAACCAGATTAGAAAAATTCATTCATTACAAACTGGCCACCACTTAAAGCAGTGAAGGAAGATTTGAATAACGCGGCAAATGAAAAACCAAAGGCTAGGATAAATTAAAGAAAATTGAAAAGGATAACAATTCAGCGGAATTTATGAGCATTTATGTTCAACTTTTCATTTTTTCCATAGTTTGTCCTTGTTGTTTTTAACTTCGAACCTCTTATATCCGTCAGTGTAACTCAGTTTGCCAGAACACAATGTTTTCCAGTTATCATTTAATAAAGAGAACTGATGAAGTCATAAAATCTAAACTTGTGAAATTACGGGATTGGTTAGCATGTTCAAAAAGAACAAAGCCCCCTTGACAAAAAGCAGGCTGTTAAAGCAAATTGGCGAGGAGACATAAGCACGATTTGCGATGACTACTCCATAAAAATCCTTTTAAATTGGCTTGCATAATAACGTTAACGATCGTGGCCTATTTGAGAAGGATTTATATGGAGTCATCGGAGCATAACGGTGCTTATATCTTCTCACCGATTTGCACCAACAGGCTGATTTTTAGCAAGTGAACATTTTTCATGCTGTTCTTTATGCCAACCAATCATATAATTTCACAAATTTCGATTTTGTAACGTCATCACTTCACTTCTCCATTTGTACAGTGTTGCCCGGGTATCTTTACAGACCAATTTGAGATTATGCATGAGAAAAGGTCGTTGCTGTGTCGAATTGCATTGTGGGAACTGTGTGAGAACCAATAAAAAAAAGCTATCCCCCCACCAAAACAGTCCCATAGTGCAATTCGACACAACACTAACCCAATCTTTTGCGCCTATTTCAAAAAGCCCATGTTCGATATATCAAAATTCTAGCATGACTCCGAGGCTTTCTGGTCATTTTTCTATATTTGGTTTGGTTTTCCTTGTGCCCCAGTCTCTTCTAGGAATTGCGAGTCAGTAGAGTCGTAAAAAATTTGCAAGTTTGTCCCCAAAGCCTCGGAGTCGGGTTAGAATTTTAATATATCGAACGAGGGCTATTGCCGAACCAACACGACCACACCTTCCATGTTTATGTCAATGAAGCATTGTTCAATCCATACAATACCGAAAAGCCGATGACCTCGAATTTTACCAACTTTCTGGACAACAGCAATATCCAGAGATTCGGTTGATCGCCAAAAAAGCGCATATTAAGCACTGTTTAGTTGTAATAAATGCGGAAAGGATCATCACAGTTAAATACGCAACTTATGCAGTTGCAAAAAGAAAGCCTGATTTCAATTTATGAAATTCACTCTCTAATTTTTATCGATCACTTACTTGGAAATGTTTGCTTCCGGTGATGTGTCTATACTTGACACCATTCTCATCCAACGCTTTTGCGATAACAACCAACACATCCTGCCACTACAGGGAAATGAAACACAACATGGATAGTTAAATAAAACGCATCATAGCCAGTGGCGGATACAGGAAGAGGGTCCGGGGAATCCGGACGCCCGCTATCACATCTGACGCTTGTCTGAGACTGAAAGTTTTACATCACTTTTTAAATGGCTGACTTTTGTAAAGAAACGCGTTGCATTTTGCCACCAAACTAAATTCCAAGGATATTCAAAAATGTAATTGTTTTTGGGTACCCTCCAGTGATCTGTTCGCCTCTGCTAGCAAAGCAGTATTTCCCGCGCCAACGGCGACCGGCGATCACACATTGAGAAACAGGTGGTTGTCTCTGCTTCTCAGCTGGCAGCTGGTCCACAATTATGGCGACAACTCGGCCGATAACCACTTTCTAACAAAAAGTCAAAGTGCAACAGTCCCTTTTCAAAAAATTCAAGGATCCGCCCCTGATAGCCCTTTGTTTAAGTGATTTGGGAAAGCTGTGTCAAATTCATTCAAGGATTGAGCTCCCAATGAGCAGCCTAAATTAACGAAAATGTACTGCTCAGTTGAGACAAAAAGGAAGGATTCCTTGCACTTAATTACTGTCCACAACAAAATTTCAAACACCAATGTGTCACTATAATATAATTTTTAACTCTTTACCCTCCTCCCCTCCCCTCTTTCCTTCTTATTTTGACGATCGCGGGACGAATGGCAAGCGGAGAATGCTTTCAGGTCACACCTACTGGACTAGGGGTAGGAGGGGGCATAAAGTTATGTTTAACGTTGAATACGCAGTTCTTTTCAAGGTTGGGCACGCTAAGCTTGCGCTACAAATGTGGGAGGATTGAGTGGGGACTTGTTGGGCTTGGGTTGATTTTCGTCCGGCAGTGACACGTCTATTTTGACTTCGATTGACTAGTTAAACTCACCGTAGAGAAGACGAGACATTTTGCTGTGTTGTCTGCTGACTTAATAGCTAACAACGTACGGACAATAGCTTCAACTTTAGTTGAGTGGCTTCCCTAAGGGGGAAAATAACGTCAACAGAGATTAATAGCCACATATTGAAAACACTGAAACAAAAGTGTTAAACCTTAAAAAAATACACACACAACTAAGAGCAAAGTACTTAAGGGCTCATTTCAAATGTAAAATGCAAGAAAACGAGTGATATGCTCAAGTAACTGAAAAGCGAACGAAGAAATGGACACTATTTAAAAAGAGTAAACGTATTCTTAACTGATACCTTGACTGAAATATTCTCCTCGGACTCTTCCTTTTGCGTCCTAGCGGTACTGACGTAGGAGATTTCTTGTGCAATGGTAGGTATGCGGCACATAGGGCACTTGACGTGTACGTTCCTGTGGCGGGGACCAACGCCGGCCTGACGTAAGAGCACCCAGGCACACTGACAGCAAATACAGTGGCCACAAGAGAATACGCTCCACTGAAACAAAATTAGGATATAGAAATAGAGCTCACACACTGGCTGGAGCGGTAACTCTATTTCAAAGTCCAGGTGCAAACGAAAAAGTGAATGTATGATACTTAGGTGATTGAATAACGGCAAAAGGCTGACAGAGGCCAAAAATGGTTTGTAGCCAATAACCATTTTCCTGAAGGAGAAGGATGCAGTAAATGCAAAAAAGAACAAGGGTCCGTTATGAATACAAGGAATACCGTAAACTGCCAGTTATAAGTCCTAGGAGGGCTTACAAAAGGAGGGGTTTATATCCAAGGGGCAAATACAAACTGGAATAGAAAAGGCGCATCGAAACAAGCTATACATGCTGATCAAAATACGTTTTGTATTTACTGGTTTGTAACTCAGCTTCAAAACGTCATAATAAATCGAATTCAGAGGGGGGGGGGGGGGCTTATATCCAGGGGACTTATAATTGCATATATGTTTTACAGGTAGATCTACGCTTTGTATGAGCCCCCTACCCCCTCGGGAGAAGACCCCCAGAGAGAACGCATAAGGAATGGATCGACCCCAATAAGCATTTCTCAGTGGATGAATGGCAATTGCCGGCCTAAGGCGGGAAACCTCCAAGTGCTGGCAAGGACGAGGAATTTGAAGGTGCCACTAAACTACAAGGGGGAAAACTTGGAAGCTTTGCTAACCGCGCGAAAATTTGCAGTCGCATTCAAGGACGCACAAACATGCCGCCATTGTGAGCGCGGGAAATCACCACTTGTTACCACGTAAAAGAATTGACTTCTTTGCTAACAGTTTTTGTTTCTCAGTTCATTCTGCCTCCAATTTATGTCAACCGCACATAAAACAGAGATAACTTTTTAATTTCTATGATTCGCTACAGACTGACGTCTTTACCTGGACACCCAGTTGTTTGACGCACACGGGACACAGTTCTGGATTCTTTCCGTCGTGGTATGTCTGCGTCTGAAAAAAAAAAAGAAAATTAACACTTTGTATGAGGTAAAGTAAACTTGAAAAGCAAGAATGACAGGGTTGTAAGAACACTTGCTTCCAACCAGGGTCTTATAGAATCGATAGTTTCCAAACAACAACAACAACATAATTTCCCAGACTCGGTATTCTGGTATTGTTCAGCCGTGTAGCCAATCACGGCAAACACAGATAATCTAGTGAGCCAATTAGAATTCAAAGCTAACACATGTAGCCGGCATTGAGCGCGGGAAAAAAACGTGCGACCGAGTCAAGATTAGAGATGATTGTGGAGCTGAGTAAAACACAAACGGCAAACACAGATAATCGGGTGAACCAATCAAAATTTAAAGCAAATACACGCAACAGGTTTGCAAAAGGTAATTATGAAGTGTGGGAAAACACGTGCGACCAAGTAACAGTTGGTGATCATTGTTCAGCTGAGACGAGAGTAGCCGATCACGGAAAACATAGAAAATCACGTGAACCAATCAGAATTCAAAGAAAATACAGGCTGCCGGAAACAAGCGCCGGGGAAAAACGCGGGCGACCAACTTACGACAGGTGGTCATTGGTTTGGTCTTATTTCGGTCTGAATAAGAAAACGGCGCGAACTTTTTTAGCCGATTCCACAGCGCAACAATGCACAATTAGAGAAATCGTGAAATCACTTTTAACAAGCCGATTTTAGAATCCCATTGCGATCAAACATTTTTTTATATATTCCTCACCTTTGCCAAGTTGTTGAGATAAAGAAGCTGACCAAGCTTTTTCCTCAGTTCAGTTTGTGCGACTAATCTATCAGACATGAACTTGAGACGCTGTTGCTCCACCTGCAATGTTACAAGCGAATTAAGGCAACAAAAATATGCTAGACATACCGTAAATGACCTAATAAACGCCCTGGGCATCTATTTAATTTTAGGGGTCCAAGCGGGAAGCATTTAATAGACAGGAGACGTTTAAAAGAGAGGGGCGTTTATTCTCATAACTGCAACAACCTCAACAAAACTAATTTGCTTTCGGCGAAAATATTTTACCAGTGTAAGAGCGCTTTCACTGGCCAGCTGTACTTGCCTGAAGAGGATGAATAACATGAATGTTATCTGTAGAGGGTTCGCCTGGCAGCTGGAGTCTAAGGCGTGTCGTACACATGTCCAGCTCATCAAGGGATGAAACACGCTCGTGCAGTGCAAACCACAATGCTCTCAGAAACTGCAAGAGACAAACAATAAAATTATTGAGACAATAAGCCTGCTGCATCTCTTATTCAATTTTGTTGATCGTTTTGACTACGTCTTTAGGACGAAGTTACCCTCCGTGATCTGACCACGGCTACAACTTCACAGGGCTCAAATAGGCATGTAGAAATAGCAGCCCCGTCTACAGTAACAAGTAAAGAAATTATATGGTTTCTTTAACACGTTCTTCGCGCTAAACACGTGTAAATGAAGGGGCAAGTAAATCCATAAATTTGCCAAATTTGTAACAATAACAAGAACAACAGAAAAACAGTCACAACATATATCGCTCATTTCCAAGTCGGAAACAGAGAGTAGAACAACCTGATTTAAAGAGACAAAGCATGCCCCTGTTCTCGTTTCTCGTTGAATAGCTCTTTGCCTATACTGAAGGCAAAGTAGAACTGTGTTCCTAAAAATTTTAAGCGAAACATATTTGGTATCGAAACCAGTGACAAAACCCGCGAGTACTAGAATTGAAACAAAGTGACCACTAACCTTAAACTCTTTTCTGAGACCCTCAATCAAATTCAAGTGATGGCGACCTTCTTGCTGTACTGGTGGGGCAATTTCTGCAGGAAACCAAATTGCAGTAAAACTTTAGTTTGACAGAGTGCCTAATGAGAATAGTATGTATAAACAGGGCTCGAAAAAAACTTCAATTCCAGCTTGTCCTTTGGGCAAGCAGCTCTCAAATTTTGCTTGCCGGGGACGACCATGTAAGCCTCAACGTTACCTTGCCCAGCAAGAAAATGTACTTGTCCCGGACCACCGGACGGGAATTATCCGAGCCCTGATAAATAGTACCACGCAGTGCCGGATTCAGACCTTGACACGGAGTGAGGAAGGCCCGGTCTGGAAATAGGGGGCTCCACTGGATACGCCACTGCTACCCACTCCACTTTTAGAATGAGAGTAAGGAACCAGGTATGATGGTATGTAAAGTGGTTCTTACTTTAAACCGGTCGACAAAATACTACGGCGTGACCATTCACACCAAACACCCTCTTGGGGGCGCCCGAGAGACTGGGTTTGGGTTGTTTCGAACTGTACCATGGGAATGTTTTGGGGATACTATCTTCCTTCTTTTATTGGCTGTTGTTGAGATTCAGAAGGCACCTGTGTTATCTCTATTTATTACAACTCACTGTTAGTCTTTATAAAGTTGTGCACCACTCTCAATACTTTCTCAACCTCAGACTCCGCTCTTAAGCCTCCTGTGTTACCATGACGATGCCAATCAAGGGATTCATCAGTCTGCAAGCTGTGAAAAAAGACAATTTAAAGGTTAGACTGAAGCATCTAGTATAATGAACTTGAAATTATCATACTACTCTCGGCTAAGCTTCATAGAGAGTTTGTTTTTAAAGTACCCGCACGACTTGGGCTGTCTCTCCCCAGTCCTCGCGAGTTTTTCGCTTTTTTTGACTGAACGACTTTTCACCACTATCTTGGAGCCTGGAACAGGCTATGCTACCCCAGTCTCTCTGACAACAATACGAGAAATGTTTTGCAATCACCGAGGGAGAATCAAGTACTGGACATTAAACTTACTTATTGTCATCCACTCCCTTCATTCCCTGGTGACCAAAAATACGTGACTCATATTCAGTAAAAATGTCATCCACTTGACAAAAGGCACATCTGAAAAAAAAACAAACAAACAAACACAGACTCAGAGCCCATCCACAGGTATCCGGATATTTTTGAAAACGGATATTTTTTCTCCATTTTACAGCCTTCTGTTCACACGTAAACGGTGTTTTCGGGCCCCCAACACGCAGGTTTTTGAAAACGTTCCCCAGAGTGAAGATTTTTGAAAACACCGGCTTCTCGTTTAAGTAACGGAGTTGAAAAATACGATGATGTTCATTTCAGTTCATTTGTGTGGATGAGCAAAAACGATTTAAATACGCCACAAGTGGATGCGTACTTTCTTGAAAAAGGAGAAGAAAATCCACCTTTGTTAAGATCCCTAGTCTCACGCTCACTCAACGATGTTATACCTGCTGGCACGACTATCATCTGCTGGCCTCAAGCAACATTCAGCACTGGCTTGTACCAGCTGAGGAGTGGGTGGCACCACAAGGCTTTCCAGAGACACTAGCAAGTTATTATAAGTGGACTGTGGACAGACAGTAACATGATGTGTTAGTCTTCTTTCATTTGTAGCAGTTGGCCTCAATATCAAAGAGTATAAGATTACACGACCGTGACGAAAACATCGAAAATAGATATTTCTTTTTAAGAACTTGGATGCGGTCCTTACAAATCTGAGTCCAGGCTAGAATGCGTCTACGTTTGACAAATTGATCGAGTTGAAGTTTGTTAGAAGCAAGTGCAAATTCACTTTAAGGTTTCGCTACCGTCAACATGTCGTGGTATCATAAATTCGCCACTACTTTTGTATTTGTATTTATTTTTTTGCCACACAGATAAATTGTTACAATTACAAAAAAAGATACAATAATGTAGAAAGTAATGGCGAGGAGGCTTAAAGAAAACTGTAAAGCTTGTGTAAATTAGGCATCCTCAATTACAATTTTTCATAGACGACATAAAAATTATGACGACGGATACGATGGCCTTCTCTCCAGTTGGCTTGATTAGCTTAATGGAGAGAGCGTTGTGTTCGGTCATCGCAAAGGTCAGGGTTCCATTCCCGGTCAAGTCTGAATTTTTTCAGGTTCTTTTTAAAACGCTTAGGTTGTTTATTCGACGGCGAGGATCATTTCCACTTTCATATCTTTATCCGCAGTTTAAAGTATGAATCATTTCACGTATTTCCTTTCAGAGGCCAATGCACTGAGAATCTTAAGTCAAATGGAATGTACCTAGATTGCCCCCTTCCCCTCTCCCCTGAAGAAACAAACAGAAGAGAGGTAGTACCAAGCATCCCCCTCTTAGGGCTTTGTTTTAACGCCTTACCTCAATTAAGTCAAGTTTAGAAGATACAAGATATTGTAATCCACGGAGGTCTGTAAACCTGCCAAAAGTATTGGTGAAGACAGAATTGTAACAGTTAAACCACGCGCAAATTGAACAAAATACAGAGAACGAACGAAAGTGTGGACAACTTGTAAACAAATGTTGCTGAGTTTATCTTCAGTTTCATTTACAACGGCTACAGTCAAACCTCCATGTTTGACTACCACTCATAAACAATCACCTCTTATGAGCGACCAGCTACCCAAATACCGAAATTTACAAGAATTGTAGTTTAAACCACTAGTACGCTAGATGAGGTATAACTGTATCCAAATTATGGAGAGTGCATTCATGCAGTGTTTTGCTGAAGGATTTGGAACAAAACTGTAGCAAAATAATATTATAGCTAATAGCTAAGAAGAATAACTAAGCACAACACACCTTCCAATAGAACCCAGTTCTGTGGCTGTGGATGATAATTCATCTTTGATCCTTTGACAGATATCACCTTCCATTCCTTTGGTTGCTGTGTTCTGAAGAGCTTCCACCCACCATGGGGAATGCAAATCCACCTGAACAGAACAGCACATGTAATTACAAAGTAAAGACCACGCTCTGCTTCATTGCTACAAGATTTCGACTTAATCAGGTTACTGTTGCATCTAAACGCAGTTTAATGGAGTTAATAGAACAGAGAGCACACATGTTTCCCTATAGTCAACACTGCTGAGAGACATAAATGCCAGTCCTTAAAAAAAGTTTGAATTGCAGTTTGTCCTTTGGACAAGCAGCTCTTAAATTTTGCTTGCCCAGGGCCATTTCTTCCTTAGCCCTCGTAGCAGGCGTTTGAGAGTAATATGGGCTCAAGAAAAACATTTTTCAAGCGCCTGCTATGCAGGCTATTGCTTCCTTGCCTTAGCTAACGGTTTAAGTACTTGACGACTTGCATGTACCCTTGCCCATTGGACAAGTAAGGTTGCAAAGTCACTTGTCCAAAAAATCTACTAGTCCCAGACGATGGGACAGGTCTTTTGCCGAGCCCTGCAGGCACCAGGATTTCATGTGTGCGCAGACTGAAAGACCTTTAGAGGGCAAAGTTAGTCGTTTTGAGCAGGTAAGCACTTGGTAAAAGGCGCTTCCCCTCTACCAGAAGGACATAACCTCTTCCCCTTTCTACAGTTCTATCAGAGGGATGGGTGTCGTCCATCTGGGTGGGGCTCATGGCTGGGTTTCAAGGCTTTGCCATCCATGGAAAGGGTCTCCATCAAGGAGCTGACTACTAACAGCAAGAGCTCCTGAGTGTCTTAGGCACTCACTCTCTATCAAGCATTGCAGTTTTTTTAATTTTGTTTGAGAAATGAATGGGTACCCTATCAACACAAGGTAAACTTATTGAAGGATTTTCCGTTCATCATTTGTCTTCCAACACTATATATACACCACAATCCCATTCCCTAGTTTACATTTTCTTAGTGAAAAGCTCTTTTTTGCTTCTTAGAATTTTCCTTTGAATGATTTATCAAAGTCCTAGCAAAAAGTGTGCTGCTTCTGAATCCAGCAGGTTGTTTGCAGAGAGAGTCTATTTTGTCAGCAAAGCATGAAAGACAGTGAAATTACTCTATTCAACTGAAAGACAACACTGTCACTAAAATGTTTCCAGCCAAACACATTCCATAAGCTGTGGTTACTATTAGCTACTATTTTTCATTATGACTTAGGACACAATGAGCCTTTCAAACCATGGACAAACTCACTTTTTGCTTAATTTCAGCAAGAGTTGATTTGGCAACATCCAAATTTTGTTGTGCTGCGGTTACTTGAGTACTGGCTCTTTGCATGTAGCTGTTTTTAAGATCTTTTACCTGAAAATAAGTCCAAAAATTGTTATTCTAAAAGGGGTGAAAACAAGTAGATAAGAGAGTAGGAATTGAATGGAAAAGAAAGACAAGATGGTAGAAACTTGAACATAGAGGTAGCTAGCAAACAAGAGAGAAAGTAGAAAATGAGATGGATAGTGTTGTATTTAGTATTTATGAGACATGTCACAATTTCAGTTTGTCAAGACAAGACTCACTTGATCCTGTAGTTTATCATCATTTAAAGTTCTTGAACTGCCTGACTGATGTTGATGGAGGACTTCAGACAAGTTGAAGAGGGTGTGTAACTTCTGCACCAAATAAAATCATAATTGTGGGCACAAAATTAATGAATATCAAGCAAAATCAGCATGTAAAGGTAAAATAAAAGAAGACTGGAGATACTAAATCAACAAATTTAACTAATTTATCCTTAAAGGGTTTAGTTTATTATTTGTCTCACAATTGTCACCTAGATATTGGTTGTGATGTTTTGACCACATGCTGCAGGTCTTTATCAGGTGATAGTGTCGATTTTCTGAGGAGGACTATTTCTGCCACTGAGGTTGTTAGTGATTGGAATATCATAAACCTTGGCCATAGTTGGTGGGTTTCGATCCAATTTTCCTGTAGACGGACAAGCCATCCTTCTCAAAGAGAATGTAATTCTAGGACTCTAGACCTACAATGGAATTTGACACATTTCCTAGACTACCTGAAGTGCATCAGTTCTGAAGGTAGCTTCATGCTCTGTCCAAGATCTCATGGCTTCTCTGTACATATCAACAGCTTGTGGCCACTATATTTTATATCAAACAACAAACAAGAAATTAACCCTTTAGTGTGATTTACTCAGATTTAAATTACTGCATAATATGAGTTTAATAAGGTTAAGAAACAACACAGACCTCTTCCTTCAAAATATGAACTCCAGCAAGACCTGTGGATAGCAATATTTTTTTCACGTCAGTCTATACATATACTTAGTAGCCAGTAAAAAAGAATACGAGTAAGGTGAGAGCTTTTCACTTCAAAATCCAAGTTACTTACCAGATAAAATAAGTCCAAACTTGACTATCATTTAAACAACCTTTAGTTTAACTTTTACTCAAGGCAGATCCACAAGACATGACTGCCACATTTTGGTTGCACATCTGGGGGGAAGGGGGATGAGGGATGAGGGGGTGACCAGTCTTTTAAAGGACTTAACTAGGAACTCTTAAATAACTATTACAAAATTAGGAAAATTGTTTTGCTAATCTTATTTTAATTAGGTACACCAACCATTAAAAGCAAACAAGAGTTGTCTGTGTGCTTCTTCACACTCCAGCTTAGCTTTGGAAATCAGACTCTCCAGTAACTTGTCCATCGTGAGCGTGCTGTGAGAATAAGATAACGTACAGTGTAAATTATCATAAGGAGAGTAAGAGAGAATTGGCAGTCAACTCTCTCTTGAATATTAAAGATGCTGTTGAGGGTCAACTCTGTTTTAATGGACACCTTTATAAGTAGGACCCAATTTACATTCCTTTCGTCATCTCTTCTGACCCTTTAAAAGAAGGACTTTCAGAGAGAGACTTTCAGGAGACTTTCAAGTTTTCCAAAAAAAAACAAACAAACTATAAGAGGGATTAGAATGTTAATTTCAGTATTGTAAGTACTGGTTGTAAGTTGTATGTCGCTTGATGCTTTTTTAGTAACAGCTGTCGCTTAACAGAAGCATGTACCTTTTCTGCACTGACAGATAACCTCCTCTCACAGCTTGAGGGTGACAACAGGCCTGACGTAACCGTAGTAAGGGATTCAACAACTGAGAAAGGAAGAAAAATAAAATCAATAACAATTTTATTACCATTACATGCACATGATGATGGCAAAAATTATGCTAAATACTGTTAAAAAAACGGACCACTCATATTTATCTTAAAATACGTGTTTGGCTAACAAAACTTTTGCATTACAACAAAATACTCCAAGTGGAGTGTGAGGTAAATTAACAATATTCTTACCATTGGCCAACTCAAAAGCAGTTTCACTGCTAACACTCAGTCCCTGACAATAACAGATCCATTCTGTTGACTCACGGTTCTCATTAATTTTTACAGTAGGTAGGTAGCTTGGCAATCAAGTGTTGTAGGCAATTTGAGGCTTTTACTCCCTCACTTTACCCATTTTCCCACAAAAGTAGATAGCTCACACCCCAGGGGGGGTACTCCGGATTTCAAGTGACAGGGATGATTGAAGGATGTTTTGGGGGTTTCAAATTTTCGATATTGGGATTTTTTGGGGTAGCGTGATTTAAGTAGGGATTTTGGGGGGTATTCAAAACAATCTGAAGATTGTGATAGTTTCCACGTATCCCAGCTACATAGTTCCTCTGGGAATTTTTATGGCTCGGAAATTTGGTCCAGGGATTCTTTGAGTTTTTATATTTGCCCCCATTCAATCATAGCTGTCACTTGAAATCCGAAGTACCCCCACCACTTCTGGGGTTCACACCTCAAAGTAGCCAGTTTTTAAGCTGGTTGCCGTACTTAATGAGAACCCTGTTGACTTGAGTAGAAAATCAAGCCCCAATCACCTGATGAACTGCATGTCTGTCTATAGCACTTAACATGGTGTCAGTCTTCTCCCAGTGACTCAACAACTACATGCAAATCAGAAAAAAACAGCACAAATTTAATGCTCTGTAACAAACATGGTCTGCTGCTAAAGGCCTTGTTTAATGTGAAGTTCCAGACAGATTGAGACCTTAAGTGTTCCTGGGAGGACTGCATATTCCCTAAAACATGCGAAGACAATGTCTCATGCAAAATTTGGGCGACAAACACAGGATTTATTGTGGGACCTCCACATAATGAAGGGCCGAGGGGATGGTGAAATTTGTTCGCTATAACGAGGTTTCATTATACAGTGAAACCTGTATTAAGCGGCACCGTATTAAGCGGTCACCCTCTATTAAGCGGTCAGTTTTTAAAGTCCCAAAAATTACGCCCCTTGATGTACTGTAATTGCGACCTCTATTTAAGCGGCCACCTCTATTAAGATTCGGGGTCACCATTTACGAAGTCCCAAAGGAACTTTTTCTATTGTCTTGACCTGTATTTAACGGTCAAAAGGTGTCGATTACTTGTTCATACAGTTTCAAATAATGTAACACACGAGGTGCAACAATTGATTTTCTTGGTTATTTTCGCAAATCATTAAAACGCCGGAAATGAATGTTTCTATTTGAGGTCAAACTTCTGATCTTATCAGTACTGGACATTCATTAACCTGTATTTCTTGCAACCTATTGGTGGTCACCCTGTATTAAGCAGTCACTTAGCCATTCCCCGAGGGTGACCGTTTAATACAGGTGCGACTGTATTGAGGTTCTTTTCCATACATTTTACTATTACTGGGGTAAAGAAAATCGTTTGTTATACCGAGGACTTTATTACATAGAGGTTCATTATATCAAAATTTCATGGCACTTATATTCTTCAACAACTTTCTTGTTCTTTCTCCTGTTTTCTCTTTTTTTGAAATAATAGTGCTTCTATAAATACCTTCCTAACCACTGCCCACCTCGACTAGCTCTTGCTCACTACAGATAGTGCAAAATTAGGGAAAATAATAATGAGTTAACTGAACTGAGCTGAACTGACTTTTAACCTGTTCAGCCTGCCTGAATCCCAGTACCTGGTTTGTGATTTAGACAAGGATCACCTGACTGCTAGCTGATGCTCATCTTTACAAATTCATCATGAACTTTAAAAAGAGGCATCAACAAAACCTGGATGGGACCAGATCAGATAAACTCCTGTATTTTGCTATAATAATAAAAGGTTAGGAATAATGTTTCAGGGGTTGATCCAGTCTGCTCAATCTACACTGTAGGTTTTGTCAATAGCCTTTAAAAAGTTTATAGAAACCTTCATGGCAGTTCTGGCACACTCCTCATGTTGACGGCGATAAAAATGCTGCTCCACTGGAGTGAACATCAGCCATTTCACCTTCTCCTCTTGATCAGGTAAGCGAATCTAAAATTGTTTTAGATTCAGTTAATTATAGAAAGTCATTTCAGTAAAATTTCATAGAAAAAAATAAGTGGCAGAAAAAATTAAAAGACAGCCAACGAGCCAGACTCAATTTATTGTCCAGAAGCTAATACATTTTATATATGTTATGCTTCAAATTTTTTGGTTTAATTTTTCATGAACCAGTTTCAATTTTTCAAACTAGCTTAAAATTTCCAAACTAGGTTACAGTTTTTAAACTGGGTTGAAATTTTCAAACTGGGTTGTTTTTAATTTTTGAACCACAATGCTCAAATATATTTGCGAAATTCTTGTAAGATTGTTGTATATTGTTTTCTCTGATGCTATCAAACAGAACTCTGTGTCAAAGCATTGATAATTTATTATTACTATTATCATTATTATTATTATTATTATTATTGGTTCTGGGAGGTTTGAACTATTCAATGAGTCTTGATTTGCCAGATGATTGATGTCTTAGGAGGTGAATTTTATGTATTTTGCTTGAGTGGGTCATCATTGATCTTCAGCTGCAAAATTATGCAGTTTCACCTCCTAAAATAATGCAGAATGTTAAAATGACAAGTTTACCTCATGGATGACATCTTTCTTGGCACTTCTCCACATAACCTTTGCCAGAAGGTTGTACAGTGCTTGTCTTTGCCCGTTCTTGTATGGTTCATACAGCAAGGCCTTCCACCACTTGTGGTAGCAGTATGGATCAATGCCAAGAAACAACAGCAAGCCATAAATATCTGTCACAATAAACAAAAGCAGGAAATGCATGCTGATAGACAATTTGTGCATTCCAATAATTTAAGATTAAAAAATTCAATGAATCATTCCCTGTGATCCAGCTGTCGAGTAAGTGATCTCTAATTAAGTGCTGATTAGATATTGGCATCTTGATCAAAGCAATGTCACTATTAACTTAAATGGCATTTTAAGTGGTCAATTATGGGAAGTATGATGTGACCATGTAATTTAACATTTTTCATTTTCTTACCTTCCAGTCCCTTTTGTATTGGTGTTCCTGTGACACACCATCTGTGTACACTGTTCAGGTGAAGAGCTACTTCAGCTGCCTATGCAACAAAGGTGGAATAGCAAGCAAACAGATGAGAATATTGGTAGTTTCTTGGTGTTGCAGACAGGTGTGACCACCAAATGACATAATACAAAAGAATGAAAAGACACTAAACAATGCCCACACCACAACACAAAATTAAAACTTCTTTGAGCTGCCTTTTTGCACATGCTACTCAATATATGCTTGTTGAAATTAAGTTCTTCATCTATTATCACCCCAAGGAGTTTCAATGGCTTTGATTGATACTAATAATGACATTTGTAACTTGCATAATTATAAGGAGTGCTAACCTTAGCTGTTGTACTTTCCACCATCTGTGCCTCATCAAGACAGATTCGCCAAAATAAAATACCTGTCAGTGGGCTGGGTACTGCAATATACCGCCTGTCATATCTCCTGGCTCTTCCTTCAACATTTCCTTTCAAAAATTGAGCAAATTAAACCATCACTTTTAAAAATGCACGTGTGGCTAAGACAAAAAATATTACAAGAAGAAGAATTCCTTTGGAAGAGCCCACTCTCAAGTTTTTTGGAAACGCCAGATCCAGATTGTTTTGATACTCAAAGTAACTGAAACAAATTAAAAATTTAACATAAAAAATATTTGTCTCTCACATTAACTTATTCCAGTTCTGATATCATCAATTTTGTTTTGTTTTGCTGATTATCAGCCAATCTTACAAGATCGTAATGTTTCCTTTTCAATATTGCCACGGCAAATACTGGTAGTTCTATTTCTGCTGGCCCTTTGCGCTTTGCGTCAATAGTAGGTGTGACATGTATTTAACTAAGTGTCAATTATTGCCATACAAGTGCAGAGAGAGGAGGGAATGGGGGCACGAGAAAACAGAGAGTAAGGAAAACATCATAAAATTATTCACTGAATAGAAAAGAATTTCTGGGATTCACACAGCATTTATGTTGATTATTGCAGAAGGACTGACCTTGTTTAGATCCTAAGTGATAAAAATCTGATCTCAGTGTGGAATAAGTTGTCAAAATCACATCATGATCAGCAAGAACTTCAGGTAGAATAAATCCAGATTTTGCCACTCCTTCATACACCTGAAAAATTGTGTTAAAATAGCGTAAAATTAGTCAATCTTTCCCAGGCAACTAATGCAACCATGCCGTTGTTTCTCACCAGTAGCTTTATTGACGATGGTTCTGTGTGTCTGAAGATTTCGTCCACCCACTGTTGAGCAATGGGTGCTGGAGAGATGATTAAAGTTGCCCGAGATGGTACTGCTGGCTTCAAAAAGAAAAACAGGCAATTAGAATTTAACTCTGAGAGCACAACAATATCACTGACGTGAAATGTGAGTGTGGAATAAGAAGTGTGAAGTGTGAAGTATGAAATGCCACAAGCCAAATGTAAACTGAGAAAATGGAAATGCCAAATGCTGAAATGTCAATTTCAGATGGAACACCAAAATCAAATTACATCAATGTAATCACATATCACATATCCCAAGGCCTAGACAGGGTGTTTCCCAACCTCTCCCATTATTCTCTCTAGGCCACACCTGAAAAGTCCAAGATGCATCTAGTAAATATACTGTGAACAGTGTATCAGGGATTCTAACCCTCCTATTTTGGCGGGAAACCTCCTGTTTTCAGCAAATATTTCTGACCTCCCATTTTTGCTTAATATTCTCCCAGTTTCTAATTTAACTCTTCCTTTCTTTGTTTAAACAGTCTTTTTAGCATGATTCTTTGCCTTTTCTCTGGGGTTTTTCAGCCATTTTTACCCTTATGGCAACTGAGCATGAGCTTGCGATAATTTTGGGAGCAGTAATTATACACTAGATTGCCTCAACTTCGTGCAAGGTTTGCATTCATTTGTGGTTTCAAAATGCAGGAAAAGGCATCTTAAGGGCACATATCTTAAATATTTTCCCTCAAAGCCCGGGACACCACTAGAGGCTCGCAGCCTCAGCACTTGTGGGAGTAGCTATGCCGCTCCTAAAGCCTCCCTTTTTTAGTTGACAGGGTTGGAATCTCTGGTGTAAGTATGTGGAAGGAATCAGGAATAGGGAAGGTAAGGTTACTTCTGCACGACAAAGAAACTTGGAATAGAAGGCAAACAATGAAATATGCCCTTACTTGCTTTAAAGCACAATGTGGACATATAAACTCTTGTGGACAGTGGTACTGAAGGCATGCAGCATGAAAAACAGCTTCGCACCCACAACATTGCAACAGTGCATCATCATAACTTGCTGACGTTACACCACAGATACACTGACATTTTATGGTAGCACTGTTTTTAACTGATGCACCTGAAGAGCTGGATGAATCAATAATGGCACTTTTTTGAGCTGCAGCAAATTCCTTAGACTTTTTCAGCCCAAAGTCTTCTGTGTCTTTTGTTTTCACATTTCCCGCATTACAACTATTGTGCGGTGTAGGTACATTTACACAGTTGGAAATGTCTGATTCCTGATTTAATCCAGCTGTTTTATCGTGAACACAACCACTTTCATCCCCTTCTTCAACAGTCTTTCCCAAATTTTTAAAAGCACACTCTTCCTGTGAATTGCTAGAAGTTGTTAAAGAACTTGAATGTTGCCCAAAACTGACACTTGTTGATTCACAATGTGGTTTACAAAAACCATGATTTGGTATGGTTTCATCCTTTTCCAGTCTCTGCTCATGAACTGAGCAACTAATTTCTTCACTGACAGCTTTGACAACATCATGTTTTGTGTATGTAGTTCTGGATGATTCAGACTCACTCCTGCTACAATTACCAGGCAAATCGCAAGACCTTTCATTAGGATTGTCATCTGTTTCAGTCCCACTACTCTTTAACCCTACTTGGCAGTCACTATTGCCTTCTGAGGGTTTATTGTTCAAACATCTGTGTTCATTAGGTGCAAGTTCATTTCCCACATCAATGGATGAGGAAAGATCAATTCTTTCCTTGTCATCCAGAGTCCTGTGATCTGGTTTAACAATACTCACATTAGAGCCTCCTGTACTGAAAATTTCACAACGTGTGGAAACGTGATTTGGCCCGCCATGAACACTAGATGAAGAAGGATTTCCTTGGTTTATACTTGAGCTACGTGTATAAGAGGATGTTCTTTTATTATCTAATGAATTAGGGCCAGATGGTTTAGGGTGGCAAAGAATACAAGCAATTACTTCCACTGTCTTCCCAAGCCCCATTTCATCAGCTAAGATCCCTCCAAGGGGCAGATTTGGCAAGGGAAATCTTTCTTTTGTGAGCCTAAAAGTAGAAGTTATTAAGACATGTTATTGAAACAACTTGGGAGAAGTTGTGTGAGCAAATATTAAGTTATTGATTTCTCTAAATGTTTGGTGCTTTACCTCCCAGTATAAGGATTAAAGTAAATCTGTTTTCCATCCATTGTATTGACTTGCTGCCACAAGGGGTGAATAGCATCTAATGAAGCTGCAAGAAGAATTCAGTTACAAAGTCACATAAAAATTTCTATGACTGAGAAATTTTGTTGAGAAAACATCAAAATGCAACCCCCTCTTTCACTCCATCTCAGCATTTTGAACTTTTGAAAATAAAGTTATTCAAAGTCCCATTTATAAGGCCAAGGTGGAGTTCAGAGGTGTTCAAATTTTAACAAAGGTCAACAAAGGAACAGATTTTTCCCTCAGATTCTCACAATCTGTGTCAATGCTGTATTTCATGGAAGTATTAATATTCTACACCACAGTTATTGAACTGCAGCAATTTTTTCCACATTTTTGACCCCTAACCTCTGGTATTCTTCACCTCTGGCACATGAACAAGTCAAGTGACTGGAAGGATGGCGGGTGGGGGGGGCGGGCAGAGAGCAAGTTGATGTCTATGATCAATAGCACATTATTGGGTTTACCATTGAGATGGTTTTCAAGACAATGAAGTTGACAGCTTTGTTCTCTTCTCAGCATCCAATTGACTGCTTTTTTCTGATAGCCTCTTAACACAGGTTTGAGTTTAGGATGTTGAACATCATTGATAATCACCCCATTAAGTATATTATCAAACTTGGTATTCCAGACACTGCAATCACAAGTCCTCTTCCCGTTGGTGTCATACTTACACCTGGGGTGACTGTTGTGTGGACAAGGATTTTCCTGCAGCTTAGAAATATGCAATGCTGCTTCACCAGTTCCACAACCTCCTTCTCTAGCCTGCTTGACTGCATCGTACAGCTCCACAAAACCCCCAATTCCTCCCAAGACATCAGATTCATCAATAACCAAATCATTCTCCGCAGAGAGCTCACAAAACCAAGCCACTAATACCTTTACCATCTCATCTATTTTTCTTTTTCTGGTATCCATACTGCCAAATGGTAATTTGGTAAGACCGCTCTCATTTAAACACACGACAACCTCCCACCAGTCTTTTAAAATAAGCTGTTCCGGCTTTAAAACCAATGAGATGACTCCTTTGCTTTGTAAGTAGGCCAAAGCCTCTAGCCTCTCCTCCGAAACAGAGGGAACTACAGCCTTAAAGACCACTTGAGTCAAAGAGTCCACGTCAGGACTCTTATTTTGCTCATCAGCCAAGTTCATGTTCTTTGTTGTTGCCATTGGTTCTGAACACCGAGACTCGAATGACAATCTTACAGTGACACAAGAATATTTGCCATCAGTCCACTCCTGAGGATTAACTGAATTTGATGTTAACTTCAAACCATTACTTCCCGGGCCATTTAATCGCACCTCACTTTCTTGTTCTCTGTTGGTGCATAAGCTGATGTGAAGCGTACCAAGTTGACAAACATAGTGCTCAGGATAATTGTTCTCCAGATTTAATTCTAAATTTCTTCGATCTAAAGTATTTTTCTTATTTCTTTTTGAAGAATTCAATCCACGAGTGCTTGAAGGCCAAGAGGAAGGGATGGTTGCTGATTCCTCGCTCATACAAACCGCCGCCATGTCAAGCATGTTCCAAGTCATTTTAGTTCGCTTTTCTTCGCTAAACCTCTCCGGAGGTCTTCGTTTTCTCTTCCTGCTAGCCATCGTACGAAAGAACACTGCTCTTTGATATGAAGTTGAAGTTATATAACCCCTCACTGAACCCCATTCAACGAGCTCAACTTCAGCGGGTTACAATACAAACAACTCATACGTCGTGTATGGCCCAACAACTTGTCAATAAAATTTTCGGGGATGCTCGGCCCAGGTCCTCGCGGAACTTACACACACTCCGCCCTTGATAGTAGAAGAACCTTCATGTAACAAGTCAAAAAAATAAAAATGCAATAAAGTGACGGTCGCGTTTTTATGTTAGAATGCTGACGAATACGACTGTTGTGAAGTTTAAGCGAAATCTGTAGGAGCGTTATCGAGATATTTTGGGATGAAGTTTTTATGCATAGAAATACGATGAAAACTGGAGAACCTTTTTTGGCCACAATTTAGGTAGCCTGCTCCAGGCGTTCAGATTGTGGGGACTGCGCAAAGAGATGTGAGCAGAAAAAAAAACAACGAGGGTGAGGAGTAGGGGTGGGAGCGAGGGAACTGGGCGTTCCCTCCTCTCCCCATCTCCCTCATTTTCTCCTTATTGTTTTTCTCGCTCTCTTCCTTCGCGCCGCACCCCACTATCCCAACGCCTGGAACAGGCTACAATTTCTGTCGGGACGCTTCAGCTCCACCTCCACAAGTGGAACGCTTCTTTTTGACTGGTTGTGATCCTGTCTGACCAATGCCAGCGTACACGTGCAGAAGATCTCCTATATTAAAGCACGGTGCAAAAGACAGGACGTCGTTTGTCCGCGTGAAGTAAAAGAAACCAGGGGGCGACGAAGAAGACCTCAGCGAGCGAGCTAACCGCAAATTTCCATTCTATTTTCTAAAATTATTTCTTTCCATCTCACTCGGCTTCACTGGGAAGAAGTTAAGGTTGTCTTCCATTTGCAAAACGTTTAAGGAAAATACGGCAGAAATGTGAATGGGACACTGCTTTTCGTGTCGTTCCGGTGAAAAATTTACAAGAGCAACAGACCATCTGAAAAGATAGACCTGTCGTTTCCGGACGGAATGTTCCAAACAGAAATCAGTGTTTGATTTGTTGAACCATTTTTAAATTAAAACGCCACTTTCAGGCTTTCGCGCGCGAAACTGATTTGTGCAAATGGTAAACTAGATTCCAGAATGAAATTTACGGGTCCTGAATTTCTCTTATCACAATTTGCCCAAACCGTTTGCACAAGTAAATGGTAAACAACTCAAGAAATTGGTGAAAACGTAAATGGACCTCTTTGGTACTATTATATGAGATCAGAATTATCTGTCGAGCAATTTTTCAACTTCCACTTGCTAAAACAGCTTGCATTTAAAGATGGACTTCATTTCCAGCAGCGAAGATTTTTTCTGAGATTTATTCTGAGATGAAGTAAAGACACGTTTTTACATATTGCCATTCCCGATTCTTTATTATTAATACTATTTTATACATACAATCACACAAAAAGGTTTGTCCCAATAAATATTCATTCTAAAAAAGACACTTTATAAGTGTGGTTCTTACTCAATACAACAATCATTTTCTCGTATTTTTCCCTTCTTTGCATCTAATTCTTACAAACTAACAGTCGAAAGATTGGGAAGTATAATGTCTTTATCAATTATTGTATAACTTATACATGTACAATAATAGTCACATAACCTTATCCCTCCTTCACGAAATAACAATTTATATTGATCCCTCTCTAACACTGAATATCACAAAATAACGATACAGACAAGATTCTTAAAGAAACTATTAGAAAGATTGTATGATTTATAATAGAGTCAGTACAGAGTAATCCCTTTCTTTCATAGAATACCACAAAATATTATTGCCCACAAGTTTTTCTACTGAATTAAAATGCAAGTTGCATCTATCCCTTTCTTACATCAGAACAGTACATTCCAATTTTCAGTTCTACATAAATTATTCTGAGAGGGACATCTTTCAAAAAAGATATATCCCTCTCTAAATCAGAATACCACAAAAAATTGTGTGTCTTTCGAAACGAATCTAGATAGAGACTGTATTAACTGTAATAAGGATTGTAACGATAAACGGCAATTCAAAATTAGAAAAAAGACAGAAATTAAACCAAAACCAACACGTGATTTCCTATTCCGTGCTTCGAGTTGTGTTTGCAGTGTCGGCGTTTTTCATGGTTGGTCTTGGTTTAAAAGGACTGTGAAATAACCAACAGCTTTATATTTGAAATTAAGGGCTGGTTTCTATAGAATCATCCGGGATTTTCTCGATTGCTTTGATTTTTGGAGGACTATCGAGGCAAACCCGACCCGTTATATGGAAACCAGGCTATATATCCTGTAGAGTGTATGTACTAGATCAGTTCTTTTGATTAAGCGGGCTGACTAAGATAGCCCCAATCGTCCGGATTAGGCCTTTCCCCATTGTGCTCGGAAACTTTCGAGCAACTTTTTGCGTTTCTAGGATTCTAGCAACCTCGAGCAAATTTTGCGTTTCTGAGCAACTTTTGAGCAAAATTTAGGCTTAGAGCACAGATCACGACAAGCACGAAAAAGTCAACGATTTCATGGAAGACTTCAATTTTTTTTAATTTTCTTATTTTTTTAAAATTTTTAAATTTTTTAAAATTTCTTTTTCCTCGACCGATGTTAGTAGTTATTATCTAGAACGAAAAATAAAGTTTTTAATTAATGTTTATATAAAAATATCAAGAAATTTAGGTGGCAAATTTTTGGCATTCCAGTGAGCAACTTTTCAGCATTTTACGAGCACAATCAGGAAAGGCCTAGTCCGGGTCCAGCGTCCAGGCGCGCGTCGCATCAGAAGTGTTCCGTTCCACGTGACCATGTCGATTGTCTGAACGAATTCTGACATAACGCGGGCGATCGAGACCATCCAGACAATTACGTGGATGGAAGCCAGGCTTAATTAAAGGCCTTTATTTCCAAATTTCAATTTTTTTTTCGCGAAACGCGCCCCAGCTCTCAATCACTTAGAATTCTATAAAACACCAGATCACTGATAACTCCCCCAGTCCCCCTCAATAGTCAAATGGTGAACGTCTAAATAATATGTCTAAAACGTTTATATTAAAAGAAAAAATAGGACATATTGACCATAAAAAACATATAAAGGATACTACAAGTAGTATTCCGAAACAACCAAAAGTGTTATCATGTAAATGGAGTAAATTTAACAAAATATACAAAATTTTTTACAAAGACCGTCGAATTTTAAGATTAAAATGAATGCAAGAGACGGATGTATAGAACAGTTCTAGAATTGATCATTATAGAATAAAAAACATGTCTATCAGAAATCCATTAAAAGAAAAAACAATTATCGATACGTAGCTACTTAGAGAGGGATATTTCAAAGCAAAATAAAGAGGGATAAATAGAACGAAATTATAGAACTACAAAAGTACTTTGCTTTTGATAAAAATTTTGAGAATCTTTGAACATACCCATCCCATGAAAATGTTCTTTCTCTTTTTCGTGCTCTTGTTGGGTCCATGTTCGATCATGTGCTCGCTGCAGTGTTGTTGTTGTTTGTTTTGATTGGGAGGTCCTTGTGCCTCTATTTCATTGAACTGATCTTTATTGCTTTCATCTTCTGAATCCCATACATCATCTGGCTCTATCTTTTCCACTAGCGAACATAAGCTACCCACTTTCACTGAATTCAAATTGTGATCACGCTCTTCCGCACCGAACAGAATACCCAAATCAAATTCTTCTGCATCACATTTTTGACTGATCTCTTCTCTACAATGAAGCAACTGCAAGTTAGGAGCATCCTCTGAATCAAATTTCTTATCATTATCTTCCTCTTTCGCAAAGTACATTTCCTCTTGGTCCTCGGTGATCTCATCGGAATGATGGTCTAGTTCTTCTTCCTCCCTCTGCTCATCTTCGTCATCTGATTCATTATAAGATTCACTTTCTTCATCGTCACTTTCGCTGAACTGGAAGATGAGCATCGGAAGTTCATCATCAGACTGGTCATGTTCTTCTTCCTCATCAGGCTCATCCTCGTGATCGTATTCAGCAACAGATTTATATTCATCATTGCAGTCTGATTCCGAATCGGATTCGCTTCCTTCATAAACACTTTTACTGAATGAAGACATCTCAGCGATAGAATTGTCTTGTTTTTCTCCCTCACTATGCTCATCTTCGTCATCTGATTCATAATAAGATTCATTTTCTTCAGTATCACTTTCTCTGAATGGAGTGGCCATCATCGGGAGTTCATCATCTGACTGGTCATGTTCTTCTTCCTCATCAGGCTCATCCCCGTCATCAATAGATTTACTTTCATCACTGCAATCTGATTTCGAATCGGATTCGCTTCCTTCATCACCACTGAAACTAAATGGAAAGATCTTATTGATAGAACGGTCTTGTTCTTCTCTCTCACTGCCCTCATCTTCATCATCGGATTCGCTTTCTTCATCACCACTGAAACTAAACGGAAAGATCTTATTGATAGAATGGTCTTGTGCTTCTCTCTCACTGCGATCATCTTCGTCATCGGATTCGGTTTCTTCATCACCACTGAAACTGAATGGGAAGACCTTATTGATAGAATGGTCTTGTTCTTCTCCCTCACTGCGATCATCTTCGTTATCGGATTCGCTTTCTTCATCACCACTGAAACTGAATGGAAAGATCTTATTGATAGAATGGTCTTGTTCTTCTCCCTCATAGCGATCATCTTCGTCATCTGTTTCGCTCTCTTCATCTTCACTTTCGCTGAACGGGGAGATACTGGACAAGCAGGTTTCGTAGTCATACTGTATTGTCGCCGCTGTGGGTTCGCCGATTGTCTCCAGCGCTCTGACAAATTTGTCAAAGTTGTACCTTACAAGGATCTTCATTTGTTTCTTGTCGGAAAGAATGGCATTGTGATACCAGCACTCTACCACATTCTCATAAAACTTAAAAGTGTAACCATCAGGTAGACGAAAGGGAGTGCCTTTATATGTAGAGTAGAATTGCTTGTCTCTTAGATAGAATTGAAAAGGTGGCACCAACTCTGCCAGGATAGATTCCTTGTAAGCGACGTAGGGTCCACAATAGCAGATTATAAGCGTCTTGGTGAGTCG